TTGATTAGTAATAAATAATAATATCCCTCCAACCACCCTAACCCCCTAACCTCCCTAACCCCCTAACCCCCTAAACCCCTAACCCCCTAACGGTAATCCAGGACTAGTGTGCCTCCACCTTCCGGCGGAGGCACTGAATTCCTTTGGAAAGCTGCCAAAAAAACGGTAGGTGCGCGAAAAACCTTCATTAGGCGCGCCAAAAGGGTGTGCCCCAAGTGAAATAGGGGTGTGCCCCAAGTGGACGTCTCCGAGGCATGTTGACAGAGTAACTAGTGAGGAAAACGGTCCGTGTGCGTGACCAACGGATGGGAAGAAGATAGTGCGAGAAGGCTTGAAAGACCACGTGGAAGGATAACATCGCCCCGCTTGAAACATACCGCTCGGACCGTTTACCGTGCCTAGGTCAATCCCGGTCAATCCGCCGAAGGGAGACGGCGGTCTTCACGGCGCACCGTCGAGTACTCTACCATTTGAGACTCAGGCCTTGCATCGCGGTGTACAGTAGAGTACGATGAAGCGTGAGGCGATACAGAAGAGCGAGACATGTGGAGTCAACCGGGTATCTCTTTTCTTCGTCGTTTTCCTTTGTTTTTGGCTGTACCATCACCTAAGCTGAAAGGCACCGATGTGCGCCTCCTTGGATTCTTGGACCGATGTGTCCGCCCGATGACCTGGAGATCCTTGCCCCTTATGTTAATAACAAGACGAGTCTGTATGGTGGGTCAAGGTTAAAGTCGGATATGCTACACTTTTACACACGATGGACATGGTTTCTTCCACCCAATCTTCCCTCATGCCACTTAATGTGAACTCGTCCTCGTCCATGTTAGAGGCTAAACCCTTCGACCCCCTCCTGGAGGCTTCGTACTTCCCAACTGTTCGGCCCATACGATCTGATCCGTCTTACTTGCGTCCTTCTCATCAGCCCTGACCCCCTGTCTTTTTTGATATCACGGAATGGGTTGCGATAGAGATCAGAACACTGTTCACTCACTTCCAAGGTAGTCTTCAATATCATATCGCCCCCTGCTCGCTGGGCTCTAGCAGCGTCCACCTTCTTCTTCAACTCGGGGGATAACGACGAAGTCGTCAGCAGCTTCACCCGTACGATATATGTGAACTTACTTGATAGAACTGTTCATCTGTCGGTGTGGAATCTAAGTGTCAGTAAACGAGTAAAGTGGCCGAGTTGCAGGGGCTTGAAGATAGATGACTAGGTGATTGGGTTGAAGGGATAGAGGGAAAGAGAAGAGAAGAGAGAGAGAGACACGAACATCTCATGATACCCCAACCGCTGACCATGACTGCATGTCAGTTTGTATCCAATCTATTAGACCAGACATTAGTAATCTTGATAGTCCGACCAGAGATGTTTATCCATCGAGAAGGTCGGCGGCCGACGGGAAAGGATAAAAAAACCCGAAAGGCCGATGGTTTACACGCAAAGACGGAAGGAGACGTACTGGCAGTAGTAACGAGCAGAAAGCTGTCAATCAGTATAGTCTTCCTCTTTATCTCTCTGTCATCTTCTCCGCGCGTCTCTGAGGAGTTTAGTGAAGTACGAGGTCCACAACTCACCGACCCCATAAAAATTGACCAGACATGATTCCACAATTCAGCCTCACGTCACTGGTCATCGGTCCAAAAACCCCTTTGATCGGATCAAAGCGGATTTGTCCGCCTCTCTACCCCACGTGGATTTAAAGAAGTCGCCAGTAGCTCGGAGTGATAAAGTCACTTTTGAGCGGCGGCGGCGGGCGATGCAAATGACGCATCTGGTCCCTTCCACATCATTCCACACTTTGAAATCTTGCTCCGTATCCCCGTTCATTGAATTTCCTCTCTTCACCAACCTCTTTCCCTCACACACGTTTTCACGTAAAAGAATCTTCGTAAACCATTAGGTAGGACCAAGAATAGAGTGGTAGATAGGTCCTTTGAAATCTCGTTACGTTCCCGTGTAGATCGCTTCCTTTCTTCTTTCAATCATCCCTCGGATACATTCCTTTTCCTCTTATTTTCGGCAAGCTGTGAAGATTTGTAAGAACCATTGCCACTTTTTTTCCTTCTTGACAACCTCTCAAGTCTATTCACCAAAGCACAATGCCGGTACAACCTCCTGCCCCTCCGGTGTTTTATCGGTTCAGAACTACTGAAGTCTTAGTTGGTGAGTGTATTCACATTAGGGACAATGTGATTGGATGAGAGGGCTGATAGTTAGATTCTTTGGCAAACTTCGTGGTGAAGGCTCAAAGAGATGCAGTGGATAAAAGAGGGAAATTCACGATTGCTCTTTCTCGTGGTACTTTGGCTGCGAATTTACGTGGATTGGTAGGACAGGAGAATGTCCAATGGGACAAGTGGTGAGTCCTCGTCGTTCCTTCTTCCTACCACACCCTCTCTCTCGTCCTCCCCGCCTACTTCACATACCATGTCTTGAGTCAAGTGTAAAGTACCATCTGTTCTCGAGTGCCGTGTTCCCTCATCATGGTGCAGTCTTATGGGTCTCAATCCTGAAGTACAGCAGCACTTGTAGAGAGGAATGACGACCGGTGGCGAGTATGTGGTCATAGATGACTAACTATCAGGGAAGTATTCTTCTGCGATGAAGCTGCCGTCCCTCTCGAATCACCCGATTCAAATTATCATTCCAATTACCTCTCTTTCCTCTCTCACGTTCCCATCCCCCCAAATCAAATACACACCATCGACGCTAGTTTACTGGACGACCTCGAAGAATTAGCGGATGAATATGAAAAACAACTCATCGGTCATTTTGCAGCTTCAAACGCCGCTCGTTATCCGACTTTCGATCTGATGCTTTTAGGTATGGGAACGGAGGGAGAGACTGCGAGTTTATTTCCGGAACATGAATTGTTGAGTGAGAAAGACGCTTGGGTTTCGTATTTAGAAGATGCACCGAGGGGTCCACCGAGACGTATCACGATGACGTGAGTTGTTGGTCTCTCTTTTCCTCTAATTGTCTTACTCTTACATGTCACTCGTCTTATTCACTCATTACTCTCCCTTCCCCCCAACCCCTCTTCCCGAACCAAAGAAAAACGAAACATCGATGTGAGCGGAAGACCCACAAAGGCGCCATAGCTAGCTTCGTTGAACAAACCAACTGGATGTATGCAGCCAGAGCTTGGAATTTGCCGTTTAAGAGTGCAGAGAACGAGATCAAAACTAATCACCTAGACTACCCGTTCTGACGCATTGCTATCGAGTCGTCTTCGTCGTTTCTGGAGCGGAAAAAGCTCAAATGTTACATACGATCCTCGACGAACCCGAAACGGGTCTTCCATGTTCCCGTGTTAGACCAGCGTAAGTTCAATCCCCCCTTCCTTTAACTTCAGCCTCGTTGACAAATAGTGCACCAGGTTTAGTATTCTGGTTCGCAGATGCCGACGCGGCATCAGAAACGACATATCCACCCACGACGTTTAGATGGATTGATAATCAGAAAGAAGCCGAAGAAGCTGTAGAGGCTGCTCAACGTAAAGCTGCTAGACGATTACAAGAGGCTTTAGGGGAAGATGAAGATTATTAAATTTGATTCGTCATCACGATCAAGCACAACCAATAGCTTTACATGGATCATACTGTGATTCCTAATTCGACCCCCATGACATATTAGGATCTCAGTGTATGATGTGTAGAAGTAGGACGGCTTTAGACTTCTGTGGAATTGGGTGTTCTTTGTGGATACGTTTTCACAGCCAGGAGCTATGCATGATGCAAGATATAACGAAGTCCTGAACACTTGTTACCTCGTCTCAATGTGAATACTACAATTACCTGTATATCTCATACGCTGAAAAATTTCAACGTACTCTATAGTACAGTAGAAAAGATTATCCCACTTGAAAGATGGTTGAGCAGTGTACTCGTACTGGTATGAGATAATTCCAACTGTAAGATTTTGATTTCGTATGGGAAGAAAAAAGAGTTGGATTTAATATTTACAATGTCCCTTCCATCTTGGATAAGCGACAACATCTTTTAAATTCCCAATCGCAGTAACCCAACAAATCCATCTATCCCAACCCATTCCCCAACCTCCATGTGGTACAGATCCCCAACGACGTGTATCGAGATACCATTCATACGCTTTTTTATCCATTCCATTTTGTTCCAAGGCGGAGATGAGTTGAGGGAGACGATGTTCTCGGAGAGAACCACCGGCAAGTTCACCTATGGATGGGAAAAGAAGGTCGAAACATGCTACTGTGCCGGTTTTGTCGATGTTGGATTGGGTGGGAGGTTGAAGATTGATTTGATGTAAAGATGATGATGATAAGTTTTCAATTGGTGAAGTGGAAGGTTGGAGGGTTTCAGTGGGATCGTTAGATGGTATTGATGAAGAAGGGAATGTTGATGTCGATGATGTTGGTGAATCAGGTGAACCAGATAGAAATGAAGGAGAAAGCGATGGGGAAGAGGGATAAGAAGGAGAAGAAGAAGAAGCAGGAAGCATATAAAACGGTTTCAAAACCCTTGGATAATCATATATGAACACCGGACCTTTTTCAGCTAACCATTTTTCTCCTTCTGAAGAAATTCCTTCTCCCCAAATAACATTCCCAAATCCCTCTTTCAACTTTCCCAAAGCTCCCGTATAACTCAATCTTTCAAATCCACATTCAGCGACTTTTTCCAAATGTTCTAAACCTCTTTCAGAATTCGTTAATTGTCCATTATCTACTAAACTCGATCGGATCCTTAAAAGATCTTGTCTCGTCTTTTTTCCTCGAGGTGTATCGGACAAAATAGCTTGGACTGTTGATACTATACTTTCTTCAACTACGGAACATAATTGTTCGATGGTGTCGATGAAACAAAGTTCCGCTTCTAGCATATAGAATTCGCTTAAGTGTCGGGAAGTGAGAGATGGTTCGGCTCTGAAACATGGGGAAAGGGTGTAAGTTCGGGATAGGGATAGAGTGGGAGGTTCGAGATGAAGTTGAGAAGATACTGTGAGATTTACAGGAGTGAGGAAAAATGGTTCGGTTTTGGGTTGGGCAGTTGGCTGGGTCGGATGAGAGGGTGACGGGAGAATCGGTGGCTGGGAATCAGACGATGAGGGAGAAGGTGCAGATTGTACGTGAGCTGATTCGGTTGGAAAAGGGGTAGAGGTCGAAGATGGGAGGTTTGAGGAGGAAGACAACGAAGAGGACGAAGTTAATACAGATGGGAGGGGGAAACTTGGTGAGGATATCGTGGTGTGTGAAGAGGAAACCATGGGCTTTGAGACTCCAAGCTGGTCAGAATGGGAATCAGATAAAGTGAATACCTCTCCAGCACCTTCGCAATCCGAACTGGTCAAGATGGGCGTGTGAACATGTACAAAGTCGTTTTTCTAATTATCAGTCTTCCACATGATGTTATTCAACATGAACGCCGTCATTTTTCCATCAATCTATGCCGCATTTGACCTCATATAGTCTGTGACATTGTGCCGAGTGACGAGCATAATTCAAACGTATCCCCTACCATAGGGGAGAGGATCACTTTTCCACTTAGTCCTGGACGAGATAATACATGGGAATCAACGATGATTTGTAAATTGTTGAGAGGAATGAATACTTGAACTCACCTCAAACCATTCATGCCAATCACGCATCATAGCATCTCTAACACGCATAACGCTTGCCATTTGACTGGTTCGGAATCGAAGATGTGCTAGATCTCTCAAGACCGGAGCAGGGATATGTTTCTTCTGAATAGGGTATGTCTATAGTCAGCGAGGTGGTTCATATTTCAGGTCGTTTCTCTGCTATCCGTCCTCCACCAGCCTGTCCCGTGTCCTCCTTATGGCTCATGGCTCGGAGGTGTATAGTCATAGTCAGATACCTTAGATAGATCCAAGGGGTCATGGGCGGCTTCAGGTACCGTTAAAAACAATATCAGCTTTGAAGTCACACTATATGAGCCTGAGGTGGAGATGAAGAAGTCGAAATCATGAATTTGAAATGTAGTGGAGATGAGCAAGATGAGATACTAGGATCTGTCATTGAATTGGTTTCTGACATCATACCTCTAGAATAGTATGATCAGGAAAGATATTAAGACCACTGAAAAGGTATGCAAGAAGGAGAGACTCACCTCTGGATCACAACTCCCCAAAATGGTAGTTTCCTCCACTAACAATTCTACCGTTTGTCCCGGACCGCGAGAAGGGGATAATCTTCCAGACAAAGAGACGGATGTTCCATTGGTCAAACTGATCATCAAGCTATATTCTCTGCCATAATGTAAACTTGGTATTTATGTCGCACCATGATATGACCCACATCCCATTCTTATCAGATATTATTGAGGAGTAAACCAATGGGGAGAGGTCAGAAATGGCACGAAGAGTGATACATATATTGACTACTTGACGAGATGGCTCAAATACATCAGAAGAAGTAGGCGAATCAGTGGGGACAAGACGAAGGAATAGGAAGATGAGAAAGGTCAACCGAAAGCTCAGTACGGAATGAGTCAAATGCGAGAAGAATAGAGCATTCACCAGGACAAAAAAAAAAGAAGTGATAGTGCGTAGAGAAAGAATGAGAGAACGAGAACGAGAACGAGGACCCACCCTTCTACCCTACTATCCCCCTTGAAAACAGCTTGAACACTATCAGACCCATCATCCACTTGACCGAACAAAACATTTTTATGACCTCTGACAGATTTCAACCAACCGTTAATCTTCACATTACTTTCTGTCCTTTCTCCACTTTTGACGTGAGAAGAGAGGATTTGTTTTAGTGTCGGAGGTAGTGATCTTCTGGTACAGCTTGGTAACATCCCTCACAAACCCTCTCGCAGATTCGAAGAGAAAGACGTAAGCTGAGAAATGTCAGAGTGAGAGGGAGAGGGAGAGTGAAGAGTAAGGTGAACTGAAGAAATTTTCGAAGTGGAGGCGACTGATTTGCTTTTTCTTATGTACAGTACCACTGCATTAGGTCCTACACCCACCCTTGTCAGTGACTAAGAGTGGATACTCTCATGCCCATGTCAACAAAGCGTCGAGTCGGATATCACACAATGTCCACGGCGATATACTCTACATCAGATTATGCAATTGACAACATGTCACCCCTAGAAAAAAAACTATCGACCTCTTTTTCCACCATTTATAAGATCTCTACAACCTCATTTTACTCCACCCCTCACCACATTATCACTCTTCCACCATCATTGACACCTCTCCTTCTCTATACACATCCACAGTCTCCTCCATCATCTCGACACTCGGCTCCACCTCTTCCGCAGTCATAGATATGCCCAATTTTGAAGGTTCGTGAACGTGTTCAAATGTCGGCGCGCTGGCAAGGTTTGGCGAGGGAAACGCTGTCTGAGCAAACGTATCTTGAAATGCGAGTAAATCACGCATCAGTTCATCCAACATTTCCGATGATGTTTGACCGTCTTCCTGAATGGTCGGCATTTCTTCATCTTCGTCTCTTTCGTCTTTATCCACCAGTCGGCGTTTCTTTCGCGGAGGAAGGGAAGCGATATCGATGCCTATTAACCTAGCCCTTTCTTTCCTCTTGACCTCCTCACCTTGTACTCGACTGACAAAATCCAACATTACTCGAACCCTCTTACGCATTTCTGAGGTCGTGATACGCTTTGGTGGATATCGAACTCGAGAAGGAGGTTCTAATCTGAATCCCACCTCGCCTTGAGGTTCTCGTCCGATTGGCTCGTTAGGTAGCATAAGCTCACCTCGATCATCGCGATCTTCGGTGAATGGCCCGTAAGATTGATGAGCAAAGTGATTTCGAGAGATGTAAGAGAGTGTCCGGGGCGTGGTGATTGTCAAAGCTACGGGATGAGAGGTAGGGAGAATATCTGAGAATTGGGAGAGGTAATCGGGGAGGTGCCAAGATAGTCTATTCACGTCCACTGCGACGGTTGGAATGGTGATTAGACCATTGGCGATGGCGCCCGCACGACGAGTTCCATGTTCATGCTGCGTTGGAGGAGCAGAAGGTACCGGAGTACCACCTTGTCCGACTCGTCTGACAGGTGAAGGTATGGGTTGTGCCCCAGATGAAGATTTAGGTCGATAGGTGTACTGATTAGGATGCTTTGGTTTGGCCTTTGTGGGTGGTAGAGAAGAATCAGGATCATCTGACGGTTAAATTTGAAATACACAAGATAGAGAGAGAATTACTGACCAACTTCAGCGGACTCCTTCTCTTTCCCTTTTTCGCTCTCCTCAGGACTATGCTCACTCTCCGCTTGCATCATCTCTAATCGACTCGCTTCGAGCGCGGCCTTGACTTCCTCTTCATACGCCGCGTCACGTGAGTTCATCGTGCTACGTCTTTTGGGCGGAGGGTGATTTTGGGGAGATGGCGATCTCTGTGGGGATGGTGACATGACAGACACTCTACGAGTGTGATTCGGCTTTGGCTTGTCTTGCTCCTTTTCTTTCTCCTTGTGAGCCGTCCCAGGCTTCTCTTTTTCCTTCTCAGAAGACACAGGCTTCCCGTTACTGAATTGACGTCTACCACTTCTACGAGCGTCCACGCTTTCTACCGGGCTGGGCGCTTCTTTCCGATGATGTGAACGAGGAGCTGATTTCGCTTTGGTCTCTCGTGCTGCAATTTCTGCCCACAGTTTGGATTGTGAAGGGAATTGTTTGTCAGACGAGTATTGAAAATGCTTTAGATCTTCTGGGGTGGGAGGGACAAAGGCGGCACTGGATGTCAGCGGACGGGCACATTGAGAGAGAGAAGAAGTCCCACGGATTCCTTCCTTTACTTCGGATCCATCTTTTCAACGGTCCATGAAGATCGGGCCGACATTCCTCGCAAAAGTATTCTGGAAGTCAGCCTTCGCCCCATTTCCTCGACTCACCATCTGGAGCCTCTTCGTCTGCCCAGATTCCGACACATGGACCGTGCTGCCATACGTTGCACTTGTCACATTGAATCATGAGAGGGTCTCCCTCTGCCATGTCAGCTGCATTAAGGACATTTGTTACAATCACTCACCTTCTTTCTTGCACACACATCGTGTCACCTCCTGACCGTCTCCTTCCTCTTCCTCCTCCCCTTCCCCGCCGTCTCTCTCTTCCTCCTCCACTTTTCCTTGAGAATGTTTTTCCACGACCTCCTCGCCTGTTTCTTCCCTCTCAGCACTTCGGCGATCACGTTTGCCCAGGACCGTGGCGGCCCTCCGGATCTCCTCCGGGAGAAGATGATCGTCCAACAACAACTGCTCTTCGCCTCTTCTCTTCCTTACTTGCCGCCCAGCTGAGACTGATCGTTGTTCAGATACGTCGGAAACGGGAGTGTCAACAGTAGAGGGAATGGGTATTGATAAAGCTCTAGTGTTTTTTGTAGGTCTAGTCCGCCCAGGTGTCATCTCTTCCTCCTCCTCTTCCTCTGCTTTGACTGATTTGGCTTGCCTGAAAGATCTCATGGCGCGATTACGGCGATAAGTCTCCCAATCATTCTTATGTTCTGGGGAAGCATCTCCACCATTGACCTCCATCGGCTGATCCTCAACGGTGTGGGGCGGGGGCGGCGTGATGCTAGCAACAGAGCCGCTGGGTGGGTCGGACACGTCCAAGTCCTCTTTAAGGATACTATCTGATGAGGTTCGAAGCATGGTCGTGATCGTTGCAGAGGTAGGACGGACGACAGGAGATCGCTTAGGGGAGTTTTTGGGGGAATTGCGGGCTTGTTTGGGTGGTAGAGGAGGGAAGAGTGGGCCAGAGGAAGGTGGGAGGGGGTTCCGACCTCTGGTTGACCTTCTGGGAGCATCTTAAATGTCAGCTCCACGTCCTGATCGGGAGGTATTGAGCGTGAGCGAGCTCCATGTCGAGATACGACAGCTATATGCTAGACTGGACGAAGGAGATGAGATGAAAGCTCAACTCACCGTCATCGTCATCTTCTATCATCGGCGTATTACTGCTGATACTTGCACTCCTAATACCTCCACTATGAGCTCTCCTGAGCTCTTCAGCAGCTCCGATGCCCGCTGGCCGTCTCCGACCTTCGAGCATCATGACGGGGGGAAGAAGTTACGGGAAGGCGGGGGGGGAAAGCCTTGAGCCACGTCTCTGAGCTCCACGAATTATATAAAATGGAAAAGTCCTATCGAAAGATACTGATGGTGATAGCAGAGATAGCTATGGGGCCAGCGGACATGAGAGTAGAGCGAAAGATACAAGTGTCTATTGAGAAGCGGCGGCGGGAGATTGGGGGGTACGGGGGGGGAGAGGGGGGTTTGGGTCCAATCTCAGCCGGCCCACCCGGGAAATTGTGACACCGTGGGAAAGCTAATTTTGATTCCGCTTGACCGATGACGCGCACCACCTCGATCAACGCTCTTCGACCAAAAATTTCTTCCTCTTGGAAAATCAGCCAATTGCATGCGTCTGCTGACAACCAAAACACCTTTCAGAAACCTTCAATACATCCATAGACGTCATATCATGTCATCCCCCGCTGCCAAAAGACTAAAGTCAACAAAGGTGAGCTTGCACAATCTCGAGGTTTTGGCTGATGTGGCAGATTATTGGTACCCATTCCGGCACATTTCACTGCGATGGTCAGCCATCTTTCTGGACCTCGTCTCAGTGCTGATGTTTTCAGAAGCACTCGCAGTGTTCATGCTTCGTCTAACGGACGAATTTCGAGATGCCGATGTGCTACGGACGAGAGATCCAGCTAAATGCGAGTGAAACAAGATTCTTCCTTTGTACCGTGGCTGACGAAAAGTGGCACCTCTCAATATCGTCGTTGACGTGGGTGGAGTATACGATCCAAAAGCTCATCGATACGATCATCATCAAAGAGGATTCAACGAAACGTTTGGTCATGGTTTTGACAAGATCAAGTTGTCTTCAGCCGGTTTGGTTTACAAGCACTTTGGAAAGAAGATCATTGCCGATTACCTCGGATGTGAAGAGTCAGACCCTCGAGTAGAAATTATTTGGTTACGTTTATACTCTGTGAGCTCGTCCCGTGGTCATGAAACTTTTCAGATCATGACTGATATTAGGAATTGATAGAGTCAGTGGACGGGATAGATAACGGAGTGAACGTTGCATCCGGACCTTTGGCTTACACTGTTCGGACAGATTTGAGTTCAAGAGTTGGTCGGATCAATCCAGATTGGAATGAACATGTTGACGATGCGGATTATGATGTGAGTCCTCTCATTTTTTCAAGACATTGAAATTAGACTGATGCTAGGCACGATTCGCCATCGCGTCCAAAGTCACAGGAGAAGAATTCATGTCACATCTTCGATATTACACCAAAGCATGGCTCCCCGCTCGGGATATCGTCAAAGCTGCGTTGGACACCAGACATAAGGTCGATGAAAGCGGCTCCATCGTAGTATTTGAGAAAGTCAGTCTTCCAGCTGTTCTTGCTAAACTCTGTTCGTTATTCTCAGCTGAACCTCAGTCCGCACCATGGAAAGATCATCTATTCTCTCTCGAATCTACTCTATCACCTCCTCAACAAATCCTCTACGTTCTGTATCCAGAGTCTGATGCTCCCGGATCAAAATGGCGAATACAATGTGTTCCCGAATCTCCAGATTCTTTCCTCAACCGAAAATCGATGCCTGAAGCTTGGCGTGGTGTCCGAGATGCGGAACTCAGTAAAGTCTCTGGAGTCAATGGGTGCGTATTCTGCCATGCGTCTGGCTTCACGGGAGGGAATGAGACTTTCGAAGGGGTGTTGGCAATGGCGAGGAAATCTTTGGCTGCATGATGTGTGATGTCACGGCATGTTTTTCAGGACTACCACTTATGATGATGATCGTGAAGTGGTAAACAACGTGTAGCTAACGCAATGCTCTCTCGGTATCATCATCTCATCTGCACTAACTAACTACATAAAATGATCTCGCATATGACTGACTCATCACGTCTGACCCGGACCCACATTGTTGGGGTGTGCCAAGCCTGGAATTCCTGACACTCCTCCACCCTGCCAGGTTACTGACGAAGAAGTTGATGAAGCAACAGAGTGACGCCTGGCGGATCCCTGTTTCGCCGACTATCATTCCCCTTCTTGTGGACAGCGAGGTGTCAGGTTCATTCAAAGCTGGTGGAAGTTCGTGGCGGTAAGATGTTCAGAGGCATAAACCTATCCCTAGAGGTTGTTGGTCTGTGCTATTGTCTGTGAAGGTAGGCATTGCTTGCAGTGGACAACGCGTTTGCGCTTGAAGATGGTGTAGGTTCATCTGATTGATTGTCAGGAACCACACTGTTTCGGAGAGGGCTGGGTCTAGAACGTTGTGTATAAGGATGTGTTTTTGGAGTTCCAATATGACGTGGTGTGCGGACAAGACCGACAGATCCTGCACCGTGATCATTGTCTTGATTGCCCCTCTGGTGAGCCAAATGAGGTGATATAGAATGAGGTGATTGATTGTTCGAAAGACCATGAGGTTGAGGGGTTAGATCATTGACTCTAGCATTTAGTGTCCTTGATGCTTCAAGAGCTGTCCGAGTCAAAGAAGTATTATCCCATCTTTGATCTGGTAGAAACGGGCGTAAAACCGCTTCGACGAATATACCAACTCTATCTCTTTTCTTATCATCTTCTGTTTCTAGATTCGGAGACCAATAGTCATGGACATCTGAAATAATCTTCGCCGTCTTTCCCCTGTCATACATTGGACTTTCGACTGACATGAGCGTTATTAATCAACATTTTATGAATCACTTTACCATTTGTTATTTCCCAGATCTGAGTGACAGATCCACTAGGTTTAGGTATGCAAGCGAGTCTAGAGAGAATAACCGCCATAGATATAGTCGTAATGTATTCAGTATCTTGAGTCAATATAGGGTTTTCAGAATTTCCTCTTATCTTTTCTAAAACACGTGCTAATTCTATTACCGTAAGACCAACAATTAGATCATTACCGTATTTATGAGCTTCTCTCCTTTGATTCGTCTGGTAATTAAAATGTCCAATGAACGAATTTCTAGATTGATATTCGTCTACTGAAACTTGACGTTGCAACCAATTACAGATATCCTCCATAGATCTTATAGTGATATCCCATTTCTCAGTCGATTCTATGAAAAATCTTAGTAATTTCCTTCTATAATGGACGAGTCTTGACAAAAAAAAACTCACGAGTAGGAAGATATTCATAAGGATCAAGAAGGTTTGATTTGTTTAATCTGAGATTGTTGATGGAGTCATCAACAGGCATGTCATAAGTATCGGCAGCATTAGCTATTTGATGGAAGAAATATACACAGGAATGTATGGTTTCTCTTGGATAGATTGTTCTAGTGGTCATGTTGTTGTTGTTACTTCGTTATTGGGGTTCAAAATGTTATTGAATCGACTAAAGACCTTGAGTGATGTGAAGAAGTGAAAGTGGTAGTTTATACCTTGATCGTTCGTTTTCGATTCCAAACCCGCTTTCGATCTCCGGGCCGATCCTTTGATCATGAACCTCCCTTTTCAAATTCAGATTCATGACTTTCTCATGGCGCCTTCCTGTAAGATATTTGAATGTTTGATATCGTCCGGATCATGTCCACGACCCAGAACGGACCACGTTCCGGGGAGCCGAGGGCAAGAATGATGATTCACAATCAGCACAGAACATGCAGAACATGTGAATTTGAGATGTGTAAGTTAAATGTGAATACTCCATCCTTTTACCTCCACTTCCACTCTCTTATCTTGATATAGGTCAACCGATAGCATGTCAGCGTTTTGATTTCATCAATCAAAAGTAATGCATTGTCGACTATGTTTTATGTATCAACACGATCCCACGACTGGTCAGTAGCATTCTCACTTATTTCCGCCCCATAGCATGTATGATGGGGAAAATCACATGCTCCTGTCTCAAGAAGAAATTCAGTATTGTAAGTATGTCATGATTCATGAACAGGATGAGATGGAGTTTCCGTATGCTGATTACGGGGGTTGATTGACCAATTGTACGTCTTGTATGCGTCGCCATAGCTGAAATTCAGTGGTCTGACACCTTGGATACAATCAGTATTTCCATTGGACGTAGGGTCCGGAAACGTGTCGAGGTCAATAGGGACCGATGTTAGGGTTCTTGAGTCTCCATGCCCTTCATGAGAAGTTGAAGGAAGATATGGATCATGAACGGTGACGGGAGCAAAGGGAAGAGCAGGTCGTATTATAACACCTGAAGTTTGTTGTTGAGTATCATACTGAGGTACCCTGCCCAATCTTGCACCACGATCAATAGGATTGACCGAGGAGCCGTTCATGGGTTTCAGAGGAAGGGAGACAATTTTCCCACTTGGGGGTCCATGCGATCTCATTGTCTTTCCTGGTGTTTGAAGAGATGATTTTGTGGGAACCTCTCCAACTCTGAACATACCCACGGAAACCTCCCTACCTCTATCACGAGTCGGTAATCTTGTAGGTCGATTCCATTCCGTCAACGGGCCATCATCTCTCGGTCCAGTATCAGGCGTAGTCGTGTCACATTGTCTTAGCATATTCAAAGCGAGATCCAACCGTTTCAATGGATCTCGGGATGGACCGTTGATTGATCGAGATAATTCTTCACTGAGAATAGAGATCATGATCGGATTTGATATTCCTAACGATAATTGATATCTGAAAACATTCCTGAAGAACTGGATTGTTTCCTTGGTCGTTGATAAAGAACCTGAATAAAAACCTATAATCAATAATTATTTAGACTAATGAAAAGGTCGAAACTCACCTTGAACAACTGGTATCATATCTGAAGGCCTTATTATCTGGTCAAGTCGGAAATCCGCAGGAGATATCCATCGGAATTTCCTGATTGAAGTTCGGATGAAAACCAAGACGGACGCCACTTCACTTGCGATAGTTTCGCATGTGAGTGGATATTGGAAAGCAAGTTTTAAACTGTTCTGATTTATTAGGCGCTGGTTAGTGAATTGGATCATCTCTAATGTTCCTGCTCCACCGACCAAAATATCGAACCCGTGATTGATATCGTGAATTTCAGATTGTTCTCCACCGGAAGAGAATTTAAGAGAGATGTCTTTGTTGATTTGTGCCAACAACAAATCGATGGCGTTGATTGTTCGATCGATCGTCATGACCATGTCTTGGTGAAGCGGATCACCTCTCTCAGTACATCCAACGACGGTTGACAAGTCGGACAAGGAAAGTAAACCCGTGTCGTGCAGAGAAACACCTACTGATTCCTGGAGAATCTGCAAAAAATGTGGAGTGTCCATTGAGGGGTTCGAAGTGAAATCGATATTTGGACTCGGGGGAAATGCCATGATGGGAGCGGGGGATTGATAGCTAGTATTGGAAGGGTTTTTACATTATTTCCCAGACAATCTGCAAGGGGTTTTTGAGATCCGCATTTCTGAAGCACCTTTGTGGGATTCAGAGCATCGCCTTTGACCATAGTCCATTCCCCGCTCATATGAGACGAGAGTGCGAAAAGAGAGCCATGAGAGATCGCCGTGGGAGAGTGGCGTATCGGTCAGTGAAAACAGATGAAGAAAGGCTGACCTGGGGGCATAAGCCAAGTGGCTCGTAGTGACGCCCGCAGGGCCGAGATCACGAGACCGGAGAGGGATGAGGACAGATAGAGGACTATCAGAGGGGCAATCCCACAGGAGGGGGGGGGGGGGACATGAGAAGAGGGGAAAACGCGAAGAGTTCACGGCTGTCCAAGAGGGTTCGGAGAGAGGGAGAGAGGGTTCACGGGATCACGGGTACCGCTCGAGAGGCGAAAGCTGATCCCGTTAATTTGACAGGCTGGTCAGCACCAGTCAGCGAAATGATATCAGCTACTTGTTGCGTTAGTGATAAGCAACAAACGAATACCTACCTCATCTATGTCCACTAATGACCAGATATCCTCGCGAATTTTCTCCTCTATCCACCCTCCAGCCTTCTCTCTCCAAAGCTGCGCTAACAGCGGGACCCAAAACTCCGACTTTACCCGCAGAATGTCGTCCTACACCCGTCACGATCCTCAGTTCATTCGTCGGTACGAACTTCCTATTGACACTTTCCCTTCCGTAAAAGTTCTTAGCTTTCTCTTTAGCGTACCATTCCTCCGCAGCACCTAGTGCGGCAGATGTAGCTTCGTCAATTGTCATATGATGAAGATCAATCGTGTTACCTCTTTGGAGCTGAAAGATGACCGCTGTATTGGCAGCACGCATATCCCATTCTCTTGCTCTTGACGCTGCTTCGCGAGCCTCTAAGGCATAATGTCCAGAGACTATCCTGTTGGCGGCTTTACCACCTGCTAAATGTCTACCAGCAGCACGTATTGCGTCGGTACGTTTCTTACGTTCTTCACTTGCTCGACGAAGACATTCTTCCATCGAGGGAGATGAAGTGGAAGGGGGTAGGGAGTAGAGAGAATTGTCCGAGGGATCATTGGGCAGTTGATTTCTTGCGTAAGCGGGGATGTGTGCGGAGTAAGGATGAGAGGTATTTCGTCGGGGTTGTCGACGATCTTGAGAACGCCACTCAAGAGGGTGATGAGATTCAGGATTACGAGGTAAGACGAATTGAGATGGATATGCGAATCCGAAGTTGTCCATAGCGACAGGGTTCGTAGCAGCTGAGGCGGATGATTGAGATCCAGGTACAACTTTCGCTTTGATCTCCTTGACAGCCTGGGGCTTTGGACGGACAATGACATCGCGTCGAAAGGCTCCGGCGGAAGGTTGGCTTCGTGGTGAGGAAGGTATCGTATTAGACAGGGATTTGGCGGTATGCAGTATGGGTTTGTCCAGACGATCAAGATCAGTTTCATTACAAGGCCATTCACAGAGGTCGGCTAACATATTCATCAGGTCGAGTACAGTCGATATGTCCCCCCTTGCGGCTTGTACGCAGATGCGCAAATCAATCACCAATGATCCTTCATCGTCGATCAAGCTCACTCCATACACATCTTCAAGAACGCTTCGAGAGACTTCATCGACTTGACCAGAGTCATCAGCTGGTATGGCGGTAAGACTAGCACGAGCTGCTGAGTAAGCTGAGGGGTAGTGAGGTGAGTGAAAGTAGGACAAGAAATGTTCGGGTGGAAAAGGTGGGAGAAGGTCAGATAGAGCGTTTGATAATGAAGCGAGAGTCGCCCATGCGTTTGGTGAATCGTGAAGGGTCGTGGATGTGGATGGAGAGCGTCGCTTGGGTGGGGCTGCTCGAGACGATGGTCGTGAGGAGGAAGGAGTTTGACGTTGGAGTGTGTCAATTATGGGAATGGTGATGGTCGTTTTTCCCTTTTGCCGAGCACTTCCAGATGAAGTTGATGGATGTGATGTGGACTTCTTAGATGCGAGGGATGAGCGGGAGGATGAGGAGGGTACGAGTGGAACGAATGATTGAGCGTGCTGCTCGCTTTCTTCAGCCAGCCAATACCCATGCTTCTCGGATTCCCGTATAGCTTCGATAGAGAGGAGATAATCGATAGCACCTGCGATGTCTGGCTGCGTTTCTAAAGCTTCACGAGAATCCTTCTCCGATCTTGCTCATCAGCTGTGCTCATTTATTATGGAAGTAGCTCACGTATCGGGAAAGAGTGATTTCAAATGCTCAATATCATCTAAGAACGACGTTTCATCGGCAACAGAAGTCGAGGAGGAAGCTTGACTAGGAAAGCTAGCGACCTCTGAGGTACTCGTGGATGTGTTATCCGGTAGACCTGCTCTTTCCAGCTCGATATCATTGACATCGAGTTTATCGATTTCAACTCCGATATCATCGGAAGGCTCTTCTTTTACATGAGGCTCCTCTATATCCGGAACAAGAGTGGCTTCTAATATACCAAGTTGATTGCGTATCTCTTCTAGATGATCCGAGAGTGTACTAGGGTCACGATCCGATAAGAGCGCTAAGATGAGGGTTGGATCGAGCAGTGGAAATTCGATCTTCCGGTCAGCGTGGTAGAGGGGCAGTGAACAAACATCTCACAGATAAGGTGGAAGCGAGGGCTTCTGAGTCCAGATGTTCATGATTGTTTCGATGTATGACATTTTCAGAGATGCCAGCGGTTTGTTTATCCTTTTGACGAGCCATCGTGGTGGTGGCTGACGAGTACGATTTTGAGAACGAGAGGAGTGAAAAGAAAGGAGCTATCTCAGCTTTCTGACCGATTAGCCGAAGTGGGAGAGTACTGGAACGAGGATAATTTCAATAGGCAAGATTAGATAAAGTGTTGTAGGAAGAGTGAGCATGCTTTAGTAGCTGGGTGACAAGGAACGAAACAAGATGGACATGTAAAAGTTGAAGATTGACGATCGACGATGGAGGTGACGCACAGACCCCCTCTCCCGCATGTCACGTGACCTAGGTTTCCCCGCAAAATCAAAATTTCTTCTTCTCGGTCTTTGTCCATCGCAAAGGTTTTCCATCTCAATTTCGACAAAATGCCTAGAGAGCCTAAAGTCAAGAAGCCAAGACATGATCCTCTCTTGGTGGATCTGGAACAAGATGATCATCTTCACAAGTTTGGTAGAGTCAGCAAGCCAGGTCGACGACGGAAGCGCATAGAGGAAGATGAGGTGGAAGGGGTAAGTAAATCCAAAACTCTATCGGTCGGTGACGCTGATAACATAGGGCGGAGAAGATGCGAGAATGTCGAAGAAGATTTTAGATCTGGCAAGGGATCAACAGGATGAAATAGCTAGGGAAATGGGGGAGGAAGAATGGGAAGATGAGGACGAGGGAGAACCGTATGTCTCTCTCTTGTTCACATCGAGGCGAAACTGACTACAGATCGTCGAGGACAAGAGTAATTGATGATGGATCGGACGAGGATGAAGAGATTCAAGAGGGCAGTGAATATGGAGATAGAGAGTATGGTGATCTGGTAAGTGATGTGTTGCTTATGGTTACTCAGCTAATAGGATGTAGGAAATCGATCCTGCTGACCATGCTACTTTAGACGCTTTAGGTCCGAGCGCTGCTATGGGTGAAGCAGGAGGGAGAACTCTGGCAGATATAATCTTTAGTAAGATGCAAGGAGGTGCGATATCCAGGGGTATGGAAGATGAAGGTGAGTTCAACTATGACAATCATCTTGGTCAAATGACTAAATGGACAGATGAAGGTCCTCCTGATCCTAAAAAAGGTCTGAATCCAAAAGTCATCGAAGTCTATACAAAGTATGCCATTCAAAGATTCTTGATGACATTCGAGAGCTCACCCAAGTAGAGTCGGTTTCTTACTCTCTCGATATAAATCTGGTCCATTACCTAAAGCCCTCAAGATCCTCCCATCACTTCCTCATTGGGCACAACTCCTCGCTTTGACAGAACCTGATAAATGGACACCTCACGCCACTTTCGCATGTACGAAGATATTCGTTTCCAATCTTAAACCTACCGAGGTGAGAGTTTTCAACGAAGGAGTATTGCTCGACAAGTGTAGAGAAGATATGCGAGCGAATGGAGGCAAGTTGAACGTTCATTTGTACGAATCTCTCAAAAAGGCACTATACAAACCTGCTGCTTTCTTCAAAGGTATTCTATTCCCTTTATGTGAGGTGAGTGATAGAACAAGAACTCAAAAATTCTTTTTCAGATGATTTGCCGATTGATGCTGATTATAGACCGCTTGTTCTTTGAAAGAAGCAGCCATCGTCGCTTCGGTACTTTCGAAAGTATCAGTTCCCGTACTTCATTCCGCTGCTGCTCTCATGCGATTGGCATCGATGGATTATTCCGGTCCGAATTCCCTTTTCATCCGTGTTCTCCTCGATAAGAAATACGCATTACCTTATAAAGTGGTAGATGCTATCGTATTTCACTTTATCCGATTAGCCAATTCGCCTCGAAGTCGTCATGGGGAAGATAAACTTCCGGTTTTGTGGCATCAAAGTTTACTTGTTTTTGTACAGAGGTGAGTTGTTTCAGGTGATTCATTTACTACTATGGAAGTGAAACTGATATGATAGGTACAGCTCGGATTTGACGCCAGACCAAAAGGATGCGTTACTTGACGTGATACGTGTTCGACCTCACGCCACGATCAGTTCAGAGATCCGACGTGAGATAGTGAATTCGGTAGAGAGAGGCGCTCCTCGTCCAGGGGAAGAGGACGTGTTGATGAGGTGAGATTGAGTGTAAGATGGAGGATCTAATGACGCGTTGTAGAGGATGAGACGGACGAGGACAAGTTGAGATGCATCGCGTCTCTTTCCATGGATCCATGGACTAGACTACCAGAGGTATGGAGGGTGACATACGGATGAGGAAGGGGATGTGTACTTGGTATGAGAGGGCGATAGACCACGCGAAGAATTATGATGGAGGCTGGTTGGGGGGAAAGCTGAGAGACTGAAAGGCTGCAAGCTGGACAATGCTCATTTGCCATGGGCCATGGGACAGGAAGAGAGTAGTAAAACACTTCTGCGCGTCAACAAAGCGCTACAAGGCACGAGAAGAAGACGAGTCGTGTCGGTTACGTAACGAGTCGAGGTCAAGGCGTGAGGGCTGAGTCAAAGGGGGGAGAGAGGCGCGTCCAAGGGCTCAAAGGCTCAACAAAGCCAAAGGGAAAAAACATTAGTGACTGGCTCAAGAGATAACCCAACCCCCCCAATACACAACACTTAATATTCTCCCCCCCCCCTTCTCTCTATTTCTCTTCTTTACTCTTCACTCAACAACAACTATCAACTTTCATCAAAGACAACTTTTATTCTTTCAACTCTAACCAAACACTCTAATCAATACAACATGCCTCGTAAGTGCATCCCCATCATACCAGAAGCGATTTCTTCTCAATAGACTTACAAATTTCATCACTTTCGGGGTTTATAGTGATGTTTGAATGAAAGGCTGACGCGATTTTCTTCTTATATTATACGTTTCGTCACTTGTTTATCTTACATGTCAACAGCTAAGAAGAGTGAGTACTTCATCTTGTCCTTCCAACAACATTCACCATATTTGGAGAAATAGAGAGATAGACTTTTGACTATCGCCAATCGATAAAACGAAGAATGGAATTTAAACTGACGCTTGTGTTTCTCCTTTCCCTCTCTTTCTCTTTTGCACATCGATCAAACTCTCGTCATACATCTTGTCATCCTTACAAATTTTCACACACGTGAATATCACATGTGACTAACACGTCAACAGCCGAAACTGCTGCCAAAGCCAAAGGTGCCAAGAAGACCGGCAAATCTTCTGCATAGTGAGTGTTGACAACTTTCTCTTCGTCTACAACTTTCTCTTTCTTCAACGTGAACAATATTGAAAGCGTTGCGGAAAAAGCTGATCACATAGCAACGAGTACATGAAAGTTCAACTCGCCAAACTCAAGGCTGAGCAGGAGAAGACCGGAAAAAAGGCTGATCACAAGGTAAGTCGGATAGTCTTTTTGCCTTCGTCGTTTTCTCTTCTCTTACTCGTTGACTTTCACTCTACGTCTCTTCCGCTTCCGTCCATGTAATGTTCTTACCATGCTCTCTTTATGGAATACCATGACCCTCGGCCTTGCGGAATGATTTGAGTCATGCCTCTACTATCGGCTGTCCGGGTAAATCACGTTGAGAGTCAACAAGTTGAAGACTTTTGGCTGACGCGAATAGGAAAACTTCAAAAAGGTTGCTGCCAGCTGGAAAACCGCGTCAGTTTCTCTCTTTTCACACATGAAAATCACATCGCTGACATTCAGTTCTGAGAACCCTGTTCGTTCTCACTGCTTCATCAACAAGAGTTGTTTGTTACTGACGAATAGAAAAACAAGAAATAAACGTCATACCCATCTCTCGTTTATCTGTTTGGATTCGGTTGTCGGGCGTAATTGGGGACTTGTTGATACCTGGTGACGAATGAATGGATGGTTGACTTGTGTGAAGAAATGTGCAGATCTGTTGGAAACGAATGGGGCGAATGGGGGTTAATATGATATCGCACCTCTTTTTTATACCATCGAATTAATGCCATGCAGGGGTTGTACGACCGCACGACTTACCTTTATTGGTTTTCACTCTGCTCTACAGTACTCACTCTACCCGTAAGCCTCATAATCTGAAGCCCTTTTCGTTATTGGAATCTAGGAATGTACAGTATGTGGCCGTAGAAAGCGGAGCTCCACTTTGACAAGTTTGCCTCTTCGGTTGGAAGAAAAGATTTTCCATATGATCTCATCTGTTGATCTTTCCCATCATACATCTCTTGACATCTTTATCCCCTCTTATCCTCCCCACTCACTCAACTTGTAATCCCATCATCGTACTCTTCTTTCGGTACCCCCTAATCCCTAATTTGAGAAACTTCTTTTTATCACATCATGTCAAACTTCCCACACTCCACGTCGATAAGTGTCCCCCTCTCCACTTCTCCTTTCGGTACGTCATCCCGCATGTCCATTCCATCTACTGCATGTCCGCCTCAAGCTTGACTCTGACTGACGCTCAGCGCTTAATCTCAGATTGGGTGATCTCATCGCCCATTCTAATTCAGACCAAAGAAGAATGTCTGATTCTGAAGACGGTCCTTCTGGTCAAAATGGACGTCAAATTCAACATCGTTCTTCTAACCTTTCAAATCTCCCCACCGACGCCCTGATCAAAATCCCACCAAACAATTCTTCTGAACCTATAATCGATGAGACTTTGTTATTTGAAGGTGAAGATGAACAAGATGTCGACGAGAACACACCTCTCACTAAAGGAGTCAGAACACGACGACAGAGTGAGAGAAGTAATCGTAGTCGACTTTCCTATGGGACCATCAGTACGCCACTCAGTATGAGAAGGAAATCCGCAGCACATCATGGTCAATCTGGAACATCAAGATCACGTTCTAAAGCTCGTACACCTCCTAGAAAACAACCTATAAGAGAAAGCGCAAGTATTGAATCTTCAGAAGGAGGTATCCCTACTTTTGTTTCTCAGCAACAAGAAGATGATGTATCGTCACCGGAGACGTTACGTGGTAGAAATGTCACCTCGAGACCGTTGAGTAGGTCAAACTCAACGACGGATATTATAAATGAATCCACGTACTCCAACCTCTCTTTCAGGAATGAAAACATGGGAGCGAGTACAAAATATACAAGTACAGGAGATTCTTCAGGTGATGAAGATGAAGATGTCATTCGTGAACTTGTAGGAAATGGAGGAGATGTATTGTTTGGTGGTAAGATGGGATTAGGTTTGGTAGGAGGTGGAATGGATATTGATCCTGCTGAAGAATTGGACGCTCAGGATTTAGAATTACCTGTAGGGGATGATGGAAGGGAAGTAAGAGTTTGGACAGAGGCTTTAAGGGTGAGTCTCCCAAGGGACTTTTGACTCTTGCAGATAATCCGAAAGGAAGTCTCTTGAAAAGTATTTAATGATCAGGCTGAGATCCCTTTGATCTTGAGAAGCTCAATTCCTGTGTTTTTCACACAGATAGCAGAATGGTCTTTGGTATTGGCGTCTGTGGTGTCGATTGGGCATTTGGGAACTACAGAATTGGCCGCTGCATCGTGAGAAAATTACTCTACCCTCTTTCATTTCTTCATGATGAGAAGTCAAGAGGTCATGACTGATGAGTAGATTGGCATCTATGACAGCATCAGTTTCATGCTTTTCCATCTTACAGGGTCTTGCTACCGCTCGTGAGCAGTTCAAATCCTCACAACCATTTAGAGACGCTGAGTGAACTAGTTGACACCTTGTTGCCCGCAGCTTGGACATCTTCTGATCCATCTCGGGTTGGTTTGTGGACGCAGAGAATGTGAGCTGCATCCCAAGCATAGTCGCCGAATGAGATAGTTGACACGTAGGTCGGTCGTCATGATCATCTCTACCGTACGTCCCGTTCATTCTAAAAAGAAATGTGGAGTTCTGACCTTCAGATCCCTATGTATCTACTATGGTGGAATATCGAAGGTATCTTACTCATGCTTGGTCAAGGTTAGTCCTTCACTATCACCCCAAATGACAAACCTGGCTGTTTCCGAAATATCAAGCTCGCCCGCTCATTTTCAGAGGCCGATGTAGCTAGACGATCATCAACTTACCTACGATGGTTATCTATTGGTATCCCAGGTTACGGTGGTAATGTTATCATCAAAAAGTTAGTCCAATTCTCCTTTTCTCAATTATACCATTGAACAAGCTGAATATCAGATATCTTCAAAGTCAAAATCTCATGCACATACCGACATACGTTTTGTTTATTGCTGCACCTATCAACCTTTTGCTCAATTATTTATTGGTTTGGGGACCAGCTCCGTTTAGACTTGGGTTTACGGGTGGAGCATTGGCTACTGCTTTGAGTTATACTCTTACAGTATGTCCTATTTTACATGCAGAGAAGAAAAACGTTGCTGATGATTAACTTAGTTCGCACTGTCGACTGGTTGGGTATTGTTCTATGGACCAAGAGAGGCTTTTCATCCTCTTACATCCACACATGTGTTTTCCAAACTTGGGACCGTCACTTCGTTAGGTTTAGCAGGGACGATTATGGTATGTCCCTTTTTTCATCTCTTACATTTCGACTTTATCCCTTTGTGAGATTCGTCCCTGTCGATAACACGTCGTCGAACGGTCCCACGAGCCATCCTCCTTGTGGCCATCTCATTTCATCACACATGAAAGGTGTCGGAAATTGCGGAGAGCATGCTGGATAGTGGAAGACGGGATTGAGGCTGACCAACAGTTATCATCCGAATGGTGGGCATGGGAAGCATGCGCTCTCGCAGCTTCTTTACTCGGCCCGACGACATTAGCAGCTCAATCCGTTTTACTCAGTACGGCCTCTACGTTCTGGCAAGTTCCAGGGAGTCTGGGTATCGCCTCTGCGGTTAGATGTGGGAATCTACTAGGAGCTGGTAGAGGGTGGGAAGCTAAGTGGGCGAGTAGGGCGAGTTTATTCTTGAGCATAGCATTTGCTTTGGTCAATAGGTATGTGTCTTTTTCTTGTCTGTCACATCACATTTGATCTCTTCGTCGCTATCACCCTCCTCTCTTCCAATCCTGAACGACGCCCCTCTTGTCCTATGAGCAGCGGATGGGGATCAGATTTGGATAGAGCGTCTGGAATGAGGACTGGTCAGAGCTTCCGGAATGATGAATGAGGAATGGTCAGATACGATCAGTGTGGTGTTTGCACAGTACAACGAGAAGAATCTCAAGGAATTACAGATGAAGTGAAGAGGAATGCTAAGGAGCAGTACAATCTGTATGGCTTTCCGTAAGAATTGGGGATACTTATTCAATTCTGATCCTCTGGTAGTGGATTTGGTTGCGCGTATCATGCCATATATAGCATTGTTCCAGGTGAGTCCTTTCTCCTACGCTTTCATCATATTTGATTCCCTTCCACCTCTTCCTCTAAAGAACCTTCTTGTGTTTTAAGCTAGTCTATTTGAATCTGACCAAACACGACCAGTATATCATATCATCCGAAGTTGATCATGAACCAACCCCCAAGGAGAACCCCATATCATAATCTCTGAATACACGGCTATCAAAACGGAGCAAAACAACTGATAATCAGGTAGCAGACGGAATGGCAGCTACATCCGGTTCTGTCCTTCGTTCCCTCGGTCTTCATACAACAGGAGCGTTGATCAACCTCACATCTTATTACATCTTCGGTCTCCCTATAGGTTTATTCCTAACTTTCAATCCCACGTTCGATCTCGGTCTCGCAGGTTTATGGTTAGGGTTGAGTATAGCTTTGGGATATGCAAGTACCTTGAGTTTGGTACTTGTTTGGAGGGCGGATTGGCCAAGAGCTGTTGAAAGAGTAAGGGAGAGATTGGGATTGGTAGGACATGGGGAGTTGGAAGATGGGAAATGGGTGAATGAAGTGGATGATTATGATAGGTTGTTGGAGGGACAAGAAGGACCCGTGACGAGGATATGAAGGGATCTCCTTCTTTTCATTTGTTCCAGAAGGACTGTCCGCAGGGGAAAGGCAGGAGGGATGGATTCATCGAAAGAAGATAATTGGAATAAATTGGAAAGATGAGGTCCAGTGTGAGTGGAATCATATGAAGATATGGATTTCGAAAGATTTGAAAGTTTGAAGATATGAGGAGAGATTTGTATTTGTAAGTTGGACGAATCGAAGTTCCAAGTGAAACCAAAACAAAGTGGGTGGGTGAGAGAGAGAGAAAGTAAGAAAGAAGAAGTGCTTTGAGAAGAAATCATCATGCGTAAGGAGAGGGATGAGAAAAGAATCAAAAAAAATATCAAAATCTAACTTGCTATGTCTTCAACAATATCATTTTACAGGATCAGATCTCATATTCTCAAAACGAAACAAAATCAAAATTGTACCCATAGAATGATATTCATACTGTGCAAATCATGTTCATGCATATTATACATCGTAATAATCATGAGAACGTTCAGTCATTGAATCTCATTTCGCTGTCAAGCTCACACTTCTTGACCGAGGCCTTACATCTTATCGGTTAATGGTGAAAAATGAAAAACTCAATGACATACTGTAATATGCACAGATGCATCTCATCGGTCAATGCAAAAATCACAAATTCATCATATGCATCGATGCATCTCATCCATTGATCGTGGTCTTTTGACCGAGGAACGTTGTTTTAACTAGTACCAAAAAAATAAATCAAACTCGTAATACTTTTTTTCAATCCCTTTTCATCCTAAATTTGATTGGGTATCTTTCCGTTTGAAAACCCAAATTCGTCCCTTCCGTGTTCAGTGTTCAGTGTTCTGGTTCTGAACAAATTCGTTACATGACACGTTATGCAGATCTCCCTAGTTTCCCTTTCCTCCTTAACTCCCATTACCTTTCCTCAAGTTTGTCGCTAGTGAGGGCGTTCATTTGTGTCGTCAAGATCGATTCGTTTGCATTTTCGCATTTTCGCATCTTCCAAATCGTGCGAATCATCATTATCGTCCGTTTCGTTCAGTCCATCGTCACATTTCATGCCATGTCTTATTCTTATCGGGTTTCACACCCCTTAGACCGGGGATCTATCTTCTCCGCGCAGTGTTGATGGCTCTACACCATTCCAACGTCGTCGTTTGACCAGGTGCGTTGAAATAATAAATAGACTAGAAAGTCAGCTTCAGAGATATTTGTGATTGAAAAAGGAGTACTAACCTTATTATCAACCACTCGAAGAATGTTATTCTGAACTATACTAGCAGGTTCCTTCATCGTACCCATTCTCAAAACGTTGAATAAATCAACTGGTACATCCCCTCCTTCACCTCTTGGACTGGCCAAAACTAAAATGTCCGAACAAAGAATCAACACCATGATCCTCTCCATAGGTTCCGGAACGATATGTTCGATAGGTACCACAGCTTTTGAAGGCATGATAGTTTGTTCTCCATCTGTAGTGGGAAGACTATCAACTTCAACGAAAGAACTACCTTTTTTAATCAATCGTATGAGATTCAAACGACCGTCCAGGATGAGTTTTCGATGAGGTTGAACTAATGGAGAAGGTCCACGGGAGGTTATACGTTGTTGCCATTGTAAAAGACGTAAACGAGATTCAGACTCTCGTTTCTCTTCGTTCATCAAAGAAGCCAAATTGGCAATTTCTTGCAAAGCCGCGTCGAGTTTATCCTGAGGACCGTCAAGACGAGGAGGAGTACACATGGCGAGATCTTCGAGGAGAAGTTTATACCGTGGGACTCGTTGAATAGGTAAGAGCAGGTAGGATTCAAGGTTGATTTGAGCATGCATGGGATGGGCTCGACATCGCTGAACATCAGTGGTGGTTTGATATGGAATGTTATGATCACTTACCTTCATGTAAGACCGAACTCGCTTTTTCTGAGCAGGTGTCATATGAGTGCCAGAGTGTGAAACTTCTGCGCTGAGAGGAAGAGAGATAGCACTCATCCCTGCTCCGGCAACGGCGGAGGCGATTGTATGTGGACTACTGGGCTTTGAAGGAAACCCAGGTGTGCTAGGCGCAGATAAAGGTTGCGTCCATGTCTTCATCCTGGTCAAAGCATTATCGAAATTATTGATATAAGTCGAGTATTGTTTCATGTAGGTGATATACTCTTGAAAGACTTTACCGACTTCATGTGCCGTGTGAGCTGACAATTGTCCTTCTTCATCGTCTTGCCCTTCGATCAGAGGCTTGACAGTAGCTTCCAAACTTCTCAATAGATTATCTCGATGAATGGTGAGAATACTCTCAATACCACCAAAGACTATTTTACGCTCGGGGAGAGGAACGACTGTCTCGGTGGAAGACTTGCTGATGGGCGCTTGGGCAGGTTTCACGTAAATGTGTACTAATTCTCCCAGTCCACGAACATAGGTACGCTCCGTCTCCCATATTTCCCGAATGACACGAGCACGTTTCGTCTTGTCATCTTTGAACTTCTTGCCGTCGTCGGTTGATGGAGTCGTCAAATCACTCTCGTGCATACTGGGAATGGATACTCCAGAATTCTGCGTGTCCAAAGTGGGTCGACGTCGTCGTACATGGGCAACTGACCCATGTGATGTGATCGAGGGCGGAGAGCCGAAATCGGATACAGTGGATGATCCAGCGTCAATGATTTCGAAACCTCGGTATGTCTCAACGATTGGACGCGAAAGATCGTACAGGTCACGAAGGTAAGATTTGATCGATTCCAATCCCATCACGTATCGTGTCTCTTCATCCACATCGTCAAACGCTCGAGATTGGGAGACGGGTCGATCATTCTCGCTCGATGCCGTTTCGGAAGACTCCAAGGCAGGCGGAGTGGGCATGAATGGTGATGTGGAGGGAATGGCGACGCTGATAGAAGGTGCATTATCGACTGGCAAGAAACTCCTGCGTTTGGCCCGTTTGCTCGCGGCGTCATTCATCAACTGATTTCTAGCAGGCAAGTTCCGAGGTAATGTCGAGGCGGAGACAGATGTTTTGAACCGTCCGAATTCGTTCATCTCCGATATGGAAGTCTTAATGGTAGGTAACGTGTTGACACTTTTGGCGGAGGCCATACCGGGACGGTGTGGCAGAGTGGTGATGGGGTCCGAATTGGCATGACTGAGAGGGGGCATACTTTTGAGATTCGCAGAGGCAGAAGCGATTAGTGTGTGTTTCTCCGAGTGCTTGTCTTGACGAAGTTTGTTCATTGACATTTTACGCAAAAAGCCCCACTTCGTCTTGCTCCCAGTCTCCTGATTCGTAAGTGGCCTAGCTAAAGGTGATGCGGAACGTTCGTCCTCCGAGTAGTCGGCCATGGAAGCTCCTCGACCAGCAGCACTGATCGTTTGTGATCGTGAACCTGGACGACCGTCCTGAGTGACAGGTCGCGACGGACCAGCTTTAGCCGGCTCCGCTACGGATCCTCTGCCGAAGAGAGAGCCGGCGGAACGCATCTTGCGCAAACTGCGGTACGAAGAAGAACCCGTCAAAGCTGCCGCCCGAGGAGGTTGCAGTTCGTCTTCGTCATGTGTTGGTTCGGCTGGGAGAGGGGCAGAATGCGGCTGCACAATGTCCTCGGCGATTGGACCGAGATGGTGCATGGAATGATTGGCCGAATTTGAGGGACTGAGCCATGGTTCAGTAGACAAAGCAGCATCTCTGGAATGAATAGAGCTAGCTGTCATAGAGCTGGCCAGGGAAGCGATCGACGTGGCCGAACGAAGGAAGTGATCAGAACGCCTTACGGACGTGCTGCGCGTCGGAAGATTAGCCACCGGGGGGTTCGACAAAATCGGGGCAACGATGGGCAGCCATTCGGTAACGAAAGGATTGTCGTCCACTCGCAAGGTTTCCAGATGTTTCAGGAGACACAGCCATGATGGAAGGGACACAAGACGGTTGCGTCGGACTATCGTCAGCGGTCAATCGGAAAACAGACAGACAGGATGCTCACCGCACAAAGTGTGGAGTCGCTCCAGATTTTGAGTGTCCGCCACCAAGCCACCCAGACTACACTGATCTGCCACGAGCATCCGAAGAGCCGTCAGACCGCCGATCCATGCAGGGAGGACTCGCAAGGGATTGCCAGAAATGTTGAGCTCTTCGAGGGATTTGCAAAACTGTAAAGCGTCCGGCAAGAAGCTCAAATCGTTGTGTGAAAGGTCAACCACGACGAGAGTGGGAGCAAGCACGTAGAGAAGGCTGGGAAGACACGGGAGAAGACTTGATCCGCAATCCGGGAGAAGAAGATGAGTGATCCCTTGAAGGCCGGAGATGACTTCCGTCGTCAACGCTTGAACTCCTCCCATGGCTTTCAATCGAGCGATGTCCAGACGTTCATCCCTGCCCTCATCTACCATGGCAACAGCTTCAGCGACTGTCAAATGAGGTGACTCGGACTGCCAGGAGAGCTGTTCGGGAAATTGATAGCTGTAAGCCTCATGTCGCGAGTCCACAGTTGAAGCGGTATCCGTCGAGGTGGATGAGGTTGACCCGCTGCGTAGACGCGTGGTAACGTCTCGGCGCCAAGGACGATGGACAAACTCGGCTGGTGAGCTGACGCTACTAGCAATCTCTTGATATTTGTTTGCATCGCGGGTCGAGATACCCAATCCAACGGTGTCGTGGATAGGAAAGTGAGTGGGCATGGGAGGTGGATGAGGGTGGAATTGAGATTCTGGCATGTGATAGGAAAAGGCTCCGGAGCCCATGGATGATTCGGCTGAAGAATAGGCTGTGTTTCGTCCTGGGTTCTGTCGCACTCGTATCCTCACATCCTCACCCGCCTTCAGATCGGGGGTACCGAAGCCATACGCGCCGCTGATGGACGGAGTTCGAGTGCTCGAGTCGATCGTCGAAGTGGTGACAAAGCTCAGCGTGGGTTCATGGCTGGCGGTTTCGGCATCCTCGCCGTCATATTCAGTAGATGAGTATGTGTCCAGATCGACGTCAAGCTGTTGTGGTCGAGCATCCAGATCGTACGTGCTTGGACGGATAGGTCCCGGATCTGTGGCTTTGCGTACTTGAGGAAACGTCGGTTCGCTCTGGGGAGGATAGCCGCTGAGGGGACGCCTGTTTTTACGAGGTCGAACAGGTAACACGGGCTCGGCAAAGTTGATGGTCGCGGGACTTGCAGCAGGTGGGGAATTCAGATCGACGTTGAGAGTAAGAGGGATGTCGCCGTTGGGAGGAGTAGGCGGTAGGATCTTTTCAAATTGATCGGCTTGTAAAGGAGGCATGATGGCATTGGTTGGGATGAAATAATCGGTCATTGGGAAAGAGCCAAGTTTGGCAATGCTGTCCCTGGGTGAAGGAGATGGAAGGGAAGAAGTGGGCGTAGGAGGAAATATGCAGGAAGCCGATGGCATCTCCTCAAAAGAGTCGGAAGGAGAGCAATACAGACCGGTGAATCCAGCTGCACAGGCAGTCAAGGACGAACCCTGCTCGTCAGAATGGACCTCAGAGTTGTACGGAAGAGTGGCAAACGAGGATAGAGGCGGAACAGGGAACAAAAGCATGAGAGATGTCGTCGAGGGCCGCCGACGAGAATGGATGGTGATGGTGCGAACAGAGTCATCGGAGGAGACAGACGAATGGGCGGATACAGACATGTGTGAAGATGCGAAAGAGAGGATGGAGAAAAAAGAAACATGCTCACGCGAAGAAGGCCGTTTCACCGACTTGGGCTGAACGACCAGGAGAGAAAGGTACGGGGGTGCTGATGGTTTCAAATTGCCCGTGCACAGTCCATCAAGGAAATCGAAAGAATGTTTGGTCAAGGGAAGCAGACGACGGGCTTGGTAACATGAGCTAGGGTGCAAGATGGTAGTGGTAGAAGATGACGCTTACGGGCGTATCAATGCGGGTTATGCTTCTGGAAATGTATCAGCTTAGTTCTATGCTTCAACATCAGGTAGGCTCGGAGAAACATTCACAGGGCGCGAAATCGAGGTCACCCACCAACTTTCAGAGCAGAAGGACGCGTGAAGTCGTGCGATAGTGAATGGAACTGGGCATAAGATATGGGTGATGAGCCTTGCGTGACAGCGAAAATGAAGGAAGATCGGAACGCAGGGAGAAATTGAACCGAAGGATAGTCCGGAGACGCTGAGGATCCGGAAGAGGTCCTACTTTTAGGGGATCCGACCGACCGGCGCAGTATGGATCAGAAGCAGGGAGAGAGGTTCTGTTGATAGAAGATGAAGTGAGAGATGGGCCCGGAAGAAGGGGATAGACACCGGAAACGGACAAAGTGAAGCAAGGCTCGATCATAGGCAAAAATTACGAAGTGACGTAGTGACATTCAATTGTTCGTCAAGTGCAAGTCAGAATGCTTCGTGAATATAAGAAGGGAAAGCTTGCAACAATCTCCGAAGTGAAAAGAAAGGACCGGGGAAGTGGGAGCCCAATAGATACACCAAGGGGATTCTGAGTTGTGATGACAGGAAGGGGTCACTCACTAATTATGATTTCCAAAGTCCTGTCCAATGCTACCAAATGTTTGAAAGCCAAGCTTCCTTCGTCTCCGTGATCACTTCTCCAAGCCCTACGGTGATTACGATACTGATGCAGAAAAGAAGGTCGGATAACAACAGGACAGATGGTCTTGTTGGTCGAGAGTCGCAGCGCTGAGGTTCAGTGTGTGAGGTCGAAGGGGCGCAGACACGACCAAACTAAGACAAGGATGATTAGTCACCCAAGTAGCGCCGATGAACACTTGAAAGTTTGAGGACGAAGCCCGAAAAAAGGAAAGTTTCGGCGGCTCGAAAAAAAAAGGACGAAAAGACGGCGTACAGGGTGGGGGCAGAGGAAGAAAGAGGGTTGAAGGATGAACCGTGCCAAATTTACGAAGTGGGGTGAAAGAAAGAAGTGGGGGTTGATTGATCAAGGGCGATCTGGAATTGGGTATCCTGATGAGAGAGAGGACAGATCGTATGGGGGGAAGAGAAGAAGCCGGGCGTGAGGATGTCGTAGACGAAGAGTTGTCAGAGGAAGGGAGGGTGCAGGTGAGATTTCGGGGTGCTACGTCAAAACCTCGTCGTGGTCGAGAAAATCAGGGACCTGACCGATGAGACCCTGATGTCTTGAATGTGTAATACCCTCTCTTTCCACTGTCTTCTATTCGTCATGCAGCAATTGATCGTCTTCGTCAAGCCACTCGTTGGAGTATCGAAATTATGCAAGTAAAACGAGTCAAAACAAAGTTGAAGAGGAGAATAGGAATAGAAAAGAGAGATGAAAAGTTTGTCGATCAGAAATTGGGGGGAGGGGAGAAATGAACGCGTTTCTTTGACTTTGACTTTGTAATTAGCTTGGCAGACAGACATGTTTGAAAGTCGTTCGCCACCGATCTGCTCTTTCGCTCAGGTGGACGCATTCCTAGAGTAGACTACTCTATCTACCAGTAGCGTGCGCGGGGAGGCACTGCGGTAAAGTGAGAAAGGTGCGGATTCAACAAGGGTAGCATATGGTAGGAGGGAATCATGCCGCTCCGAGGGGGATATATCTGGATGGACGGGTTATCACTCACGGATGATTTTTACCGCGGGCGACTAGACCCAACCGGCTCTGTTCCTCTATAGCTCAGAGGTGGTGGGGGGAACCCGTCAGTGGCGGAAGATATATCCTTGTGACTGGTGGATCAGCTGTGCACAAAGTGTGCTAGATTTCCGGCCGTTGGGGGGAAAGATGTAAAGCCACGATGGTGAGGGTTGTCTCGGATGATCGACGCTTCACTCCGTATCTTCTTCGGCTCTTCATCTCTTTTCAATTATTCTGCTATCTCTGCTAAATTTTTCATTCTCTTCTCTCGCCTACACGTCTCAACACGTGTCCTTGACGACCAACAAGAGGTAAACAACAATTTGTCCGAAGCCACTGAGGTGACCACCTTACCAACATCCTGGTTGCTTGGTAACGGATAGACATCCCGAATCCCGATGCTACTGATGTGGCAAGTATGACTCATAACTTACCTTGCCCTGTACTATGTTCCGATGTTCCGATGGCCGATGATTGAGTGAGAACAAGGAAGGCTAGGTGACAATATTGAAGAGACTTACCTTGAGTGCTTACTTCTTCACTGAAAGTCTTTTTCCGCACCGAAGACAAACGGTTCGACCTTTGGAGACGACTCAACAGACGCGTCAAATCAGACGCGGAGTGCGGTATGATGGGTGTTTGATGATAGGATAAGACAATCACGCGCGGAAACGTTCGGTATTCGAATATAGATATTATTGTCAATGCCAGTGACAGAAGGGAAAAACAAAGAACGTGAAAGATGTTAGTGTCAAACGTTAGGATAAGAGATGCATCTTCGTACGTGATAACGATCTGTTGATAAAAGTGTCAACAAAGGCTAAGGATCTTACGTCCTACGGTTGGACGGCATGGATACACTATGAATCAGAGATAGTAGTATGAACAGGCATCCTAGCCGCAGGTTTCATAAAAAGCCGACACGTCACGGAAACGTCTGTGTGTCGGAAAGGTATTCTTTGGGTTGGAATGAAGAGCCGTCGCTGCCGGTGGGCCGGAAGATCCTTCCACAGACGAGATTTGGAAAGGGATGACATGTGTGGCATGCACAGGCAGTGGTGTCACACAGAAATGTAAAGGAAAAGCATGAAGTTTATCAAAGGTTTTCCACCTCTCCTTTCAAAAGATGCATGATGCATAAAGGAAGGGAGGGGACACACTTCGCGTACGCGAATCAGCAAGTTGTAAAAATTTGTTCCAGTCAGTGGTTTCCACCCTCAAAGGAGGGCGTCCCGATGGCGGTGATTCGGCGATCGCCGCATCCTTCCGGGACTATTCTCAGAGCGGCAATCTTCGCTGATCACACACATCCTCCTCAACCATGTCTAAAGTCGAAAAGAACGATACGGATTTATATCCCGGACAAAACTTAGCTCATCTGTTACCTCCCTCGTGGAAATCAGACGTCGAGAGATGGTTTGCGGAGGATACTCCGTCATTCGATTGGGCAGGTTTCGTCGTTGGTGAAGAAGAACAAGAGGCTATCTTATGGGGTAAAAGTGGGGTGAGTCATATTACACTAACCAGTTCATGAGACCAATTACAATCTGCTTGCACGGAAAGAAATGGAAAGCTGATTCGGTAGGGTGTATTGGCAGGGGTCCCATTCTTCAATCAGATTTTCAAACATGTCGATTGCACGTAAGTCTGACATAAGCAGACAAGGTGAAGGAATGACGACGATAGAGTCGAATGGTTGCTACCTGAAGGTTCAGTAATCCCTTCGGATAGTAAAACAAAAGTCGCTTTGGTACGTGGTAAAGCTAGACATTTGTTATTGGGAGAAAGGGTAGCTCTTAATACCTTGTCGAGATGTAGTGGGATAGCGACTGTGTGAGTGGAGTCTTTTTCTTCCGGACGATCCTATCTCATGTCTCATCACAAAGTCTCGTCCACGCTTAAAACATGGTTGATGCTCTATGATTTTCCTCTGCTCTGTCTTGAACACATCGTTACTCATTAGCGGGACGTCGGGGGGGATATACGTTCCTGTTCTTGTTTGGGAGGGGAACCTTTTTGAGTTTGTGAACGATCTTGACGGGTTCGATGGTCCATTAGGTTGTTGAGGGACGAAACCTGATGTATAGATCACGAAGATTTCGTGATTTGGCAAGAGCAGAAGGTTGGAAAGGTGTCGTAGCTGGTACTCGCAAGACCACACCTGGATTCCGATTGGTAGAAAAGTACGGAATGATGGTTGGGGGTGTAGATCCTCATCGACACGATTTGAGTAGTATGGTGATGCTCAAAGATAATCATATTTGGGCCACGGGTCAGTACTTTCCATTCTTATTTCTCTCACATTTTCCCTGCTCCCCGTCCCCCTCTTCCTCTTCCCCTTGCTCTTTCAATTTCTGCTCCGACTATTTCCCCTGCAACATATATTTCAACGCAGTATACACCACGTCAATTCTATCTCCATGTCGCAAACGAGGTCACTGGCGTCGTGTGCGACCTCTGAGAGGACGTTCGGTATAAAGTGTAGATGTTAATGATTAGGCTCCATAACAAATGCAATCACTGCCGTCCGTCGTGTGGCCGGCTTCTCCCTCTTGGTCAATGTAGAATGTCAGGATGAAGCCGAAGCAGACGAGGCCATCTCCGCAGGGGCCAATATTGTCATGTTGGATAATATCACAGGTGATGGTTTACATACGGCAGCCAAGAATTTGAAGCAGAAATGGAAAGGTAAGAAAGAATTTTTGATAGAGACTAGCGGTGGGATAGTGGAGGGTAGTTTGACGGGTAGGGTTGGACCTGGTGAGTAAATTCAGTTTCGTTCTCATGCTACATACAGTCTGAGTTTCCACCATTTGAATCCTCTACTTGATTCTTGGACCTTCATATCTGATGAGATAGAGAAAATGTGGAGTTGGTATTGGAGAAATGACTAACATAAGATATCGACATATTGTCCACTTCGGCTGTACATCAAAGTTGTCAACATGTCGATTTTTCACTTAAAATCCAACCAAAGGCAAAATGACATGCACCAATGCATCATCTACCCGAGATGACCTGTTATCCAAACTCCTGACACTTCTTCCTTTCTTTTCTCAATCTTTGATTTGTATTTCATTCTTCACTTTGATACCCCTACATTCCAAGTTCCTCCATCATTCTTAATAGGCCTGACAGAGTGTTACTCTTGTGCTCCACCTCAAAAGCTTCCGGTTTGGTTCTTCTTGCTCCACCCAAACGTGTCATCTTCCTTTTCCCCATCTACACGCGTTCAAGATACACGTACTCCCATCAATCCTATCCTTTCCTTGCTGTTGTGTTGTGTTGTGTTGTGTTGTGTTGTAATGCTACATGCGAAAAGAGTCATAAACTTGGTATCTGGTAATGCTGGTGGTCATGGGGTTCGTGGAGGACTATGGATACAGTTGTTTGTTGGCAAGGGTATGTACATTGTGAGATGTTGAAACTTTTTTCATCAGCCCGATACCCGCATTTGGCTATTCCGTCTTATCAATGAGAACGTTCATTCTTCTTCACCAACCCTCTGCTATCCCGGAGCCACGACAGATGAACCGTTCGATGCATCACGACCTGTCACAATTCTTCCCATGACGAGCTTAGGAGAATAAGAGAATAGGAAGATGAGTGTGGTTTGTAGGTACGAAAGAGGGATGTTGTCAAGAAACGTTTTCCCAACTCACAATTTATGCTCGTTATTCCATTCCTTAACCCATACGAAACCCTCTTGGTCCTGTCGGACTAGCAGGTGTCATAGGTTGAACAGGTGGAGGTTTAGGGTAACTCGTATCTCCTGGTCTACTCTTGTTCTGTCCCATTTTCGTGAAGCAGGTGATCATTGTAGACATTGTGGACTATCCTATTAGTATTCCTTTCTTTCACAATATAATGATCATCTTTTGATATCAAATCATTCACGTCATTCTCATCATCCCATAAAATCATCAAGTACCAATCTTCATCTTTCAAATACTTTGGAGAATCACTCACAAGTTGATTGGATGGGAATTGCCACTTTCCGTAGGTCTAGAATACCTTTCCAAAACTAGTTGAACTCCTTCAACCTCAAAACCAATCTGATGAGATGATCTCGAGTTTGAGGTCGATAGTGATATGTGAGATGTATGGAGGTAAAATGATCTTTTGTATATGATAGAGAGAATATTCAACTTTGGTATGATGAAGGTTGAGAAAATAATAATCGAAAGGGAGTTCAGAATTCAAGAATTCAAAGGAAAGCATTTCAACGTTTCAAGCTTTATATATCCGTGGAACCGTGCACCCGGCACCCATGCACCTCCTTCATCATACGGAGTACGGAGTAAACTACATACATCAAAAAAACCGCTATTCCGATGCGTACATGTACTTCTCCCCCTCGGATGTACAAGGATCTAAAAAAGAAGCATGGATTTAAAAAAGCTTCTGATGAAGATCAAGCTGATACAGTACATGATGCGTTCAATCCGATAAACCCGGTCTTGAGTCATGATTCAGAAGCTTTTGTTTGACCTTTACCTTCCCCGGTTACGATGAGGATAACCGGTTCAACTCGCCGGAGATTGGTGAAGTGATAGTGATGAGTTCAGTAACTTAGCGAGGCGACAGGGGTAAGCACGAGGTGGGGTGGTATGGTGTGGGGGAATGATCCGACTGGCCGACTGGATGTCGTAACGCGTCATTTTTAGCGAAGTGGAAAAGGTGGTAATTTTTAGTACATACGCGAGTAAGCAGTTTACTAGTGTCAAGCTTGCCAGCTGGTGAAGTGGTGAGTTTGTTACTTGCTTAACTAGTGGCTAGTTGCTAGATCACAGGGGTAGAACGGTTTCAAGCATCTGAGGTTTTGGAAAGTGTTTCGTACGGTATGATGATTGATGATGTCACGTTTGGTTCCTGGTCTCCATAGCCCCTGGCCCCTGGCCCCTGGAATGTGGGAACGATATCAATTCTTCGTCTATCCTTTTTCTCAAGCCACTGGCCACCATGCTCATACCGTACATTGACCACACCTGCCACATGCAACATGCACCTCGTTGTACGAAGTCGAGGGAGGGCAAAATGTGCATACTAGCATGTACGACAAATTCGAATCCCGTTTGTCCGATGAGAAGGTCAATTTGTCAGACATCTCAAAAGAAGTCAGAACGTACATGAGATCGATTCTCAGAGTGATCCACCTTGTCCATCTTGTCAGACATGTTCGAGATACTTCATGCATCAATTATCGGCATCATTCATGGTGAATGACTGAATGTTGCATGTTGCATGTCGGACCGTGAAAGATTGTCAGGTCCAAAATGAGAAAATCATGATCGTGTCTAATCAAAGATGAACATCTGATCGTCCAGGACTGACTCACCATTGCCAAGATTGTTCTACGTGAATTCATGGCTACCGAGTAAGCGCGGAATCTCGGTCCGAAAGACATCTCAATCACCCTTCGAATTATCCCCAACGAGCCAACGAGGCCAATCCGTTCTCGAACCACCTTAGTGAATCTTGAATCGTGATAATTGGCTGTGACCGGATGACCGACGATTGACGCGCTTCAGATTTCTCGATGGGATGTCGAGGTTCCGAAGAAGTAACTTTTGAGAATATACTTCTGGGTCGGAAGGGGGAACATATGATGGTGGGTACAGTGGATATAGCGGAGACGGGTACGGCAGTTCGATCCGCCCTAGAGCCGTGGGAAAGTGTGATCATGGGAGAGGATGAGTATCCGTAGGTACGACGAGTAGGTGGCATAATGGGATCATGAGCAAAAAGGTTTTGAATGGGGACGTGACTTTTGCCCTTTGGAGTTAGGGTGGAGCCCCGCCCTTGGGTGAGAGGTCCTGTAGGAATGTGCGCAATTGTGACGCTGAAGTCATAATCCTACACAACTCACGGCATTTGAGAAACTTCATAGTATCGTGTAACACACACCCTACACAGCCACAAACAGGCAGTAGGTAGGCCGGTAGCAGGGTGGGGGAGGATATGAGAGAGTAGGCCTATGAGAAAATAGCCAAGAAAACCAACATCGATGGCGACACCCTTCTCCTCCTCCCCCGATCCCCCGCCTACGTCATAACCCCCACTCTCCTTTCTCACCCCACACCGTCATCCTCTCATCTCGCAGCTCATCATGTCCTTCGTCACTACTTCTATCATCGACACCGTTCTTTCTCGTATCCCACTCAGTCGAAATCCAAGCAGTATGTCAACACCAACCGAACGCCAGCCATTATTATCTGGAACCGTCAACGGTCATAACCCTCCCAATCCTTCTTCCTTACGACGAGAGGTATCTGCGAATATGCCAACTGAAGGACAGAAAATCAAATTCGCTCAAGTATCCGGAGCTCTCGTAGCTGGTAAACTACCGTGAGTGTTATCATCGCTCTCTCTCTCTCTCTCTCCATCTCCCTCCCATCTTCCGCTCTCCTTCGCCTCTTAAAATCGCCACTCAGCGGTCTGCACACTATAGAGGGTGGCACACTGGAGTGGAATGAAGAAACATGACTAATGACCAGATCCCAAGAACAAATATCCGAACTACTTGAGATCGTCATTGAAAGCGACACTCTCAAACCTACAGGCGGACCTAACAGCCGTACCGCTCGTCTTGGACAGGAAGGACAGAGAGTGTTAGAAAATTTGAAAGAAGTTTTAAGGGCTGTTAAATCTTGGGGAGAGGAGAAAAACAAGGAAAATCTGATTCAGAACTTTTTCGTCAGTCATCTTCCCTCCACTGACAATGACTCTTGTTTCGGACACTAATGACCTCTCCGCTAACATCGTCGTAGCTTCGGAGACCTATGCTGATGTGCAGTACAACGCTTCGAGTGCCGAAGTCGACGTCGACTTGAAGAATCCCTCCATTCCATCTCAAAAAGAGCTCAGTAAAGACGCCCAAAGAGCCATTGAAAGCGCCAGGACCATTGCTAAACTCGTCGTCACCAACGACGCTTTCCGTCAGCTGGGCTCACAAGTCATCCTCCTCACCAGAGATGTGTTGGCGGATGCGGCTTCCGTAGCTGCCGAACAAGCTCAAAAGGCAGCGGACAAGACACGACCTAGTGAACAGGAACGCCAAGAAGGTATCGACTTCAAGGGGTTGGAGAAGAAAGGTAAGCAGACTGCTAAAGGTCTCAAAAGCGGTAAACTCCAAGGTGAGGCGCGGGAGTCCATCTGGGACGAGGTCGAAAGATTGAAGGAGTATGCGGATGAGAAGCTTCCAGAAGGTGAAGAAGCTAGGGACAAACTTATCCAGCGTCTTCAACAGGTAGGCTCAGCCACATGGCGCAATGGGTCGACGCTGATATCTAGGTTGTGACTCAGGCGCAATCCGATCCAGAATACAGAAGGGCAATCACCGCCATCGTGAACCTCTTCAAGAAGTACTCACACAAGGCGGAAGATGCCGTCAAAGAGACTGCGGACAAGTCTGAAATCAGTGACGAAGATGAAAAAGTTCAACAAGCCGGTCGAGACCTGAAAGCGTTCGTGGAGAAAGTGTCGGGCAAATCGATCGATGATCTCATCTCTGCCGCACAAAAAGCAGGCGAAGATGTGAAAAACGACGACAAACTCTCAGCATACTTCAAAGAGCTCGACTCGTATGTCCATCGTATACTGTATCAACCTGGATACGTCGCATCAAGAGCCGCGTATCGCAAAGCCGTCGCACTCTACGACGACGGGCAATCCCTCATCGCCGAAAACCCCACCTGGAAGGCTGATGCGGGAGAACTGCAGAAGCAGCTCGAAGAGCTCGTCAACGGTGTCACAAACGATCAGGCTACCAATCGATTGGTTCAGGCTATCGAGAATCTGGGAGACACCCTCTTGACTGCCGGGCAGATTGGTCTGAACAGTCTCAAAGTCGAGGGCAAAGGTTTGTACCGCGATTTTGCGGATGTCATCCTGCCAAGACTTGTGGGACTTGTCAAGGAACTCCCCGTACCAAGAGTGGAGTTCAAATCGGAGGATATCGATCTGGTCATTGATGATTTCAACCTGGAGTCAGCATCGTTCATTCCGGATTCGATCCGCTTCGTCCAACACAACGACATCCGGTTCACTCAAGGTTACGCTACGTGTGAGTACCGCTTCCCCTCCCCCCCCCCTCCCCCCCCCCCTCCCGGGGGTACCCCCCTTGCGTCACAGCCCAGGACATATTCGCCAGTCGGGGTCATTTGTGGATGTCAGAGGAAGTCAGCGCTGATCGGCAGATGCATCTGAGTATGATGGTACGGTCCGTCTTCGGGTCGAAGGACTGCACTTTGAAGCAAACAACATCGCCTTCTGGGCTCACAAGAAGACTGGTTTCATGCCATTCCAGGACTCTGGCATCCTGTCGCTCAAATTCGGTCCCAAAGGTATTTCTTTCGACGTCACTCTCGAGAATGCAGACGAAGAAGATCGCGAGTCTTTCTTCACCGTCAAGACCGTACAAGTTGATATGAGCGGCTTCGAATTCTCCATCTCCAAGAACTATCATTGGATCGCGACGTGGTTCGCGTCTCCGTTGTTGCGCGCTGTCGTCAAACGTAATTTGACTAGTGCTCTCGAGGAACAAATCGCCGAGTATCTCAGGAATCTGGACTTCCAGACGTTCGCTCTTCAACAAAGAGCCATAGCGGCGACCAACGCGAAACCTACCCCAGGTAATTTCATCCGGGCGGTAGTGAGCGATTCGATATTCCCTCAACAGAGAACGGGGCCTGTGAAGGTGGGATCAAAGGGAGTGGTCAAGTATGGTAGACATGGAGAGTACTTGCTCCATATTGGGGTGGACGAGGAGGTGAGTTCAATGTTGTCTTTCCCTCCCCCTTGTACGCATTCACAGTTTCAACTCCAGTGTTTGATCAGTTGTCGGGATTCGGATGAAGGGCAAGGCGAAACTGACTGTCAGTTGTTCCCCGACAAACCCGCCCCCCATCTCCGTAATCCCCAGAGACAGAAGCTCAAATCTCAAGCTGCTCAACTCCAAGGTCAAGCTAAGCGTGCCGTCGGGTCGGCGGATCAATTCAAGAAGACGGCCAAGGGAGGGGCCGACAAGGCCAAGGCGGAAGGGTCAAACTTGAGTGCTAGGGTGAAAGAAGAGCAAAGAAGGGCGAGCAGGACGGAAGGATGGAGGTCGGAGGCATTTGATGTCTAAGTGGGATCGGTACATGCTATTGTGTAAGGTAAGTTATGAGACATTTGAATCATGTGTAAAAGTAAACACGAACATGCATGTTATCCATCGTCGTCGTCGCGATCGAGCTCGGATGAATCTTCCCGAAAGCGTGCTTCAGCTCTGCTCAACTTCGACAATTGCTCTTTCTCCCACTTTATCTTCATACCAGTTCAACATACAACATACTCAGTCTATATTCGTCTGTTCGTGCTGGTAGTCCTGAACAATAGGTCACCAGTATCTCTCTCGATAGCCGCAACTAGCATCAGATCCGAGACGGTTCGGCCCAGGGGAAGCTGCTGGGTCATCAATCATATTAATTCGCTCCATCTTCACCCTCCTTTGACCATCATCGCCCCTCAACCTCACACGACCACATCGCCCCTACCATCCTCTCAGTCCTGGTCTTCACTTTCCTCTCTTTCATCAGATACATTCAACCACTGGCCATCCTCCCCACATTGAGCATCAGTTCGCCAATCTTTAATTGAACAGACGATCATTTCATTCGGCTTTTCCATTCAGCCCTACTTCATATTTTAAGAGCAACTTGGGAAGTCACACCTGAACTCTTCTCGTCTTCTCAGATACAACGTGTCGAAGTGTGACGGCTTTTCTTCTTCAAACGTAATCTTGGCAGTCGACATTTGACACACACGTTTCAATCCTCAAGGTATACCGGGAACATACTTGATCAACCGAGTTTCACCGGGTATACGCACCAAACCCGAACTTCATCATCCCATAATCGAGAACCAAACTTCTGACTCCTTCCTCGGAATCAAGGGCGTCTTCCGTCATATCAGAAGAAAGGGATTCGTATATCCACACCTCACAAAGGAACCTCAACCATTGATATCAAAAAGAATCAAATATGTCTCCTACAGCACTTCAAGTACCTACTCCTTTTTCCACACGTTCGAAATCACCTCATCTTCCAAGTTACTTATTTCAACCGGAATACGCAAACAAATCAGAGGGATCTAAACATTTAGAAAATTTAGAACATTTAGAAGGTTCAGAAGGATCAAGAACTCCCAGACCTGTAACTTTAACACCTTCTCCTCCACTTTCACCTAGGATGCATACATCTGATGAGTTACATAGACATGGACATGGTGATGGGGATGAAGGTGGAAGAGGGTTCGGAAATGACTTAGGATTTGGTATGAGTGTGGGAAATGGTGGATTAGGAGGAATGGGAGGGAAAGGTAAAGAACCGGATTGTATGGTTTTAATGAGGACTATAGATTTCGCAGCTAGGAAACATCAATGTCAGAGAAGGAAAGATGTTGATCAGACACCATAGTGAGTTTTCTTTCGAATTGTTTTGGAGTTTCCTCTCGATGGTTGTTGAGTTTTTCTGTTCTAGACTTTTTGATATCTTTCAACTGTTCCTCCATAGATACTTGGGGGAATCTATGTCATCTGGTGCCATTTTCACCCTTCTATCTACTCACTGATGTATGATGATTGAACTACACCAGTGTCTCGCTCTTGGTAGGCTGATGTCGTCGAAAGGCATTCAAGAACAAACATTACCGGTATCGCAATGACTGGGATCTGTAGGCTGACGAACAGTATCAATCACCCTATCGTGAGTTGTTCTTAACAATTGTTTCTCAAAAGTACGATGGAAGTCTTATAGACGTATCTCATCCCCCCCTGCTCAATCAGTCATGTTGCTTTGTCTGCTCATACCTTGCTCATGGCGGAATTAGGTGTGAAGTCAGCCGTGTGTGAGTAATCACTGACTGATAGGCTGTTGCAAACCTGTTATCAAGCACGGGTGTTACAGATGTAAGAATCCTACAAGCTGCTATCTTACACGATACGGTAGAAGATACATGCACGACTGTTGGTGAGTACGATTATCCTGTTCCCGTGTCGATTCTCACATGTACTCCTCATGACAGCTTTAAAGTAGGCGAATAACGTCGCTAACTATTCAGAGGAACTGGCGAATATGTTCGGTTTACAAGTTGCTCGTATAGTCGAAGTGAGCTTTTTCCCCAAAGCCACTAGACTTTGTTGACGAGTAGGAATGTACAGACGATACTTCTCTTTCTGGTATGGAGAGAAAATTGGAACAACTCCGATCGGCGCCTTTCAGATCTAAAGAAGCTCAGATGGTGAAATTAGCAGAGTGAGTCCCTTGCTCTTTCCCCTGCCCTCTCTCTCCATTTGTCCTTCTTTCTAGTCCTGTTCCCTTCGCTATGTCAAATCAGTCACTGAGTGCCTCACTGAGTGCCTCACTAAATGCCTACCTTGCCATTCTACGTTCGACTTCTACAGCTGGCACTTGGGTCAGAATCTGAGCTGAATCTTAGTAAACTGCACAACTTAGAATCTATACGTAGAAGTCCACCCGTAGGATGGGGTCCAAAACGTATACAGAATTACTTTCTTTGGGCCAAACAAGTCACAGACAGTAAGTTCTTCCCCTTTGATCTATGATATCATAAGTTGAAAATCAGTTTGCGCATCCGCACATCCACCACTTGCAGCTCGTTTAAAACATTTATATGAAACCGCTTATACTCGTGTCAACGGTGTTTATATCCCATGTCATCCTGAAGTATGTGGTACTTTGACAGAGGTGAGTCTTTTATGATTTCACACTTTCACAGTGTAGATCTGATGAGATAGGACGAAAAGAGTAGGATAGATAGTCGCTTGACAGGGTTAAAAGTTGGTGAATCACCCAGACCTCAACCTCTGTTCACATGACCCAATTGTATGGGTAAGGTGACTTGGGAGGTGTACGAACATTATAGATACATAAATGTAGCAGAAGTGTTCGTGATACTTACCATAAATTATCATATCTATCATATCTCATGATTCATCATTTGCACCATGTAACCAATCATTTCAATTGATGATTACAGATATGATAATCTCATTCGTCTTTTGAATCTTCCCATTGAAACCCTCCCATAGCAGCTACAGATTTTGAAGAAAGATGAAAAGTATAAAGAACGCAAGGATCGGAGACCATGATGGAATGAAGCAACTTTGAAGCTTTATAACAAACCACATCTCCAGGACATAATGTTAAATTCCAAATACCCAATTGAGCGATATGTATTTGACAGTTTCCTTTTCCCCCGACGATGATAACCGTGTACGTTTCTTCAGAATCGGGACTATCATAATGCCAATTGATTGATTTTCCTTGGGAAATAGTCACCATGGAATTGAGTCCGAAAAAACATTCGTTATCGATTTTGAACTAGTTTATCAGTAACGATTCTCGTATACCTATTTCATCTCTTCGCTTATTACATGTGCATCCGCTTACTCATGAAAAGTCTGTCGGTCCTTCAGATATTGGAAATAGGTTTTAAACTTACATTTGGAACTTGTGTTTTAGCGGGATTCACCTCGTCTTGGACTTTTAAAAGTTTTGTAGGTGCTATACGCATTTTCGAAGATGTTGGAGAATCCACACTACCTAATTTATGGTATAAAGTCCCTCCTGTAGCTTGACGCAAAGCAAAACTTCCATCAGTCTCTCTTTCTCGTCGCCATCAGTTCAAAATACTCACAGAAGACTTTTTATCGTCTCTCTCGAAAGAGGTAATACCTTTTCCCTATTCTTCCTCATTGATCCCTCAAGGTATGATTGTCTGGTGGAAAGATCAGACATAGTATTCCAATCCAAATATCTAGCCGATATACCTAAATGATACTCCGGTTCACCAACTTTCTTTCCGTTCTTCATCTTTTGAATTGAACGTTGAGATTCCATCTAACATCAACAAATTTTTCTCTTAGATCTATATGATGACTCACCTTTGAAAAATCTTGATGAGATTTTTGTATACTTTCAAAATGTCGACTCTCAGGAGGAAAAAATTGTTTGAAATACGTGAACAGAGATCTGGGATCATCTGCTTTAGGACATGGATGTGGTATGCAGAAATCGTATTGACCCAGCTTATGTCCCTCGGGCATATCGAGACCTCTCTCTCGATCGGTGAGTCCTTTTTCCATTTTCAAGATATCCTCAAGGACGTGAAAATAAGTATTGGGTTGGTTTTGATTTACGTGGGGGATGACGGGAGGGACGTTGATAATCATCATCGTGGGATATTTTAACGTGTATGTGACTGTATGTCAATTGAAACAAATTCTCACACTCACATTCGTCTGAGGACCATTTCTCATTGAAAAAATCGTGTACCAGGATACTTAACAGACTAGAGTTGAGGGATGAGTAAAGTAAGTTATATGAAATACCCACAAACAGGATGGTTTAATTTGAAACGTTGTCCGTCAAATGGTTTCTGCTTCTTACCACGATGACCTGGACGTTTCTTCCTCTTTCGCTTTTTACCCGTCTTCTCTGACTCTTCAGGTTGTTCCGTCTCTGAATCTTGCTGTAGATCAGTACAGTGGTTTCATACAAAGTGAGTATATCGTAAGGACAGACGACCATGAGGGGGTTATGGGTGTTTCAGCCGGGGAGGTAGTCAAAAATGAGTGAATGGTGTGACTTGATCTAAGACTGATACCCAATGTCGAGAGAGAGAGAGAGACAGTATGATCGGAGCAGGTAGCGACACTTATCGACCTTTACGATCCCAAGACAAACTCACCAGGTCGACTTGGGTGACACTGACGCTTGAGTCGAGTGTTACAACAGATGTCGACCCTTGACCCGCCTTGTAATTATCGTCGTCCTCAGTCATGTACTTACTAGAATCAAGTCAAAGCGATTGATGGTCAGTTGTGTAGAAGTAAAAGCGTAAGCACAGTACGAGTAAGGTAGACATTTTCCACTTCTGGTCAGAGATCAGAGATTCTTGGTGGAATCAAGTGACGTTTCAAGGGGGAAGATAAAGAGCGGCCATCGCCGCCATTCCACCTACCACCTCGTCGCTGTCACTGTGGGTGTTCCATACCATCAAGAACACTTGTAGGAGGACAATTCAAGGCTCAACTACGAACAACATGGAGGCTGACCCGCTCTTTCTCGTAAAGCAACTTTTTTACCAAGGTACGTTTACCGATGAGATCATGGGGTTTTGCTGATTTCCCAGCATCTTATGAAGGTTTGTCGTTGCTGTCTTTCCTCCCTTCGCGGTTCTCTTTGGGCTGAATCAGGACCACGCCGACCTTGCCTACTCTTTCAACTGTCTAATCACCCTCGTGACCTCTGAGAATGGGTGCCTACACAGTACGGGAAACATTATGCGTCGCGGGGAAGGGAGATGGGGAGATATCAAGACGCGGAGAGTTGGAATGTGCCAACGTCAAGTGGAGATTTTCATATACTAACGCCTCAGCATGTATAACCGAATCTATCTCACCTATCTCACCTCCTGATCCCTCATCCCCCGAACATCTCAACCGTACACTTTACGCAGCTCGTGCTCATCTCGCCCTTCACCCATCGAACCCCTCCGCCGCACTTGAACTGCTCACTCAACTCCCCGACCCGTCTGTACCTTCCGCCAGAGCCGTCACCGCTCTCGCCAAATACGTATCAGGAGAAGAAAAAGCTTCAAAAGTGGAAGAACTCAGGGATTTAGTATTGGAACTTGAAGGTGATGAAGGGGATAAAACGGAAGAAGGTGTAGTGAGAGTCATAGCTGCTACAGTGTTCATTTTGGAGAATGAAAAAGAAGAAGCTGTTGCTACTTTGACAGAAGGTTGTGCTAAGGAGGATTTAGAGTGGTATGTTGTTTATCTACTTCTTACCTCATTTAACATCCCTTCCCTCTATCAGTAAACAAAGATCAGTAAAGTCGTCTCTTGGTGGATTTGGTGAACAAAAGTGACAAATGTTGACTTGACTTTTTCACCCATTCAAAACACTTGGAGTGGACGATGAGAGAAGAGAGGGAGCATGTGACACATGGGAGGAGAGGTCAAGGACTGATTCACAGCATTGCACTTCTCGTTCAACTTTTACTCAGTATGGACCGTCGTGATTTAGCTCAAAGCGCCTACGCTTCCGCGAAGAAAATAGGAAATGATTCTGCTCTCGTCCAAGCTATAGAAGCGTGGATTGGGCTGAAAACTGTTTGTCTTTCCCTTCAGCTGAACCTTTCCAGTCCCCTCCTCCTTCCCTCCTTCACCCCTTCCTCCCTTTAATCGAAATCTGCCCGACATTGCTACTCTACAACCCACAAACACCTCATTTATCTATCGTCCGTTATACCAGTGTTGAGCTGATAAATCAGGGAGCTAGACCCCTTCATCAGTCTTATTACTACTACGAAGAACTGTATCAACTTCCTTCCGGTCGAACCCCTCCTGTACTCGCTTCTCATGCTGCTGCTCACTTGCTTCTGGGTCATGTAGAGGAAGCCAAAGCCGATGTTGTTGAAGCCTCTCAGAGACAAGGAGGAGATACTCACCCGGACATACTGGCCATTGGGACTTCTCTCCGCATGGAAGGTTACTCCGAGTAAGTCTCTTCATCAAATTCATAATACATACAGCTGAATAATGATTAGGAAACTAGCTTCTCTTGCTGTTCAACATCCTTTCGCCGTTGATTTGAAGAACAAAAATTTGGAGTTCGATGAAGCCGCCGCCAAATTTGCCATCACTTCTTAGGTAGAGATTCATGTCAATACCACGAAACGAAATACGAATTATTATGCAGTCATTGGATCATCTATCACATGTGTACTTCAATTTGAAGCAAGGTCGGCATGCGAGAGAAAATGGGGAAGGAGGACGAAGGAGACATAATCACAAGTCACCTATAACTCCCGAAGTGTCTAAATATCTACGGTAAACATAAACTACAATTTAGCCCTTTCCATCTTGCGCTCTGAAGATTGAGCAAATATAACATTCCCAATAAACCTCCAGAGCGCATCCGCAATATCATCAGGTCTTTCTTGTAAGATCTGATGACTTGATCCTATGACCTTTTCATTTCTACTGATCGGAGCTCGATATACCATTTCCCTCGTGATATCATCTCCGTAAGTCGTACGAGAATCACCAGCCATGAGGAATCCAGCGGGAATGGTGACTTTAGGTAAAAGTTCCCAACCTTCCGCCAGTCCGGTAGATTCGGCGAAGGAAGTGGCTTCACACCATGGAGGAGTGGCTAGTGTGACTGGTCCGTCTTCTTCTTCTTCTGTCGGCTTTTCCTCAGCCGTCATGCTCGCGGTATTCGTTACAGTTGTGGCGGAGGATGCTGCCTCGCTGGTTGACGAAGTGCCCTCTGTAGTTGGTGTGCCACTTGGCGTGAGAGAGGAATGGGAAGCGTATGTGGGAGGAAGAGATACCAAAGCGTGTGATTTCCAAATTTCCAACACTTCAGGATGATAGCGTTTAAAGAAATTTGACTTCAAAGCGTGTTCCACGGCGGATTGACGAGAAGGCCAAATTGACCTTCTGCTAACGGACAAAGTGAGTAATGGCCAAGCTGCTAAATCGGATGGTTCTTGTTGAGTGTCTATGTATATAGGAGGAGCCTAATATCAACCATAATGCCTCAAATTACACGACCTTCATCTCAGATTGGGTAGTGTAATCGGGAAACCAAAACTCACCATTGGATCCAACAAGAACATTGCATGAAACAAATCCGGTCTATAAGCAGCTGCTTGTATCCTTCTCCATTAGCTTCCTCTTTATGAACATGTTAGAAACTTACATGGCGTTTCCACCGAGAGAATGACCTACTCCTATCACTTTTGGTTTTCTTCCTTTTGGTAATGCCAAACCCCACGAGGGAACTCCTTCAGAAAATGTAGGAAGGATATGTTCTATAAAATTTATAATATCTCTTCCTCTGTCCGACCATAAATGTACAGGACCTAGTTTACCTTTGTTCAAGTCTAGTGATGAAGCATGGATGACGTCGTCGAGAAGATAGATATCGTCGATTCTTGTCGTACTTGGTAAAGGTGTGACTCGGCGATCGGGGTTGAGGGGAAGGACCGGGAAGGGAGATTCACCAAAGATTGATGATTGGGAAGGAGGTGATTTGGCGAGTAGTCTATGAAGAGTAGGATGCCAGTCCTAAGTATCAGTATTCATGTACCCTTAGGGCTAGTGGGTTCTTCCTGAAACAAGATCCACATTTTTTATGGCAACAGAGAGCTGACGTCTTCTCTCATGTCACGGATACCAGATTGGGCATTCAGGACGTACGGTGCACGGATTGAGGGGTAAGTGTGGAGGGTTCAGTTAAGATGGTGCGTAATGAAAAAAAAAACAGAAAGTAAGAGTTGCGAGAGGTCCACTAACCTCCTTCAAAAACCCATTAGCATGAGCCATGACCAAAGTCAATCCTTCACCGTCTTCCACCTCATCCCTTCTCCACCTCTCTACCGCCAACCACAAACCAGGAGGTTTAGCAGTCAAAGCTTCTTCTATTCCCCATCGTCTGGTATGATACCTCTTCCTTGCAACTTCCAATGCTTCTTCGTTCAAGCGTGCCCGACGTTCTTCCTTACTCTCCCACTCTTTAGGTGGGGTCAGCTGAAAAGGTTCGGAGAATCTATGTAACGTTCCTGTACTATCTGGTGTACTTCGAGGGTAAGCAGCTGGAACAGAATAAGAGGTGGAAGTGAACCCTTGTGGTGGAGAGAGTTTTGGACGTCTGGGCAAGGTGGGAGGAGGGGTTTGGGGAGGTGGACAAAGGGGAAGGAAGGGAGGTAAAGGGAATTGTGATGGTGTGAGATTAGGCGGTTGAGTGTAGAATTTTCTTGTAGACATTTCAAGTAATTGTGGATATGTTCTTTGACGAAGCATCAGTAAGTTTGAGGGATGATAAGATGATTAAGGGAGAAGATGATGATAGATCTTTGATCTTTGAATTCCGTCAAGTCCGGGATGGGGTAAGATTGCTTTCCGTGGACCGGAATGTCTTTGTCACGTGACGTACCATTCCCACGACGTCATCTGCGTCTTTGCTATATACTATTCAATTCTCCCACACATGTCAACAAAACAGTATTAACGGTCAGTATCAAACGAGGATTAATTCATATGCTCAGTGAACGAACCGTGAGACATAATCCTTTTATAATCAAGGAGTAGGAATGCCTGCTGTTCCCGCAAACACACCTTCAAATTCCGCTCGAACAGAACAAGGCCCTCTCCCGCAACCTGAACCTTCCCCTGCAGTAGTCCATACCAGTTCACACGATACCTCACATGTCCTTCCTCGTCGTTTCCTGGGACCTATCCCTGAAAATATAATAAACTCGGATGAAGTCGAGGAGAAACGTAGACGTCTGATCAACCTTCGCCGTCGGGCTCTGAAGAGGTTTTATCATTTGGATCGAGAGAGTCGACATGTAGGGGTATCATGGGGTGACGCTTCTTCTGAAGGGTCTGGACATCTGATAAACTACATGAACAGAATACGTAAAGGGAGAGTTTTGAGTGATGATACTGGGAATGAAGATGAGGAAATTGATATGGACAGCCCGGATGAAGGAAGTTCGAATTGGAATCGGGCTAAAAGGAAGAATGAGAAGAAGAAAAGAAAAGATATGTGGATAGGGGGAAGTTTTGATATTGGTAGAGAATTTAACCCTGCTCCACACCCCCAAATTCAAATTCAAGAAATCCCCCCTTTTCACGACGACCATCACAAACTACCCACAAACGACAAAAGTCGTACTCCACAAAGACCCCCGAATCGCACGAAAGACACCCAGGAGACCTTCGTCACCGCCCGAACGAGATTTACAGATCCTACTGCTTCTACCAGCTCCGTCCGATTGCATGATCAAGTCGGATATCATGTGGAGGAACCGAGAGCATCGACGAGCTCGAGATCTTTGGAATTGGTCAGTCCCGACCATCGGACTTCACAAGCATCGTCTTTGAGACCACTTGTCAGTGCACGATTCGATGAGGTGCCGGTCACGACGACAAATGGTGAAGAGGGTTTGACTCCGTTGAAGACTAGACCGTCTACTCAGAGTCTTGGCAAAAGACTGAAATCAGCACTGCGAAAATCGTCTTCACTCACAGTAGCCGGTCCCGAAACTAGGAGCGATACGCCAGGAAGACTAGGAGTCGAAGCACCGACCAAATCCAAGTCAGTTCAGTTCCCTGTTAATCCAGTCAATGTGGTGCAAGAAGGAGAAGGGGAAATCAAACCTAGGAAAGGGAACAAGGCTCCAGTAGATCCTGAGGTAGTGCTCTCTAGGGAAGGGGATGAGGCGGAAGGCACTAGTGCTGGGGCTGCTGTCGATCTCGCTGAAAATGATGAGGACGAGGGAGAGGTGGTTTCTCCAGGTGAAGTAATCATGAGAGGTGAGTACCGATGCTTAAAATGTTTGGAACCACATTGCTGACTTCAGATCGGATGTTGGTCGGAGTTGGTTATCACCACGAAGAACCTTTACCGTTCTTTGACGAAGCTCAGCAGGTGTGTGCGAGACAATCTAGCCGACTCAGGCTGACGAATAGCGACGAAACCCATGTCAACGTATGGAACGACTCAAAGAGTATATCGTTGTGCTCCGTCAAGGCCGTGTTGAACTGTATCAAGACTGGGTAGGTCATACTCATTCCACTCATTCATATCACAATACTAAATTTACCAGCGTCTGCCCTTGCAGGAGCATTTCAAGAATCAGAAACGACTCGCCTTTATCATTCCACTACAACCCGGTCGTACGTCAATCACTATATTCAACTCCACAGATATGACCCTCTGTCTGACCACATCGGCTGGTCGATTGCACGACGATCTCGAACATATGTTCCAATCCTCCCGTTCAACCACGATCAAACATCGACTCTCTCATTCGAAACAAGTTCAATGGCTCCGTCGTCGAAGACAAGGTACTCATGTTTTCATTCTCAAAATTCCGGAGAGATCACGATCTCTTGATTGGTTTTGGGAATGTTGGCGGGAACTCAGTGGGGAGCTTCCTTCGTGGCTGGACATCAACGTCTCGGAGTTGTCAATGTCAATCCGATTACATCTCCCACAAGACGAGGACGAAGTGGGTGGGAAACATATGACTAAGCAGTTCAGCCAGGTCAATACGGTCAACACATGTTTCGAAATGATCAAAGAGGTGATTGATGTGGAAGATCTGGAAAGACAAAGAAGCGTATATGGAAGAGAAAATGTAGATCTTCGTTTGTGTTGGAAGTCACCTTCGGGTGAGCTGGATTGGGTGGCGTATGATGATACTGTTGAAGGGAAGAGTAGAAATTGGGCATTACTTGCCGGTGTGTCTCGATGTCAAGTAAGTGATACATTCCTCATATCTTCCTTCACTATACAGTGACTTTCCTCGTGCTCTCACAGAATCAAACTATACTTGGGTGATGATGCTGAATGAGGAGAACGAGCGTACTCCCGGTACACTTGAGTTACGTCCCGCCGGTCATCGTCCCCGCTTCCTACGACTAGAAGACGGTACCTCTCTCATCGAGCCTCCAGGAATTGAAGGATATCTTATTCGACATAAATCTCCCACTTCACCCAGAGAGCACGTTTATCTTTCTACACATGAAGGAAATATCTACACGTCTACAATGAAGAACGCTCATCCTCCCCTAACTCCGGGGAAAGAAAGCCATACTCCCCGTGATCTGTTCCCGGAGGTTTTCGATACTTTCCAACATGAAGAAAGTGAAAGAATGTCCTTCTTTCTTCAACACTCAGTCGGAAGTGTCGATTTGAGAAGTATTGAAGAGGTCGAACTCTGTCCGCCAGACTTACAATCCACTTTACCTTCTCACAACCCCGGATCCGAGTCAGAGGAAGTGCCAGTGACTTGGGGTAGAGGACCAGGGGGAAGATCGGCCAGATCCTTCGAACTCGCTCTGTCGAACGAGACAGTCAAGTTCGAAGCTCACACTACCCAATCAGCGGAGGAATGGGTCCAAGGCTTGAAGAGATTGGTGGAATATTGGAAGAGACGTCACCGAGTCGAGTAAGTTTTCATCCCTATCAAATGATGTGGAGGAGGGACTGATGATAGTGCTCGACAAAGGATGGATGCTTTGGAGGTGACAGCTTCTCATGATCCGTTCGCAGGGACAGAACTGGGGAAAGGGTCAGATGTCATCTTGACGGATATTTGGGATTGGTGTACTCTTAAAGGGTGTACACCGGTCTGTCAAGCTGGAAGGTTGTTTGTGAAAAGAGGACCTTATAGGAAGTTTCGGTAAGTTATCTCATCACGAATCCCCCAGTTCTTTCACCCTTGTATCCTGCTTTACTCACTCTTCCTTCTCCTATTTGTCTCCCTTAATTCGTTGGCCCCTGCGATATCGAATATCGTCTCTATCTGATTTGATGTGGTGTAAGTCACGGGGTATATGTTATGGCTATGATTGCGCCATTGGTCACGTCATGTACTTATCTGATGATAGCCATCGATACATTGTCCTCTCCGGAGGATGCATAATCACATTCAAAATCAAATCCTCTCAACCGTTTCAACATCGTAAATCCCGTTGGCCCCTATTCGGAGCATACGTTTATTCTGGTATGTTAGCAGTGGATGAATTACACGTAGCACAGGATCAAGATGCTTTTACAACTCGACATAGGGTATATCAAGATGGTCTTCAAGTGAGTCATCCAATCAACTGAATGAGAGGGAAAGGTGAAGTTGCTAATCGGGCAGAGTTGTGACGGGACGGAAGATACTACTTTTTGTGTCAGGTTTTTGTTACCTGAGAATGGATGGGGGAAAAGACATCCATGGGAAGAAGGAGGGATCATTCAACCTCCACAACTTAGTGAGAAACCTCCTGCGTTGTTAATCTTTCGAGCCAGGTCGAAGGTAAGTCACACTTGCTCCTCCTTTTGACCCCCATACAGTATGTCAACACCTTCTTGAGCCTATCACTCTCATTGTTGTCTGCTGACATGTTGTATCTATCTCACACGGTACTGAGTCGCTTCTGAGCGATTGGGCTCCTTAAGAAGAAGGGGAGGCCGGAGAGGGCGAGGGACACGAGACGTAAAGTGGGTCAATCTGAACTAACGTCCAGCTGGAAAGAGATCGTTGGGTATGGGCAATCAACGCAGAGATGGAACGTCAATCTCGTTCACATGTGGAGATGGGGAAAACATTACGGAACTTTGGGCAGGTTCCTGTTCGCTGATTTGCTGCAAGTTAGCGATTGTTGTCTTCACTATTGTCATATATTCAAAATCATGGCCAGATCAGTGTATGTATGGCGCGCGCGAAGGGCCATTCGATTTTTTTTTTCCTCACCCAGATTTTTTTTTCAGATGGTATAATCCAAAACTTCTCCTCCCTACAACTCCACAATGCATGCAGCTACAGCCTTGAAAATTGAAGGGTGTACTCCTGACACCTTGATGCATCATCTGTCACAATATGAAGCTCTCAAGTGACCCAAGAGAGTAGATCACTTGATTCGATATTTTGATGTGGGGCCCCAAGGGGGGATCGACCCAATGTGGCACTTCCTTCTCACCACCCCCAAATATCACTAAAATATCATTCTGTCATCACTTACCATCTCCATGGTCTTCTTTGAGGCATGCAGACGCCCGAGAAGGCTCTGAATAGGTTTCCTTCTCTTACAGTAGGAATTTGATGCATTCAGCTACCTCCTGTGAAACAGGAGATGGAGAAAGGCTGTTTTCCTCCTTATAGAGAACCTATAATTTGAAGCGTCTGATGTAGGCTGTTTGCATGCATCTAGATAGCACCAAAAGATACATCTAGGTGCACTGAGCTATGTTCAAAAGAGATCTCCTCAATACCTGCAATATTGACTGAGATAGAGGGAGAAGAAGATCATCATGCATGCTCTTCCTGAAGAAAAAAAAGCGTGCAGATGAAAAAAATCAAAAAATCGAATGAATTGTTATACGACATGAACCCTGAGTCAGTCCGGACGGGGGTCCTAGGGCCCGTCCGGGTATCATTTCGATAACTGACGCAGCGAAATTGTGACTCATGGTGTCGATCGTTCGCAGTGAAATCGCGTCTTAACATCTGCTTACTCTTGCTCTCTTTTGCTCATTCTTGCTCGCTTCTGCAAACACTAACCATAGCTTGCATACAAACACTACTAACCACTAGAAGGGGCTAGCTCCAGTCTGAGTTGACTTCCTCATACGTTTTCGAGGAGTTTCTAACACAGAGGCGTCATCGGGAGCGAGTTCTTGAGCTTGTGTTGCAATTAGATCCGAAATTCGTGTTCGAATGATCGCTAATTGTCCAGCAATACCGTTAGGTTCGAGAACGTATCCACCTTGTGCTAGTCTGTCAGATTAAGCTCGTAAATGATAAATATCGAACTTACCAGCTAGCTTAGCCTGATTTTCAACCGCTTTAATTGAACCTAGCTCTTCACGAAGAGAACCAAGAAACGCTCGCTCGTCTACTTTGATTTCTGCCTTACTGACAAAATCACATCGTGTTGACGTACCAAGTGCCACACACTCGCAGCACGCACCAGTAGGTATCTCACCAACGGTCAAACATCCAAAAGCACACGAATTTGAGCGATTTTGACGGCCTTGACACTGAGAACAGGACAAAGAACCAGTTCGTCGCCAGACATTAGGACTAACGGCGTGATTAAACGCCTCTCGATGGTTTTTCAGCTACATATGTTAGATCCAAAACTTTACTTATAAAAACAACAAAAAATACTAACTTTTGACGACTCATTGGGCAAAATAGCTACCTTCGGACTCTTCTTGTCATCTGGGATCTTAACGACCGAATCTACGTTGGAATCTGGCCATTTTCGCAGGGATAAGCCGCCAATTACGTCCCACTTATATTCATCGTCAAATCCTACATCATATAAGCTTAACCAACAAAATACTAACGTAACTAACCAACAACCGTATCTCCAAACTTCATTGGCATACCACGAGCAGTTTTAGACTGGCTTGAGGGCGTGGCGGTCATACTTTGAGCTCTTTGGCGATTGTGGGAGGTATTGTTGGGTCTACTGACGATATTTGAGATACTAAGACTACGTCTCACGTTAGGCATTCAAAATTGTAAGTATCAAGCCGTGAAAACAGTTAAAAGTGATGAGCCGTGGGGAAGAAAGAGCAGCAGACCATTGGTATATGTGACAACGGTGAAAAACCTCTTAATCAACATCTTGACAACCAAAGGAGGTGTTACCCTCACTACAGACAACAATTTCGCGTTTCATCGGAAGCGAGCAGCTAATTACCTGAATTGCCTCATGCTAGCTTGCAGGAAACGATTTTCAAACGCCGTGTCTGAGACACGCCCAATCAAGCAGGGGCGTACTTATTCCCGTACTTTTACGAAGTTATGAACCACTCCTTTGATGTTTGACTACGCCTTAACAAATACGAGCCAGGGTTTAGCAAAGTCCCTTTAAATAAGCAAAAGCGAGCAAAAATGAGCAAAAGTGAGCAGGAATTAGCAAAAATAAGCGGACAACAGACAGAACGCGCTACATATTGCATACTTACTCTAATTTCTACACGGATAGGATATCTATAGCTGAAGCCTTACTTAACCAGTTTTGCAACGCATCTAACGACGGATTCTTCAAGCCTTGTCTATGAACATCTAAAAATTTTGCTGCTTCGCTCCCTGTGATTTCCCTTGATTTCATTAACTCTTTAACAGCTTTAATGACGCCCATTCGTCTTCGGTAGAACCTTTTCTCTGTTTCACTAGCATCCTTTAGTCCATGAGCACCGTTTTCGTATTGGGACTGAACAGATGGGCGTCCATTAAGACCAATGGTGTATTCTTGCCATAATTCCTGAACCGTACACACAGAACGACTCATGGTAAAGGGTTCAAGTTGAATGAAAGAAGAGGGGTCAAAACTGTTGGAAGAAGAAGGCAACGTTGTTGATGAGAGTGGTACTGAGTACATTGGTGCAGACAAAGACGATGATGAAGAGGATGATTGTTGAACGTCCATATTTGATAAATCTCTGGTCATATCGCTAAGCAAAGACTGTAAAGGGCCAGGAATGATCACGGGTCGACTAAGAGCAGTTTGAATGAGCGTAATACCGTCGGACACAGCTTTTATCTGTTCTTGATTTTGAATTTGACTTTGATTTAGCTGAAGAACATTCGAAAGTATGTCTTGGAACGATTGTTGGTGAGCTCGAGTTTGAGTTTGCAATAGTTCATGCAAGATTGGAAGAGCTTGAGCTATTCGGTCATCATATCTTTGCTCATTACTGATTGTACGAGTAAGTGCTTCTCCTTCAAAACGTTTGTACTCTTCATCGGCAAAGAGTGGATGGTGAAGATATATAACGAAGGAAAGAGTTTTCGCCAGTGAGGAATATCTTGTAGAAACACTTCTCTTAAAGACGCTATTGTCTGCAAAAACATTCGGCCTGTTAACTCCTGCTGCTGATGAATAGGAGAGTTCAGCAAAGCCGTCCTAAATAAATTAATTACATTCTTTATAAACAAGATAACTTACCATTTATCTACATCAGGAAAAATTTTCCTTAAGAGAGTAGGAGAAGGAGTAACAGCGCGTGGTAAAAAAAATCCTTTCCCTTCTACAGGGAAACCAGCAAGTGCTCGTAAAGTTTTACGAGGGATGTGTGTAAGATAGTGAATTTCAAGAACTGAATGCGCCCAATGACCGGCTCGAGCAATTTCATCCGGAGAAGCACCCCCTTGTTCGGCAAGACGTGCGCCTAGTCGTCTATTAACGTGCGTTTTTTGATACGTATGTACATTTGCAGCTTTAAGCGCTTCATTGATTGCTCTTCTTTGCGTGTCATATGACACCTCTTTTAATCTGTTCTTGCCGTCGCTTAAAAGCGGAAGATCGTACCAGTTTGCACGAGTAGCAAGATTTGGAAATCCACTGGGAGAAGGGCCGCAATAAAAGCTATTTATTAGTTAAAAGTCTTTTATGTATTTAAATTGACACATACCGAGCAAACAAATACAAACTTAGCAAAAAGACAGGACATACACTCAGATCTTTGTTCCGAATAAACGCAGCATACTCTGCCTTGCCAGATGCGTTTGTTTTACTTGAATGTAAGACAAGAACAACTAGCAAACACGCTGTTGGTCCTTCGTTGAGCGCTATCTCTGAGGAAAGGTCTGATAGAAGCATTCGACGTTGGTTATCGCTTCGAAGCATTCCATATACACCAAGGGCTTGCGCAAGGGCATCTCGGAGCCCTTCCTCGTTATTTCGCTCCATGTAGTGTGCAAACGATCTCGCTAGTTGCTTAGTATCTTTGTATCCATCATAAAACAGCTCTATTTGTCAGGTGTTGCTAACGTTTGTTCACTTACGTTTGCCCTTGTCCTCGAAAAGTAACTTTTTCCTTCTTTCTGTAAACTTTCGTAGAACAGAGATGATTGTAGCTGTGTGGACGCTTCGAGGCGATGTAAAATTGTTGATTCCTCTTTTGACCTGCTGTTCCCAGAGATTTACAAGTGCTGCCACCCAGCCATGCACCGTTGACCAACTTAGCTGACATTCCAAAATTATAGTGAGAGCTTGTATAATGAGCAGCAATACTAAAAATTAAATCAAAAGCTTACTAGATTTTGCACGACCACGATTACTTGAAGAAGGGCCTGGTCTTGACAGCAAAAGGTGGTCTATTTCGGCCTGCGTTTGTACAAGACGCTGTTGTTCCGTTTCGTCAGAATATTGAGAAGGATCTTCCGCCAAAGTACTATCAATACTGCTCATATCTACATCTTCAAACGTATCATCTTCTTCCTCAGCTATCGCTAAGCTTTTGGAGTTTTTTTTGCCTCGGAGCCGTCAAAATAACTTCATATAAAAACAATAAAGCCAATTGTGGGGTAACAGTAGCTCTATACGTTAGCACACAGTTATTGATGAGTCAAACACACCCTTCCTTTGCACATCACGCACGAGCGTCACAAAGTATGCTATCTTTAGCAATAATGAGCAAAAGCGAGCAAAAATGAGCAAAAATGAGCAGAAGTTGGCAGAAGTGGGTCCTTTACTCACTCTGTTAGCCAAGGCTTGCTTTTTACCCATGTAAACCACTTTTTTTGTCGGCTTTTGTACTGTTTAATGCTGTTTGCGGACAAGTTGTATTGTTCCAGATCAACCGTTCCATCAACAGCGTTCCTGGCTTGAGGCGTAATATAAGGAGTGCTTGTAGTCAAGTTTGGGTTTTGTTTGGCATGACGAGGCATATTGGTGTATATAAAAGAGTTAATAAACTACTAAAAGCAACGATGAGTATGAAGATGATGAAGAGAGTTAAAACGACTCAAGCTGCAATTCTTTTGGCAATGAGACAACTACTAATGCATTAGAAAGCTCATGTCGTATAACTAAGGTATAATTGGCTGTGTTTAAGAGTATAACTGCAGTTATACGACATAGCCTTTCTAATGGCATTAGGAATTGCAGGCGGATGCATTAGGATTCAATCTCTGAGGCGCGGGATGATTGCCCAAAGTGGCAGTTTTGGCCGGACGGACCCAGTCCGCGCGGTGGCAAATTTTGGCTGATGCGTCCGTCCGCGTCCGGACGGGCCCGCCATATAATGGCCCTTTCCGCGTTCCATAGTGTATGCATCTACTTATCTTATCGCGGCATTAAAGCGGGGAAATCCGGGCAAACGGCTCACCTGGCACAGATCATAATTCACCAAATGTATCAACATATCAAACATTCCACTTCTTCTGATACTATCTCCAGAAACTAATCATGCTACTCGTTGACAATTGGGAATACACTCAAACGACCTCATCAACCTTTCCCGACCTAAAAGAAGAATGGAAGAAATGCTCCAAATTCCCAACTTGTATCCATGTGGAATTGAGGGAAGAAGGAAAGATACTTGATCCTTTCAAAGATCTCAACGAGTGGGATGTACAATGTTTGTCTTCTTCTCCATCTGTTATCATTTCCTCATTTCTTGTTTTTATCCTTGACAAGTCCAGTCATTGCCTCAATGATGAATAGACTTTCAATGATGAAAAGAAGTGAGCTCATATACGTGGTGTTGAAGAAAGTTGGGTATTCGTAGTGAGTCAAACTGATGAGTAACTTAGGGATAGGAGAAGCAGATTGGAAGTTTCGTACTACTTTCTCGGTCTCATCTACACAATTGGAAGAAGATCATGCGGATTTGGTATTTGAAGGTTTGGATACTTATTGTGATATATATTTGGTAAGTTCATATCTTTTTCCTCTTTACTCTTCATGCTCACCGTTCTTCTCGCTCTTCACGATCAATCCCAATATGACTTACATGATGAAATACTGTTCTGGATCCTTCGTGTTGGCTACCCTATGAAGTTGGTCTGAGGGCGCATTCGACTGGATGAGACGGTAACGATGCTAAAAAGTAGAACGACCAGAAAATTGGGTTTACAGATAATATGTTCATCCCTCATCGTTTTTCATGTCCCAACCTCCATGAAGGGGAGAACGAATTGTTACTCCATTTCCGATCACCATGGTTGGAAGCGAAAGATCGTGAGAAGGCTAATGGGGGATCATCAAAATGTTGTGAGTAACCTCGGCTCATCCCTTCAAAGAAGCCGTTTCTGCTTCTTGTACATTTCATCCTCTGACAGTGGAGTTATCTTGGCCATGTCACTCGGGGGTTCATTCAGAGGATGTGATACAGCGGCCATCCATTGAGTAGGAATGAAGGGTTATACCTACATGTTGGACATGAACGTCCTCGTGTCATTTGAATAGTGATCCCGCATAAAACTCTGCTGACAAAAAGGGAATGGCGATTCTTGTCGATTACACTCACGTAAAGCCCAGTATCACTGGGGATGGGATTGGGTCAGCTTCAGTCTCTCCAACTAGTTTGAGCTAACAATTAGGGTCCCAAACTTTTAACAACTGGACCATGGAGATCTATCAAGCTGGAAACTCATTCATATCGACTGGAAGAAGTGAAAGTAGTTGCAGATCTCATAGGACCACAATACAACGTTGCCACTCTCTCCGCAAAAGCTACAGTATCCCCTTCACTCCCTTCCACCTCGAGTCATCGTATAGGATACACTCTTCGTACTCTCGATAAGAAGGTCATCAAGGACGATACTCTGCTGGTCGATGAGGAGTTGAAATGGAAATTCAGCAATGACGAGGTGGAAGCGTGGTGGCCTATCAATTACGGTTCTCAGACATTGTATGAACTTGAGACAAAGCTGTTAAGCAAGGTGAGCTTGCAAATATGAGTTTGAGTTTTACTCAGCTGATGATAGGATAATGAGGTTCTGGCTCAGAAAATTACTAGAGTGGGATTCAGATATGTGAAATTGGTTCAAGAACCTTTGGAAAATGAAGAGGGGAGTTCATTCTTGTTTGAGGTGAACGGTGTGAGGATATTCTGTGGAGGGAGTAATTGGATACCTGCCGATAGCTTCCTAACGGAGATGACGAAGGAGAGGTATTATGCTTGGACCAAGATGATGGTATGTCCTCCTTGCCCCCCTTGACCATTCTCAGTCTTGATTGACGGACGGCTGGATATGTCGGGCAGTACTGTTTGAAGGCTGAATGTCTCCGGTCTCTATCCAGCTTTGACTAAGATGGATTCATGTCGTTGTGGCAGGCGAAGCAAACTCATACTAAATACTAGGTCGATGGAAACCAGAACATGCTTCGAGTATGGGGAGGTGGAGTTTATGAGGATCAAGCACTGTACGAGTGAGTTCACTAAATATTTGCCAGTCGAGAGACACTGACGATAGTGCGTGTGACGAATTGGGTGTTTTGGTATGGCAGGACTTCATGTTCGCTTGTGGACTTGTGAGTTAGTTTCAATCAGATCTTCCAACTGAGCAGCAGTATCCTTCTACACCCTCTTTCAATGCCAATGTCAAACGTGAAGCCGAGGCCGTTGTCAAACGTCTTCGCGATCATCCGAGCGTGGTGATGTTCGCTGGAAACAACGAGGATTATCTACTTGCAGAAGCTGAGGGTGTAATCGATTATAAAGATGAGTCTGGAGATTATATGAATTCCAAGTTCCCTGCGTGAGTCATCCCAGGCTCATAGACATGGACTAATCTTCAGTCGGCACATCTATGAAATCTTATTACCTGAGGTAGTCAAAGCACATTCGAGTATTTTTTATTGGCGTTCTTCCCCTTACGGAGGCAAAAACACTAGAGATCAAACTGTTGGGGACATACATCAATGGGACGTCTGGCATGGGACTCAAGAACCTTGGAGCAACTGGGATAAATTAGCAGGTCGTTTTATTTCGTTAGTCCCAATTGAACCCACATGGCTCAGTACTCGTACTGACGGATCTTAGCGAATTCGGGATGGAGGGCTATCCCGATTTACGGACCATCAAACAATGGTCAGATGACAAATCTCAATTGTTCCCACAATCAAGAATATCAGTCCAACATAACAAGGCGGTGGGTGTAATCTTCTATTGCAAGTGCGAGTGGGAGCTGACGGTGAGACTGGATTTGAGAGGAGACTCGAACTTTATCTCATGGAGAATTTCCGACATGCTTTCGACATGCCCAGTTATGTGTATTATACACAATTGATGCAGGCTGAATGTCTCGGTGCTGCTTATCGGACTTGGCGTCGAAGGTGGAGAGGAAAAGGTAGAGAGTACACCGCGGGTGCGTTGGTCTGGCAGGTGAGTTCGTTTCCCTTCCTCTTGGTACCTATCTCGATCTAGTCGTGACGATCCTGGGTCATAGTAGATCTTCATACCAAATGCTGATAATTAGCTGAATGACTGTTGGCCATGTGTCTCATGGGCTATCGTCGACTACTACCTTCGACCCAAGTGAGTCCTCCATTCTCCCTAATCCGCTTGCTAATTGCCAGACCAGCATACTTCGCCATCAAGCGCGAACTTCAGGCGTACACAATAGGAGTGAGCGTCTTTCTTTTCCATGTGTGCATTTTGATCATTGATGATTGTCAGATGTCAAGATCAGATATCGAAGTTCCTCGGGATCCAACGACCGATGCTTTCTTGACTATCCGATCTCAGGTCGAATTGTGGGGTTGTAATTCTACTCTTTCCCCCAAACCCGTTCACGTGGAACTATCAGCTTTCGATTTGAATTCCGGACCCGTGGCCAAAATATCTTGGGATATCACTCTCCTTCCTAATAGTTCGACCGAGATATGGACTGGTGAAATCCCAGGTCAACCAGTAAGAACCTCAAGAGCGCAAATTCCTCTTCCTATCGTTCTCCACGCGACCATCCAAGATGAGACTGGTATCATAGCGAGATACTCGTATTGGCCCGAACCTTATAAATATCTTTCTTTCCCTGATCCAATATTGGAAGTTCGAGTGGAAGGTGAGAAGGTAAATGTGAAATGTGAGAAACCGGTCAAAGGGTTGATCTTCGATGTGAATGGGGAAGAAGTGAGATGGAGTGATCAAGCTTTAGATGTTTTCCCAGGTGATGAAAGGGTGATTTGCGCTACTGGTTTGAATGGAAGGGAAGTAAAAGTTAGATATTTGGGTGATGGATCTGCTTGATGCATCTCTTGCCTCCTGGGGATGTCACCCCAGTAAGCATGCAGCATTGTAGCATCATAACACGTCATATAATGACTTTGTTGTGTGAATAGAATGGGGCTCCACAATACTTCGACTCGGAAAGAATCGTATTGCTTTGTGATGTCGCACTACTTGAATGCCCTTCTCTTACATACTCTTCTGGTTATAAACCCCTTAAGTTTACTCGAATAACTCAACAGCGCTCTCTTTCTGTATTTATCTTCACACTTGTGTCGCCAATATTGACATGAAAATACAATCATGACTTATACCATACCCTCACCATCGTCTCCCAATTCTTCTTACCTCAGTCGTGAGTCCCATCTCAATCAAATCTCCTTAACCTTATCAAAACCAATACTGATCAATAGCTTCTCCACTTCGTTCATCTCCTTTATCCAACCCACCTCTCTATCCACCTCGTACACCTTCCCCAACATCTTCGTCGGGAAATCATATAAATAATCGTACTGCTCCACATCCTATCCCTCGCTCAAACTATGTCATCCCACATCCTCTATATCCCTCTTCACCACTTTCACCACTTTCTTCCTCTTCTCCATATAGTTCCGTCACAAGCAACTCACCTGATTCCTCCAACTTCCGACTTAGTCCATCAAATATGAGACCCATTTCATTTTCATCAAGGACGATTCCCACTCCTTCTTCATCAAGAAACATAAATTCCAATTTATCGAAAGATTCAAATCAAACACCTTCTCCTCCACTTTCACTATCTCGTTCTCACCCTTTAGCAGGTTCTTTTCCTCTTTCTTTACTACACTCCCGTATGTCTTTAGCTCAACCTCATTCTCCAGATGGAGGTTTCACACTACATATCGGTTCTTTGGGTAAAGGTAGAAGTTGTCCTCCTGATCTTAGAGGACCTGAACATATAAAAATACCTTTTAGTGCGACTTATTATGATTTGGAAGAAAAAGGTAGAGGAACACCTTGGGTAGCAAATGTTGATTTGGAACAATATTACTTTACGACGTATACCATACCTTCGAATTCTTCTTCCTATAATTCACAAGTGAATGCTTTGACTTCTCCAATCCCCAAACCCACCTCAACTCTCTATCCGTCAACTATCATGACACCTCCCCTCGATTCACACACTTCTCACCAACCACACCGAACAGTTATGACGCCTGTTCATCATTTTACTCCTCCGACACGATACCCAACACATCAGACAGGCATTATGACACCTCCGATGGACTCGACTCATCTTGATATAGGAAGACATTTGTCAGGTGTAGTGAAAGAGAAGAAAGGGAAAATACCCGATTACCCAGGATACACAGTCGCCCCAGTTGGTCAATTACAAATCCTAGTGAAATCAAGTAAAGCAGCTATCAAAGTTTTTTTGATACCTTATGATCTTCGTGGGTTACCCATTGGTGGTAGATTATTAGCAAGAGAACGTACTTACGTTTCTTCCCCTTCTCCAGCTGTTTCGTCTTCTCCCTCATCATCTTTCCCTTCGAGATCTTCCACCTCACCTGGGATTTCAGGAGAGAGTTTGAGATATGCTTGTCAATTGCAATTCGTCTGTCTTCCCTCTCGTTCACCTTCAAAACATACTTCTTCACGTAAATCAAATCACTCATCACACTCGGAGGGAAGCGAACAAGCGGACGTCACAGCGGATAGTTGGATTACGGAGAATGGCATAAGACCCGAAATATCTAAGGCCATACCTATTCGACAAAGCAAACATTGCAAAGGGTGTATGAAGGGAAAGAAGGAAGAGAAAAAAGAAGAAAAGTCATATTACGTTTCGAAAAATATCAAATTAGTCTTCACTTCTTCCCCTCCGGAGAAAGATGAAATTGTCAGAGTGGAAAGGATGGATGAAGTTGTTCTTCCTTCCCCTTCTGTCTTCTCCGATAATACTGTTGGTGTAGCAGTATGGGGTTCATCACCCGATTCTACTCCACAAGCCAAAAGAAGGGCGGAAGAATGGAAAGTTGTCCAACGTCGTTGGAAGGAAGACGAAGAGGAGGAGGAAGTATTAGATTTTGGAAGGAAAAGTACGGTCAGACAGTCACCTAGGAAAACAGATAGGACACAAGGTTTTCATCCTACTTCTAGACCTGTTTCTCCATCACCAACCATATCTCGACCTGCATCACCTTTGCTTGTGAGGCCGAGAGGACGTAGGGGTAGTACGGAAGATAGAGAGTTGAGTGAAAGGTTGAGAGCTATCACCATGCCATCGGAATAGTCATCAAGGATGTTGTGTTGTACTGCATGTTTATTATATAGCATAATGAGGTTGCATCACCTACATTACCTGATACATCACATGCACATCGTTACAAGATAAGTCACCAATGCCCTTGTCTCCCTTCCATCCCACCTACTCAAAACACCTCAATAATTAGAGATACGAAGGATCACCCAATCATCAATTTCCAACACATTTATCGGGGTTGGCAACTGTTAAAGGAACTCTTTTCACAGCTTCGTATGTCGTACGTGTCGTTCTTGGACCTGATACGCCAGTTCCAGTGGGTTTGGAAGGAGAAGATGGTGTGGAATAAGTTGATACTGGTGAAAAGAGAGCTACGGGAGTCGGAGTTGATCCGGCTCTTTTATTGATAGAATTCACCACCTCCCTAACTGGTCTTCTCGTACCGGGTAAAACGACAGGATTTGTTCCTGATACCGAGTATCGTTTGTTGGGTGAGCTTGTCGATCCGGGTGATTCTGGGGCACCTGGGGGTGTTTTCGATCTCATCATACTTTTCATAGGTGATCTGTTTTCTATTCGTTTGAAATCTTCTTGTTCGACATCGAACTGAATAGGGGATGAAGAGAGTTCTACAGGTGAACGAACGTCATGAGATGAAAAAGGTGGTGTGAAGGTAATTTGTCTAGATGTTTCTTCCGTCATTGCTGGTGAAGTCATTTCTATCACAGCTTCTGTCCCTTCACTTGAACTAGCTTCACGTCTGACCACTACCATATCTCTCATCGATCTTGCTGAATGGACACTACTGAGACTAGGACCTTTTCCGTGGTTCATATCCGTCTCATCATGTGGAAGAGCTAAAGAGAAACTTGAAGGTGGATATATTCGATTATGATTTTGTTCAATTTGAGCCGAATCAGGAATAGGAATGTCATGTGATAGTACTGGCCACAGACTTGGTTCCGGTGCTGGATCACGTATTTCGAGAGTGTTTCTTTTGATAGGTTTGGAAGGTAATAAAGATGTTATACCTCCTGCTGCCATACGTCTGAAGAAAGATTCCGTTCTTTTCACTGGTTGATAAGGTATTTCAGGTGGTGAAGGTGATACTATACGTGCGTTTCCTCTAGAGATAACAGCAGCATGATGTATTGTACCTTCTTCTGCGTCTGACATGAGAGCCGAATATCTTGATCGATTGGAAGGAAGTGATCCATCAGAATATGATCCAATTGGAGCTGTGAGAAGATTTAAATCCAAAGGTTCAGAATCAACTTCTGGTAAACGCCATTCAGGAGACATGGGACGAGACCCAGGTTCGTTTTCCGAGATACTATTGTCGTTGAAAGGGTTTTGAAAATATAACACTGATCCTCTAGGTGTAGGAACAGGACCACCTGGAATAAGTTTAGGAGGTGAGATATCTTCGAATGGATCTCCGTCATCTTCTTCATCCGTTTCGATCGATAAGAGACTAGAAGCTGATTTCCATTTGGATGGACTTGTCGGTACTTGCCAAGAAGCAGGTCGATCTTCATCATGAAGCATGTCGATTCGAGGTTCTTTAATAGCAGGCATTGAAGCGCGTTGTTTTGATGGACCGCTTAAACGGGAGGGAAAAAGTTGAGAAGATGTACGAGGTTCTCGAGGTCCGATAAGACGTATACCCTCACCAACTTTTTTGGTAGGCATACGACCCAACATACTTGTTTCCGGGACATTGTCGGGTACTTCAGCATAGGCATCTCGTTGACTATGTGGATAACCGAATATACTTGATAATTGTCTCATTCTAGCATTGACGACACCCATACCCAGTCCGGCGAGATCAGATCTGTCGGGTGATGAAGGAGAAAGTTTCTCATCGTCTAACAATCCCGGTCCTCCTTTCTCGCGAGTACCATAAGGTCGGACGGACCCGCTCGATGGTTGACTACTGAGGAAAGTTCGGACAAAGTCATTTTGTCTCGCTATGCGTTTACGATGACGACGACGGAAAATGAAGAAGAGGGCTATAGCGGCTAGGAGGGCCGCGATGATACCGATAGCTATAGCGATCTTGTCTGATGTGTTGAGGGAGGAATGACCCGAGTGATTTCCATCTGAGGGTGTGGTGCTAGAGGTTGCCGTCCCTTGAGTATCTATCACTGTAATTCAGCTGCATCTCCAAAGACAACAAAATCAGCTGACCGGAACCACCTTTCGTTATCTGATCACTCGTCTTGGTATCCACTGGGGTTTTGTTAGAACCGGCAGAGTTGGGCGATGTTGAGACATTGGCAGTAGGTGTGGGCTGTTTGGCTGAGGCGGAGTCACCATTGGAACCTGGAGTGTTGGAAGAGGTTGATAACGCAAAGTTGGATTGCCATACACCGGACGCGGTATTGAAGATGTATAAAGCGGTATCGGCAGGTCCCTCAGATCCATAGCCTGAAAATCAGTCTCCAAGTATCAGCCAACGAAGATGACCAACCTCCAAAGATGGCTACTTGATCGCCGCCAACAGCGACTGTCGAATGGTCATATCGCCCGGATGGCCCTGGCATCAGCAGCTGTCCATAAAGATTCAGCATGACCCACCTGCGCCAGAGCTTGATATTTGGGTCCACTGCAAGCTCGTGAGGTCCAGTGTCCAGGCATCGCTCAATACCTCATTCAGAGCTGCATCGGCTCCACCAAATATGTACAGTTTCTCCCCATTGTCCACTAATGCTCCACTGGCTCCTCGTCTTCCGGATGGCACGGTGCCACTCAATGATCGAGAGTCCCATACAGGACTCGGCGCGGTGGTGTCCAATACATATATGGTCGTCAGAGGAAGGAGGGTAGGGTTGCTGGTCTGAGTAGAGGTATATGTGCCGCCCAAGACAACGAGGGTTCCATTGGGCATGAGGGCGGATACATGATGGAATAGCCCTTGCGGTAGACCAGGAAATGAGTTGAAGGTAGAGGAAGATGGGTCAAAGACGAATGTGTCCGCGAAGGTCATTCCGGAACCGTCGTCCCTCATTCCACCAGTGATGTACACTTTACCCCCTTGTTGTGTAGCGGCACAAGAATGGTATATTCTTCTTTGAGGTTGTCCTCCCCATCCAGCGCTTTCATGGGTTGCCGAAAGTGAGGAGAAATCCGAAGGTATCGAAAGTTGCCATGCAGAGTCTGAGAGCGTTTGAACGGCTTCAGTTGGTCCTCCATCTCCGCCAAAGCTGAGCAAGGACCATTGTCCGCTAGTCTGTTGTAGTGGTGAGAGACAGTGCCAGGCATATGTAGGAGCTGTTGAGGAGGAGACGAGGTTGAAAGGTGCAGAGGAAGTTGAAAAAGTATCGGAAAGAGGAAGTACGATAACGTCCGCCGAATTGGGAGCTGAGGTGTAGGTATAATCCCCTGTAGGGTCCGTCTTACCCCCTTGTATGAGAAGTGTCGGAGGAGACGGAATGAATGTGGTTGCATGACCCCATCTGCCCTGTCAGTGCAATCTATAGGCCTACTTGGAATGGTTGACTTACCGGGGTATCATCGTATAGACCGCTCTGGTACCAGGGACTGAGGCAGCCCCGACAAGTAGGAAGATCATCGTCAGGAGGTCAGGGGATTAACGAGGGTGATGTTTGTGAAGACTGTGGACAAGTGCGGGAAGAGACTGGTAGATTGGACGAGGAAGGTGACAAAGGGCGGAAAGAATACCATCCGGAAGAGGAGTGATTCACAACAAGGTGTAGAAGTTGGATCAACTGATAGGGTGGCAAATCTCCTCTTTCCACCTTGGATCACAAAGGAGTTCAAAGGCGATCGAGGAAGAACGGCCAACCTTGACCTCACATCTGCCTCATGAACAGTGATATCGTGGGCAGAAGACGAAGATGGGACACAGCGAGGAGTATGAAAGGTCATTGTTGACAGATGCATAGGCGCATAGGTGAGGGTGCAAAGGGGAAGAGTTGACGGATCGAGTATTACGACGGATCTTCACGACCACCGGAAGAAGTCAGTCGCGCGGGTGCACAACGCTCTTGTCGGCGTTAAGGTAGACACATGTTAACACCGAAACTCCGATGGTGCCACGCTCAGGTTTGACTTGCCTCTTCCTGAACGGTCAACGAGCTCCTCTTCAACCTTCAAGCACTGAGAGAACGAGTGAGTGTTGCTATCACCTGTTAGGAGTATTGCGCTAACATCTGCTTCTTCCTCTCTCCTTCTGTCCCTCTCTTCACTTGTATCGTTACATCCGTGAATCCCACCAACAGTCAAAATGGGTATCGATCTCCGCCATCACCACGTCAGATCGGGACATCGTCAAGCTCCCAAATCGGAGGATGCTTACCTTCTTTTGTTGGTCAAGGTGAGGTGTCTTTGTCTCTGCGAGCGTATGCTACGTTGTGAGGTGTAGTCAGGAGGACAGGCGTGGACGGAAGTAGTTCACGGGTGATGAAGTAGAAGGTATCGTGCTGACTGAGTTAGCTCTACCGTTTCCTCGCTCGTAGGACCGACTCCCGTTTCAACCGTGTTGTCCTCAAGCGACTTTATATGAGCAAGGTGAGCTACTCACGTTATCAGGACTTTTGAGGAGTTGACGGAGTTAGATCAACCGTCCTCCTCTCTCCATTTCTCGCATCGTCAAAGAAACGAAAAACTCCAACTCCGACGGCTCTAAAATCGTGGTAATTGTTGGCACTGTCCTCGACGACGAACGTCTTCCCGAAGTGCCCAAACTCTCCGTCGCCGCACTACGTTTCTCTACCTCTGCTCGCGAACGTATTGTCGCTGCTGGTGGTGAATGTCTCACCTTCGACCAACTGGCCCTTCGTGCCCCCACTGGTAGCAACACTGTCTTGTTGAGGGGAAAGAGGAACGTTCGTGAAGCTGTCAAACACTTTGGTGGACCTCTCAAAGGTGGTAAGCCCTACGTCCAGAGTAAAGGACGTAAATTCGAGAAAGCTCGAGGAAGGAGATCCGTAAGTTCATCGTCGTTGAGCAGACATCAAACGCTGATTATACTTAGTCCAAGGGTTTCAAGATCAAGTCCACTCACAAGTAGACGATCTGACTTTCTACTTGATCATGATTGGGTCTATGTACCATGGAATGTTCATGCAGATTTTCACTTTCACACATCTCTTGCCCCGGGCTGCATGTTGAGAAGCATTCTTATCCATATTCTCTCGATCTTTAAGTGACATCGTGTCGCGATTGGGTTGAGGGAAAACTACACCTCGTCGTATTTACAATTAGTTTGAGGTATCATGAACTAATCAGTGATTGTTGTGCATACGAATTTACGTTCAATAATCATTCCTCTAGACTTTCCTGGCTCCATGTCCAACCACCTGAGCTCCACTAGCCTTTGACCACGTCTGATCCCCGTAACCAACAGCCCCGCTGTTATCCTTCTTTGACTTCGTGGACGCTTTGCGCGATACGAAACCCACGAATGCCAATGACCCTATCAGAGCGCCTACGTACCTCAGCCCCTTTCTTTCTTCTTCGTCCAACGGTCGCTCAGCCTTTTCGTATTTATCTCCTTTACCCTGACCCTCTGGAAGGCCGATCTCGGGAAGAGACAATCCGGTGGCCTTCCACGCCTGGGCAGGGGCGGAAATGACATTGTTGAATATGTCGGCAAGAGGGATGTCGAACTTCTGAGCAGACTTGATGGGGGGAATATCGGTGATCTCCTGCATTGCATGTACGGGTGCAGATGGATGAGTGGAGGTCGAAGCTGCTGTGGAGACTTTAGGCATGGCGTCGGCTTCAGAGAGCGCTGGCGGAGGTGGAGAAGTACGGAAGTTGTCCGGCATGAGCGGCTACCCATGAGCATTTCCTTAATCACAACTCTTCAAACATATCATGCAGGATTCGACCATCCTTGCTTGTCGACCTGATGCGCGTGAATGATCACTTTGTGAATCCGATCACATCTCGCTGCTGAGAATTAGGAGAAAAACTCACAATGATCTGTTCTGCTACCTCATCCTCCTTCGCCGTTGGTATATAAACATCAAGACCTTTCGATCCTCCCTTCGCAGCTGTAGCTGGGAGACCTGGAGCTGCCCCCACTCTCTCAGGTTTGATTTCCTCCACTTTGGTCGCTTCACTACGCTGACTCTCAATAGCAGGTCCCGTAGACGAAACGTGTTCGTCTGATTTCGGTTGAGTGGGACGCGGGAGGGGTGGGACAGGGGGTGCTTTACGAGAAGAGGTGGTTGAGAGTGTACGAGATTTGGTTGGGGTGGAAGGAACAGAGCGAGTTGTCAATCCTGAGAGGGTAGGGACGGGAGGAAGCATAGAAGATATTTCAGCTGATTGAAGTCGTGCAATGAGGGCGGTTCTGATTATTAGGAAAGGATCGTTTGTAACTGCCCATCTACCTCACACTAGGGTTTACTTTCATTGCGCTGAGAAGGGTCCTTCTAGGGAGAAGGGAAAACTGTTCTACGGAAAAGAATGAGAGGAGACAGAATTCTAAACTTACTTGTTACCAACTTGAGATAATCCACGACGTTTCAATTCTGCTTTCAAAGCTGTTACAGTTTCACCTTTCCAGTTACGTTGACTATTGAGCAAGACGGCAGAAGCCAGAGAAGCTTGTTGACCTGCTTTAGGGGTTGAGGTGGGTGTCGAAACAGCTCGAAGCAACCCAGCCGAAACTTTTCGACGAATCATCTTGATTTTGGTTATTCGATTCTTGTGAGATCTTTTGGTCGTATCTCACTTACAGTGTTCTCTTCGATACTCGTACTTATCTTGGGAGCCGTTGAGCGATGGAAAGTGATGTTGATTGGAATGAAAATGGCTCGAGGAATACGACCATGGGTAGGGAAAGAAACGTGGCATTTGATAGTAGTGACGTCGTTTCCGACGGAAGCTATCTAAAGTTCAACCCTCCACGTTTCAAGTCCACCCCATATCTAGACATCCGTAGAGTATATCAGAAACTACGGTACCACTTGGAGCTTAACGCCATTCAATCACCATGTCATCAAGTGTAATCAGAGGGCAATCTACTTCGCGCTCTTCGGAGAGAAGTTTAGGACGAGAAAGCAAACACTCTTTCTTCCAGCTCAGACTCTCCGAGTTGGTTCACCGAGTACACGGATTTTTAACTTCTTTACTCATTTTCATCCTCAGTCTCGGACCATTACCTCGACATGTGGGATTCGTGATGGATGGGAATCGAAGATATGCTCGTGGAAGAGGAAAGAGGGCCGTTCAGGGACATACAGATGGTTTCACTTCTCTTCGTAGGGTCAGTACTTCCTTTGTCTCTCATCCACAACTACTCCTCCATCATTTGTGTCCTGCCTTATCTCAAGATGGTGGCGTTCGATCTGCTCGTCACTTTGATATCCACTAAACTCTCATGTGTCTAGGGGTAGGCTTGAAAGAGGACAATGTGAGGGGAGAAAATGTCTGACGACTGTGGAACTGACGAGCAGGTGTTGGAGATATGTCTTCGTCTCAATATACCCGTAGTGACAATATTCGCATTTTCCATCGAAAATTTCAATAGACCAAAAGAAGAAGTTGATGCGTTGATGAATCTGGCGAAATCACGTTTGATGGAATTATGTACTCATGGGTGAGTTGTCTTCGCTTACCGTGTCCCATCCCACCAAGATGCAATACACGGTTGGCGTATAGTCCATTGGACTTGAAGTCAGATGTCAGGAACGAGGAGATTATCACTGGACCAAGATATGGTAGTGGAGTGTTTCAAAGAAATGCTTATGACTAGGGACCTACTACAAACATATGGCGTCAAGATACGTTTCATAGGGAATCTTGATATGTTACCTGCGGATGTACGGGAAGCGGCGAGGAAGATGGAAGCGTTGACAGCTGATAATGATCGGTCAGTATTTTTCTTCTACCACCCATTTTTTTTCTTGCCTGCCACATCGGTTTACCGACTCTTCTTTACCCAGCGACGAATCAACTAAGCTGACGTCAAGGGGGTTACTGAATGTCGCATCACCATACACTTCAAGAGACGAGGTCACAACCGCTGTAAGGGACACAGTAGTGGAGATGAGAGGGGGAATCTTACCGTAGTAAGTCCTTTTTACCCCACGTATGTGAATAAATGTTGATATGAGAAGTGTGGTATCGACCGAAACGGTGTTTGAAAATCTACAAACTTCACGAGCTATCTCTAGACTGGACAAAGGGGGAGATGGCAAGGTGGATATATTGGTCCGAACGTCTGGGGTAAAGAGACTGAGTGATTTTTTGATGTGGCAAGTAAGTTTTACGCTTCATCCTCATTCCATATCCATCAGTTCGCATTCATCATCGTGGAAGATCAAGGGAGAAGGAAGCCTTTTTGGGAAAGATGGATAGCGAAAGTGGGTTTGGCATAGTTGACTAGTAGTGTTGCGAGGATACACAAATCCATTTTGTCCGGACACACTGGCCAGAGTTTGGCTTGACAGACATGTTACCGATTCTCTTGGGCTGGCAACAGAAGGTGTGGATGTCGTATTGGGGTATATGAGTGATGATGATGCATGTTGATCTAGAGTTGTCTAGTTCTTTAACACTTCCTCGTCTTTGTCCTTCATTCTTCACCACCATCCAGCCCACCATTCTCATGTATCCAATTGCGAGCGATATCCATCCACCATCCACTGTCCTCTAATCCATCCTCCCACTCGTAAGTCATACTTCCTTCCTCCATCCCGTCATCTCCTGCTGTCCCTTCTAGACATCCGTCATACTGAGGATAATCTAACGTCAAGTCCACCCTTCATGATCGTACACGTGTCAGAAGAAAGATATCGAACCACCCTCAATCACACCTCCCATTCTTCGGACCCTCACCCCATCTCTCATCCAACTTTTCATTCGTACATTCAAATCTCTCCTTTCCCAATTTCAAATTGACAGAATTATGTCTCTCACATAACCATCTACTCAATCCTTCTCTTCCCGACACATCAGGTGGGTTATATTTGATATCTTTTTGAAAGTCATCCGCGCACCAACTACAGGGATATAAAAATGACAAAGATTTGAGCAAGGCGATCATATTATCTTGTGTTTCCGGAGGTGCCTTCAAAGGGTAATAAGCAGCTGTGGTATGTAAAAAAGTCCATGTTGATCTACCTAGTTGAGCTACGTCGGGAGGACAATCGGATCGATCGTAAACCACCGCGTTTGCGGTAGTATGTTCTAGGGGAGAAGAAGAAGTGGAAGAAGATGAAGTGGTGGCGGACGAAGGAGAAGGGAGTTTAGGAAAGTTTGAAGTTGTTTTCTTGTTATTTTGAAGTTTCGCCCAATCTTGCCATGAATTACAAACTTTACAAGGTTTACCGTCGGGGCCGAGGATGAGTCCCGGAGGTAGATTAGGATGAGTCTGCTTTGTCGTCCGGACCACCGGGGTGGATATATCAGCCGTCGATGATGACATAATGCCCGCGCAGACCGGAGACGGGGGATATGATGGACACGATGTGGTGGGTATGCGAAAAAAAAAGGAAGGGAAAGGGACTACTGCATCTTTGTGAACAGAGATGGTGAGGTGAAAGTCACGTGACTAAGGGGAACATTACTCGCTTTCTCGCTGCCTTGTCTCAGTTTTTGACCATTTCGACATGAAAACATCGCCTCATGTTCAGATCACCGGCCGCGGCCCGGCCGGCTTCGGGAATACGGCGACGGGATCTGCCGGATGGAGTGGAGGTTGGAGGCGCTGCATGCTGCACAGGCTATAAAGTAGATGAGTGGTGAGTAAACGGATACGATACTTCAACGTTCTCTTGTTATCCTCCCGTCATTCGAATATGTCCCTCACAAACTACGACCTGCCTACGATTCGATCGACGGAAACTAGGGGCCCTTTGTATCCATGTATGTCGGTCAAAGTTACAGGGAGTATATGTGACAATCTAACTGAAAAATATCAGGACCTCACGGGTTCTACGATCCCGGCGGCTTCGGCCCAAGAAGCCTTGAAACTCCTGGAGATATATGAGCACTCATACAAGCGGCATGCGGGAAGTGTGGAGCTGGCACAGAAGCGTCTGAACGACCCCACTGATTCATGTCAGTCTGACGTGCACACAAAACGTGAGCTGCTACTCACATTATCGACTGTTCCTGCCATAGTGACAGAGCTACAAAATAGAATGAGTCAAGCTCGTTGGGACGCTAGTAGTCACGGCGTAGCAATCTGTGAGGTCTGTGTGAGTTCATCAGACAGGATCTCACAACTTTCGCTAACTTTTCGCAGACGAAGGATCAGTCAAAACTGAGACGTTTGTTGTCTGATACCGATTCGCGGTCTCATATCATCATTCTTAGCAAGCTCGCTGAAATTCACGGGTTGAGGGATGACGAGTACCGACGGCTTCATCAATTGCCCATCAGTAGTCAAGGACCTACTGCGTCTTTTGTCAATAACAGTCACGATAATCCGACAGTCATTCCGCTAATTCATTTCCCATATCATGCATCCTGAACCCCATGTTGGATTTACAGAGGCTCACTTCAAGGGCCTCCATTGCACAATGTCTACATCCACACGAACTCGAGACTATAGACTTCGGCGTCGGGCGATCTGATACACGGGTTGAGGGAGGGAAGGGGAGGGGGGGGGAGGCGGGAGTCACGCAAGCTGATGGACGAGAGAGGGCCCTGCACGGTCCACAAATGGTCTACATCACACGAGAGAGGGCATGCAACATTCTGATTGGTGATAATTAGGACACTCACCATATTTGACGTTTGTACTTATAGATGTTGACATTGCATAATTCTGCTGACTGACCAGCCGAGTAAACCAGAATTTGAATCAGCCGTGTGATCGTGCCGCATCACATGCGAACCGCACAGTGTGTTGGGAAACGATATATTTGGCCTGTGTATCAGTTTTACAAGACTTTCTACGGGAGACGACGAGATAAGGAGGGGGAAGGGCGGGTAAGGTGGACAGGAAGGATAGCGTTCCATACTCACCTCTTCTCTTTCAAGTGACAAGCATGACGTCTTTCGAACCGACATTCGGAAGTACTCCTTCATCCATACATATCGATCTCCGTTCATCTTACTCATGTTTCATTGATTGATTTTCGTAGTACGTAAAGGGTGAAAGGGTGTGGCGAGAAGGAGCACATGTACGACGATCGAGGAACTCTTTTTTTGAGAGATGGAGCAGGGATCGAGCTCAGCACCTATAATCGTTAGCGCACACAAAGGCCGAATCAAGGTGTATCTACCTTAACTCACATAGTAAGCGAAGCGCTGAGAATCCATTGAAGTGGGAGACCGGGAACCCGGCTCCTAGGAGCCGACTATTCTACAAGTAGAGTATGGGGCCTGGACTTACGGGCTTTGCAAGAGCTCTTCGGGCATCGATGTGACCGCGACGCCCATTTCGAATGGTACAATCTATGAGGAAATAGGAAGGTCTGAGCTTTCCCATCAGGACGGTGTCGGAGAACGAGAGGACATTGTGAGAAGTTCACAGGCCATGTTAAGAGAAGTTTGGTAAGGCGTGAGAGTGTTACGGTGGCCGGGAAGTCTCAGGTTAACTATGCCAAACGCCAATCTCCTGATCTCCTGCAACATGCAACTTATCATCGGTCGTTTCCTCTGTCACTCACAAAGGTATCAATGACATGCATTCTCTCATAGCAGATCAGCTACTCTGTCTCATTCAACACAACTTGATGGAAGTGACGATACTGATCCATTCGATCCTGAGTATTCTTATCAGTCCAGCAAGTGAACACCACCTGCCTTCGACTCCTCCCTGCTTCTCCCCCTAAGCTTTCCCCTACGCTTTCCCCTACGTTTCCTATGTTTCCTACGCTTCCTACGCTTCCTACGCTTCCTACGCTTCCTACGCTTCCTACGCTTTCCCCTACGTTTCCTACGCTTCCTACGCTTCTTACGTTTCCTACGCTTCTTACGTTCCCTACGCTTCCTACGCTTTCCCCTACGCTTCCTACGTTCCCTACGCTTCCTACGCTTCTTACATTTCCTACGTTCCCTACGCTGCCCCCTACGCTTGCCCCTACGCTTGCCCCTACGCTTTCCCCTACGCTTTCCCCTACGCTTTCCCCTACGCTTTCCCCTACGCTTTCCCCTACGCTTTCCCCTACGCTTTCCCCTACGTTTCCTACGCTTTCCCCTACGTTTCCTACGCTCCCTACGCTTTCCTTGTACATTGCCAACATCGGAGCGCTGTTCTTGATAAATGGTGAGGTACCGCTTGCTGGTAGTGGTTCCAACTTATGAAGGTAACAGTGGGCCAAGAAGCCAACAACATCGCCAGGATACACAGGTATGGTACATCCAAGTTCAGGTAGATGAAGGACAGCAGGAGACGTCAGGACTGAGATGATTGTGTAGTGATGGCCTATAAATGAGTCCGGTACATCACTGATGACTTGGGGAGTTGACTCACCATAGTCCTTAGCATCTACATGCCATTCCGTCCCTTCCCCCCATGAGACCGCTAGCATCATACCCATTCCTCCCAGTCTTATTGCCTTCGCTTGAGAGTGAGTACTATCAAGACTTTCAGCTGTTTTCCGGAAACTGGAGGAAATTGGAGCCGCTCTGTCCATGGGAGTGGTTTCGTTCTCGTACTTGGTTTTCAATCCTTTCAGATAATTGTGAACATGTCAGTGGTTGTGTGCCATGGATATAGCTACCTTCTTATCGAGACGATGAAGCATTGACCTTGGCTTGTCACCAAAGATACCATCGAAGGCCTTGACAAGTTCAAGAACTTCTTTTTGAGAGCCTTTCTGTCGAGAGTCGGCCAATATGACACTATGTTTGGCATACCTACACCATACATCAAACCACCACTGATGGAAATCGGCACCTCTAGAAGCTATTGTGTGAGACCTAAGGCCAACATCCCACACGTTCTGCACCAATGTGTATAGAGTTTCTTGCTGACCTGCTGAGACCATACCTTTCAGTCGGAATGCTGCATAGCAGGGTATAGACGAGTTCCGAGACTGATATTCGGGGTTTGGGATGAGGAGGTGATCTGAATGTGATAAAAAGGTCTGTTTTTGGAAGAATGTTGAGATAAATAGTTCCTCAGACAAACCGGCTGGGGAGAGTAGGGAAGGATGATAGACAGTGTGCCGGAAGCGAGTAGGTAGTTGGAAGTGGAGGAGTTGATCTTCTGCTTGATTCTTGTGCTGACGACGAGCTTTATTACGATCCCTAGTCATATTGAGGTATACCAACGAGGAGCGCAATGTCAAATGAATTCAACAATGTCTCTGTCTCAGGGTTCCCGGTCAAATAATCAAAGGGGTGTGCGATAATTTACACATCAGCAAGTGTGAGGTATAATTTTCTTTAGTACGGTTTATCAGGGAACAGCGTAGTTAGGGTTTTACTTCAGAGTTTCACAGGGTTGTTTCTTCGTTGACTTGCTAGGACCGATGGCCAATAACTTCGTGGGCTTCGACCTTTAACTACCTCGTTGTTCGAAATATGAAATAGGTGACAATAACTTCTGGGTGTAATAACTTTGTGCTCTACTAACTTCTATCACTAAGACAACAACCAGAGATCGTCAAAGATCCCTGGGAGCTTCGGTCCTTAAGTACTTCATTCTTCCCTAACTTTGCCAACACAGAACTTCGTTCAACCCGAGTCCCCGAGCTTCGTACCTCGCGAACTTCGTACCTCGCGAACTTCGTCCCCGACGAAGTTTGTGCCTCCCTAATCTCGTATCTCCCTAACTTCGTATCCCACAAACTTCGTATCTCACTAACCTCGTATCTCACTAACCTCCTACATGACTAACTTCGTCCTCGATGAAGTTAGCCTCCTAATACCCTCGTGGGTGATGAAGTTCATGAGAACTGGGTCGTTGATGGCGAACTGATGTCCAAAGGAACTTCGTTTGATGGGAAAGAATGATGTCACGCGGCGCCGCGTGACACAGAGGCCTCCACCCACGTTCAGAGTGACAGATGTGGCACTTTGGTCATTCAGAGTGCCAGATGTGGCACTTTGGTTGGTGTCAGTTGTCCCGTTTGATTGATACACATCAGTATTCCCGTGTCACCCCGCATGATGAAGTCCGGTCTAAGCACATGATTCATTCATTTTGAAATAAAAGTGGACCTAAACGGTGTTATCTAATCTTAGCCATGTGTCTTGGTAAGAAGTCTCACCACTTACAGTCAATCTCAGTCACTGGACTCATGATTCATCGACTCATTTTCATTTGTCTCGTTCCCCATACTACTCCCCCCCAGCTCATGACTTTGTGAGACCTGCAAAGAGTCAATTGTCAAGTAGAAGATAGGAACACAACTTACATTGTCATTTGTACCCGCATCTTCTCCTGCCTTGAGCTTGGCTTCATGTTCTTGCTCAGCTTGTTTGAACCACCATGGCATGGGTTGTCGAGGGACGAACTTCATTGGCCGAGGGAACGATTTTTGGAAGCCCTTAGGGGTGACTAATCCAAGGTCTTTACAGGCGTCTCCACAAATATGTGCATTCATGAAGCTGTTCAGCATTCCCACACCCCAATCACCCATGCTGGAATCACCCCTATGTCATGAATCAACAACTCTGCTCTTGTGCACACAAGGTAGAAAGTCCAGGTATCAGTTTCTTCATGTTTAGTTTTGCTCTTATGCCTTCAAGGCAAGAGACCTGAACCTTTAGTTAGTTAAGTTATCCTCAGTTAGTCTGCCTGGTATGGCATTAGACCCAAGACTTCAGTTTAGTTAGATTCAGGGTGAACGTATGGTTTACGTCGTCATGCGTGCTTCTGCGTGTGGTCAACAGCGTATTGTACGCATCACGTCGCAAAGACCACGCAGCTTTCTGATTCATGGTTGAATATACACATGAGATCGAGGATCACGACTCATTCCTACGCAGGACGACACATGTCACGAAGTGACAAGACAGTTTGATAGTGATAGTGATAGGATGGGTTGGGTATTTAACCAGCGACCGGCGGTATGCAGTAACCGCCGGTTAATAGGCCTTTTAGCGCAGTGGTTTAGACCACTGTCTCTGAAGGGCACTGTTATATCGTCCCAATGCTGGTTAGTTGGTCTCGTGACAACACACATCCCAGAATGGACTCAGAAATAGATATAAACCCCATATAGTTCTTACATAGTTTCTTTTCTTCAGCAATGTATCTTTTCAATTCTCTTAACCTCGTTTGATAAGTCACTCAGTTGGTTCTAACCCAACATCTCAGTCTCCTCAGTATCTAAGGCAGTCATCAAGCTCTACGAGCCAGAGACTAACACCCCTCAGTATCTAAGGCAGTACTTTGCTACCGCAGTCTACCCGCAGGCGTGACAGTATACATTGCTCAACACTCTTTAGTCCTTGCTCGTCATTGTAACCCCTCTTGTCATCATTTGCCACCCATTTCTGGATTTTTCATAATCCTTCGAGGTCAACATCAGAACTTTTCATAGTTCGTTCAAGGTCAACACTAGGACTTTACATAGTCCCTCAAGGTCACTCAAGGTCATCACTCACGGTCAATCAAGGTCATCACTCAAGGTCAATCAAGGTCATCACTCAAGGTCAACATCATCAACATCTCAAATATTATAAAACTTTTTTGAAGTATTCTTTTGTGAAATATAACTTAGTCTAAGCAATCATTATTTCTCTTTTCCATTCCCAAACATAACAAAACACCAAACACATCATCAATACTCCAAAACATTACAAAACATCAGAAATATCATACAGATTTAAGAATATTCACTGACTTGCAGATCTAAATCATCATGTCTGAAAACAACAACACCACCCACCTTACTGCAGAGCAAGCCTTCCAAGCTCAACAGGATATGATCCTTCAGCTTCAGGCTCAAATCAATGCTCTTCAAGCTTCGACAAACATCAGACCTGAGCATGTCAAGGAACCCAAAATCTCTCATCCACCACCCTTTACTGGCCGTAAAGATCAGACATTAGAGTTCTTAGCTAAGTGCAATATGGTCTTTGCTGTTCAACCTCGTACCTACGCCACCGACACCACTCGTATTGCTTTTGCCACTAACCTTCTCAAGGATGAAGCTTATCGTTGGGTCCTCCCTTACTTGGGCATGGAACGTGAAGAACAACCTTCATGGTTACATGTATGGGATCACTTTCAAAGTGAATTCAAGAAATACTTTGGTCACTCAAACTTGGAAGAAACCTCTCGATTTAAATTAAGGAACCTCCGTCAGACAAGCTCAGCCAGTACCTATGCTACTGAGTTTCAGCGTCATGCTGCTTATGTCCATTGGAATAATGACACCAAGAAACAAAACTTCTTTGATGGACTTAAGGATGATGTGAAGGATAGACTTCTTGCCCCAAGCAAGTTCAAGGATTATGAGACTCTAGTCTCTTCAGCTATTGAATATGATGATCTACTTTATCAAAGGAGACACTCCAACAATAACCCTCGTACCCACTCAACCACCAATCAGCGCTTCAATAACAATACTCCTCAGTCCCGCAGTTCTTCCAACAACACTACACAGACCACCTTTACCCCGAAGTTCAACAATACTTTCACTCCTCGCACCACTTCAACTTCAACTTTCACTCCTACTCCTATGGAAATTGATGCTACTCAAGCACGTCAAATCTATGGTCCTATCTCTCAAGCAGAGCGTGAACATCGCATGAAGAATAACCTCTGTAACTATTGTGGGAAACCTGGACACAAAGCTTTTGAGTGCCGAGCTGCTAAAAATAGTCGTCAGCAGAAGGCTCAAGTCAGCGCTGCAACAACTACAGACACTAAGGCAAAAAACTCTCAGCCCCAGGCTTAGGCGTGCCCCCACCTCTGGGGCTCTCTACAGGGCACAACACGGTATTAACAAATCAACTATGGATCACGGCAACATCGCTACTATGCTCAATATCATCTCCCGCATCACCTAAGGACCACCTCTGTCTTCCCATTACTCTCATGTATGGGAACTCTCGTCACAACACTATAGCTATGATAGATTCTGGAGCTACAGCCAGTCTCATCAACTCAACATTTCTCAACACAACAAATATCCCAAGGCTACCCAAGGACACACCTCTCGAAGTTTCAGTCATTGATGGACGACCCATAGCATCTGGCGCCATCACACATCACACCACTCCCATTCACTTGTGCCTTCCCGGTCATGAGGAAATACTTTCCCTTGACATCACATCACTTGGCACCTATCCCGTTATCTTAGGCCTCCCATGGCTCTCTCAACACAACCCAAGCATTGATTGGTCCCGTCAGACCATCAAGTTCAATTCCCAGTATTGCCTGGAGCAATGCAGCAGGTATGACAAACCTGTGGGAGGAGATTCTGCTTTTCAGTACCCTCGTAACTCAAGGAACATTCCGAGCTCAGGTAACTTGCCCAGCAAGAATGCTGCAAGTACGCCATCAATCAACAAAGGAAACATCAACAAAGGAATTATCAACAACTCTCGTAACTCAAGGACAAACAAAAACATCACTACATCACTCTCAACACTACAGGCTCCTGTCAAGATATCTCTCGTCAGTGCAGCATCCTTCCGCTCTGCCATAAAAAGTGCAGAAATATATGGAATCACTACCCCAAGTCAAGTCTCAAGTCTCATTGATCCCACTCCAGCTGAGGACAATGAAGATGATGACAATATCACCGATCTTCAGAAACTCAAGGAAATCATCCCCGCAGACTTCCATTCTCATTTGGAAGTATTTAGTAAATCCAAGTCTGACAAACTCCCAGAACATGAACCTTATGATCACGCCATAACACTTGACGGCAATGCACAGCCTAAGTTTGGCCCAATCTACAGTCTATCTGAAGTAGAGTTAAAGGCTTTGGATGAATATCTCAAGGAAAACCTCAAGAAAGGATTTATAAGACCAAGCTCAAGCCCCGCTGGATCACCAATCCTCTTTGTCAAAAAACCTGATGGAACTCTCCGCCTATGTGTGGACTATCGACAACTCAACAGTATCACTCGCAAAAATTGCTACCCACTCCCGTTAATTCAAGAATCCCTCGATCGACTCAAAGGTGCTTCATGGTTCAGCAAGATTGACTTGCGTGCTGCCTACAATCAAGTCCGCATTGCCAAAGGCGATGAATGGAAGACAGCATTCCACACCCGTTATGGACACTACAAATATCTTGTGATGCCCTTTGGTCTCACAAATGCCCCTGCCTCTTTCCAGAACCTCATCAATGATGTTCTTAGAGACTTTTTGGATATCTTTGTCATTGTCTACCTTGATGACATCCTCGTCTTCAGCAAATCTAAGGAAGAACATATCACCCACGTCAAGAAAGTCTTGGAAAAACTTCAACAACATCAACTATGGGCAAAAGCAGAAAAGTGTACCTTCTTCAAACATGAGGTTGATTTCCTGGGCTACCTTGTCTCAGACAAAGGTGTCAGAATGGACCCTCTTAAAGTAGAAGCTGTTACAAACTGGCCCCCACCAAAATCAGTTCATGATGTTCAAGTTTTCCTTGGCTTTGCCAACTTCTACCGTCGCTTCATCAAGGCATACTCCAAGGTCACAGCACCCCTCACTCAACTCCTTCGCAAAGAAGTCAAGTTTGATTGGGGTGAAACTCAACAAAACACATTTGACACTCTGAAAAAATCATTCACTACTGCCCCTATACTTCAACACTTCCAACCAAATAAATCAATTGTTGTAGAGACAGACGCATCTGACTTTGCTATTGCAGGTGTGCTCTCCCATTCAGACAACAATCGACTCAATCCCATTGCTTTCTACTCTCAAAAACTTCAACCTGCAGAACTCAACTATGAAATCTACGACAAAGAAATGCTTGCCATAGTTGAAGCATTCAAACATTGGCGACCATACCTCGAAGGAACTAAGGAAATCACTGTATACACAGACCACAAAAATCTCGAATATTTCACAACATCTAAGGTGCTCAACAGACGACAAGCTCGTTGGGCAGAACTCCTTGCAAACTTTGACTTCAAAATTCACTACCGACCTGGAACAAAGATGGGTAAACCAGATGCCCTGACCAGGAGGTCAGATCTTCAAGGGGGGAGTAGAGCTGCAGACGCACCTCCACACACACTTCTTAAACCAGGACAATTTGTCATTGGCGCCCTCATTCCTCCAGACACTCCCAATGCACCCCCACACTCAGATATTATTGCTAGGATAAAGCAACTTCAGCCTGAGGATCCCATCCTCCAAGAGCTTTTGCCTTACCTGCAATCTCCCGCTACTCCCGTACCCCAAGGACTTCAAGGAAAACTCAAGGATTTTAGCATAAAGGACAGCATCATTCATTTCAACAACAAAATCTATGTCCCAAACAATGATGAACTCAAAATCGATTTACTCCAACAAACACATAATTCACCTACCTCTGGACACTATGGTCAATACAAAACATATCAACTCCTCTCTCGTCATTACTACTTTCCTGCCATAAGGCAATTCACCAACACCTATGTGGATGGTTGTCATACCTGCTCACGCAACAAAGTCCCTCGACATAAACCCTATGGACCACTTCAACCATTACCCATTCCCTCACAACCATGGCAATCCATTTCTATGGATGCTATCGTCAAACTCCCACTATCGAACAACTTTGACTCCATCATGGTCTTTGTTGATCGCTTCACCAAACAAGCCCACTTCATCCCATTCAAGGAAGATGGCTTTGATGCACCCAACCTAGCTACTATGTTCAGACAAAACATTTGGAGACTTCATGGACTACCCAAGATATGTTTCAGCCCCCCCGATCAATCTTCAACTCTCAGTTTTGGCGCTCTTTTGTCAAAGGCTTAGGGATCACTCCAAACTTCTCTACTGCCTTCCATCCTCAATCAGATGGTCAGACAGAATGTGTCAATCAAGTCTTAGAACATTACCTCAGATCATTCTGCGACTATGATCAAGCCAATTGGTCATCTCTTCTGGATCTTGCAGAGTATAGTTACAACAACTCTGTCCACTCATCAACAAAATTCACTCCTTTCCAAGCAAACTATGGGTATCATCCAAATGATCCCACTTCACCATTACCTTCAACTCTCTCTGTTCCAGCGGCAGGAGAACATCTTCAGACACTACGTCAACTTCATCAAACTCTTGCCAATAATATCAAGTCAGCTCAAGAAAATTATACCAGACACTTGAACAAGAAGGTCAAGGATATCAACATCAAGGATCAACCACTTTTCAAAATTGGTGATCAAGTCTTCCTCAACAGACGTAACATTCAAACATTACGACCCTCGCTCAAACTCGATCAAAGGATGCTAGGTCCCTTCAAGATCATTGAAGCCACATCCTCTCCACTTGCGTTCAAACTTCAACTACCACCATCAATGAACATTCACCCCGTATTCCACGTCAACCTTCTTGAACCCATGCGTAAAGGTCATCCTCAACAACCTCAAGACCCTCCACCACGCATTGAAGTCAATGGTCAAGAAGAATATATTGTCAATCACATCCTCGACTCTCGTATTGGTGCAGACAATGGTTATGACTACCTTGTCAATTGGAAAGACTACTCCAGCGTCCATGACTCATGGGAACCCTGGGAGAATGTCAACCACACCACAGCCTACAAGCCCTTCCGTCGACAACATCTCAAGAATCCAAATCATCACTTCCCTCCTGCAAAGGCTCATCAACAAAAACATCAAAACACAACACAGAACAACAACAAAAGATCTCAGCGTAGATCATCAAGGCTCAGAGGACTTCGCCCTTAGAGGGGGAGCTCCTGTCATGAATCAACAACTCTGCTCTTGTGCACACAAGGTAGAAAGTCCAGGTATCAGTTTCTTCATGTTTAGTTCTGCTCTTATGCCTTCAAGGCAAGAGACCTGAACCTTTAGTTAGTTAAGTTATCCTCAGTTAGTCTGCCTGGTATGGCATTAGACCCAAGACTTCAGTTTAGTTAGATTCAGGGTGAACGTATGGTTTACGTCGTCATGCGTGCTTCTGCGTGTGGTCAACAGCGTATTGTACGCATCACGTCGCAAAGACCACGCAGCTTTCTGATTCATGGTTGAATATACACATGAGATCGAGGATCACGACTCTTTCCTACGCAGGACGACGCACATCCCAGAATGGACTCAGAAATAGATATAAACCCCATATAGTTCTTACATAGTTTCTTTTCTTCAGCAATGTATCTTTTCAATTCTCTTAACCTCGTTTGATAAGTCACTCAGTTGGTTCTAACCCAACATCTCAGTCTCCTCAGTATCTAAGGCGGTCATCAAGCTCTACGAGCCAGAGACTAACACCCCTCAGTATCTAAGGCAGTACTTTGCTACCGCAGTCTACCCGCAGGCGTGACCGACGGATTTGGCTATCCGGTCACCTGTTTCCTGCTCAGCACTTTCTTAAGAGTGATGAGAAAGAAACAGGATAACATGATGGGTCTTAAGAACCTCGCTGAAAGAAAGTTTCGGTCACGTGAGCGATCTATAGGACAGCCGTTCCTACCTCCAACGCCTCCCCTCGCGAGCGTACTTGACTTTCTCCCCTTATTCCGTGCGCACAATGCTCTCCTCCTTCCTATTCACCATGGGGTTCCCGATACCCAACAGTCTCCGAAGCCGATCCGTCCGATGTGCTGGTAAGGTTTTGGTAAGAAGGTCTGCCCGATTGGAAGCCGTGGGTGTGTATTTCAGCCTGACTAGTTGCGCATCTTGATGTTCACGGATCCACTGAGCACGCATATCAAATGCTTTATTCAACTTGAACCCATGTTGATGCTTGGCAAGCTGGATTGCTCCATTGTTATCATTCAGGATATTGACTGGTTCTCCATCCCCTGGACCTAATTCAAGGTCTGCCAGTAGCTGTCTCAGCCAGATGGCCTCTTTCCCTGCCTCAGTAGACGCCAATAGTTCAGCTTGGGTTGTTGATAGGGCAACAGTTGGTTGTCTTCGACTTTTCCACGAGACCACTCCCCCATAGGTGGAGAATACATATCCTGTTGTCGATCGACGAGTATCAAGACAACCTCCCCAGTCTGCATCTGCCCATCCAAGTATTGTCCTCTTGCCTGCCGTTGCATCGAAGGTAAGAGCAAGATCTGAGGTACCACGAAGATAACGAAGAAGATGCTTTGCCGCTTTCCAGTGATCAAGTGACCACTTGCTGATGAATCTACATAGCACTGATGCGGCGTATGCTATATCTGGTCGAGTAATTGTAGCCAGGTACAGGATAGACCCTGCAAGGGCCGGATATGGTTTATTGTGTGCTTCCTTCATCTGGTCTGGTGTAGGCCCGACTAACTTGAGGTCCACTGGTAAAATTGTTTTACAGGGCTTGCCAACTTCGCCAAATCGACTGAGCATTGCGTCAATGTAGTGTTCTTGTGATAGGTATAGTTTTCGATTCGCTCGGTCTCGATTGATATTGATACCCAGAAAGTATGACACTGGGCCTTGATCTTTACATTCCAGCTCTGTGTTGATCTTTTCTTTGAGTTTATCAAGTTCAGTTCGATTGTTTCCTGCGACCAGCATGTCATCGACATGGAGCGAGATCATGAACCGGATATCTTGCTGATTGTAGGAATAAATACATGGATTGGCCTTGCATGGGTGGAACCCAAGATCTCGAAAGAACTGATCAAGTTTCTTGTTGAATAGATGGGGTGATTGCTTGAGACCGTATAGGGATTTGTGGAGATGAAGCACATGTCCCGCAGGCACATTACTTCCTTCTGGAGGTTGAATATATATGTCTTTATCGATTGGACTCTTTAGAAAGGCCCCTATCACATCCATCTGATCGCATTCCCAGTCAAGATAATTGACGATTGAGAGGAAGAGTCGAAGGGATGCCTTATGGGTCACTGAAGCAAATAGCTCATCATAGTCCCTCCCAGATAGCTGCTGGAATCCCCTGACCACAAATCGAGCCTTGTACTCATTTGGCTGTCCTGTCTCCCCATCTAATTTACGGGTGTATACCCATTTACCAGAGAGTGTACGTTGCCCATTCTTTGGGACCATCTCCCACACATTGTATCGATCCATTTTGTCCATCTCTTCTGTCATGGCTGCTTCCCACTGAGGCCAATCTGCAGATTCTCGAGCAGACTGATATGATGAAGGATTATTTAAAATCTGTGCAGACATCGCGTATTCCAGAGCAAGGTGAGTTGAATTATCGTCGAGTGGATGTGGAGGCTGTTCAGCAGGATTCAGTCCAGCAAGACGGCTTGACCTTCGTAAAGTATTGGTGCTTAGGCCAGACATTGGCGAGATAGGTGTGTTGTTGACATTGGATTCAGGACTAGGTGCTCCTTCACGATCTGGTTCATATCTCCACCATCGACCTTCCATTGCTGGTCCAAGTGGTTCGCTAGATCCAACATCTTCCTGAATCCTCTCGCTTTCTGTCACATCTTCATTGTCTTCTTGGGAGTCCTTAGATGGAGCTTTGTATGGAGGGTCAAGAGCAGTGTCTCCCTTGGTATTGGTGTTGGTTATCTTGCTGATAGCCAAGGAAGGATAATCTCTCCTGATTGTAGAGTCATCAACTACTGTTACATCTCGAGAGACAATCACCTTTTGATCTTTGGTGAGAATGGTATAGGCTGTTGTCCCTGTACCGTACCCAATGATCCGGCCTGGCTGACCTCTTGCTGCCAACTTCGATTGAGGTTTCACAACCTGATAGTAACAGGATTGTCCAAAGGGCTGAAAACGGTGGTAATCGGCTTGATGTTGTGCATCAGGTTTGAATCAATGGAGGGGGATACCACCTGTGGAATCAGGAAGACGATTTCGTGTGTATGTTGCATGGAGCAGTGCATCGACCCAGAATTTCTGGCCAAGCTGAGAATCCACAAGGAATGTTCGAATATCATTCAGAAGGGTGAGATGGATACGCTCTACTCGACTATTCTGATTGTGAGCATCCGGGGGAGTGAAGGCTTGCTCTATACCCTTCATCTTGCACCATTGTTGTAGCTCCAAGCTGACAAACTCTCCTCCTCTGTCACATCGGAGAGTCTTGATAGTTCGATCAAGTTGATTTTCTACCAAGCTTGAGTAATTCTTGATAGCCTTGAATGTTTCTGATTTCTGCTTCAACGGTTCAACGTAGGTATATTTGGAATGATCGTCATAGCATGCAAGGAAATATCGATATCCCAATCGAGATTCTTCAGCCGCTGGTCCCCATAGATCCATCGAGACATGGACAAGGGGTTTCCCTGCACGTCCACTGTTGGGTTTTGAAGCTAAACGTGGTGCTTTCCCTTGGTGACAACTGGTGCATTCGATTCGTCTAAATACTGTCTTCCACATTGTCCCATCTAGCTTCCCTTCTGTTCCAAGTTTCCAGACCTGTCTCATGTCGGAGTGGCCTAGTTTTCGATGCCACATCAGGAGTTGATCTTGGATATCAGCGTCGTCCTTGGCTTGAAGTGCGAGATGGGAAGGTGATGAATGGCGCACCGGAACCTCATCAAGAAGCCAAACGCCATGACTTTTACTTCCTTGGAGAAGCACCTCTCCCCCAGAGTCTACCAATCTAGCTCCGTTCCGGTCTGAGAAACGCCATTCATATCCTTTCTCAACTGATCCTAGACGTTGGGTTGAGAGTAAATTACAGCTGATTTCTGGGACATGAAGACATTGATTGTAGTGAACACGATTGAAAGTGAGTTTACCGGTGTGTGTAGCGTGAAGGATCTTGCCGTCTGCGACACAGATCTGGCGAGGGGTCGGAAGAGATTGAAGGTTGGTCAGAAGGTGATTATCCTTGATGAAACAATTTGTTGCACCACTGTCAATGACAATGGCGTTGTCTGGGAAATTGGTTGAGAGAAGAGCATGGTCAATGGCTTGCAGTGCGTGACGGAGGTCGTCTCTATCCGTGTTTGGGGCAAACTCCTCATCCGCTATCATCGCTTTGTCTGTTCTTTCCCCGTGTGGTAATAGACGATTTTTCTGGTGTGGCTTGCCCTTCAATCCCCAACATTGTTCGGTTGTGTGGGAAGTAGCATTGGGGTGGTTGTCACAATGTTTTTCTGCTGCTTTCATTCTAATTCGTCCTCCCTCTTGTCCAACTGTGAGAAGTCCATGCTCATTCACCGTCCCTCCCTTTGTTTCTCGACGACGATGTTCTTCTGAGACTCGGTCGATGACTTGGTCAAGAGTTATGGTGTTGGAAGTGCCGGTATAGAAAGTGGAAGCAAGCATACCGTAAGATGAAGGAAGACGTCGAATTGCCGCATAGGCACCAATATTGTCAGCAAATTGCTGGACTGTCATACTTGCAGCTGCTGCGGTAAGTTCAGCAAGTTGTGATCGAATGGTAGTGAGGAAGGGTTCCGGATCGTCATTCTCAGGAATGGGTTCACCAAAGATCGAAGACCACAACTCGGCCTGACGAGTCCCATTACTGGCGCCATATTTCTCTTGGAGGTGTTTGAATAAGTCGATTGGTTTGGGGTCGGTGAAATTGGCAATGGAGTCAGGAAGTTTGTTTTGAACAGTTTCAGTAAGACTCCCATAGACAATGGCGAAAGCAGCGGACCGCGCCTTCTCCAGATCATACAGCGCCACAAGCCGTTTAGACCGTCTGGTTGGAGTAGGTGTGCTTGAGAGGGGATATCGATTTTCAACCTCTGTGGTCAAAGTGGAAGGGTCTTTGATTATATGGACGATATATCCTGCATTCCCAAGCGCAACTCGTAGGGCCCGGTCCTACAAGGCATAGTTGTCACGTCCATTCAGCTTCCGGTCGTCCTTCACTGTCATGTTGGAGGTCATTATGGGATCACTCGATTGGAGCAGGTGTAGGTAAAGTTGTTGAGTCAAGAGGTTGGTAGAGGAGAGTTTTCCGGTTTGGTTGGAATTTGACTCGAACAAGGTGAGACGTTACCACGACGGATTTGGCTATCCGGTCACCTGTTTCCTGCTCAGCACTTTCTTAAGAGTGATGCATAGACATACCTGTTTCCTGCTCAGCACTTTCTTAAGAGTGATGAGAAAGAAACAGGATAACATGATGGGTCTTAAGAACCTCGCTGAAAGAAAGTTTCGGTCACGTGAGCGATCTATAGGACTGCCGTTCCTACCTCCAACGGTGACACCCTAGCACTGCAAGTCAGTTGTAATCGGCTATTGACAAACATGCTCATGTATGAGTAACAAGATCAAATAGATGGAATTGACCATGATCATTTTTTCCTTGTCTCTGCTTTCGTGAGTTTGCTACAGGCAAGGTGAGGAATCCTGTTCATTATCAGCAAAGATATCAATCACAACGGAATTTACCTTGAATGTCGGCAATGACTACCATTGCTGCCTCCCTTGCTTCTGCCGTTTTGGCCCCATTGATAGATCGATGGAACACAAAGTGCGTGAAGGCATACATGAATCGGTACAACCTTTGATGTTGAAATTCAACTTCGACTTCATCTGGTGGGGAGAATTCATCGGTATTGTTGATTTTGATGCAATCTCCAGTACTTCGAAGATCAGGCTCTACCATGAAAGCTTCATCCTTGTTCAGTCCGGACGTTATCTTGATAAGGAAGCAAGGTGTGTATATAAGAGTTGGTAGATCCAATTCTTCATAGGTATCCTTGAGTTTCTCGTTGAAAGCTTCGAGATAGGAGGCCAACAAGATAGCCTTCTTGCATTCCATCTCAAGAAGTTTCTGGTTGACATATGTTGTCATGGTCGCAAGAGACCAAACTTTCTTATCAAAATGGAAATGCTTTTTAGCAACAAGTTCGATGTCATTGTGACGGAACTAGATTTCATCAAATCTTCTTCAACTGTGATTGACACTCACCTCAAAGGCCTGCTTGTGACTGCCATTATCAAAGGGCTTATCAGCAAGTAATCCAGTCTCAGGGGCACTCCGCACTGGAATGAAAGAGCCATCATTCTTTTGCTGGTAGACAGTTTTGATGTATTCAATAGATTCAAATATGATACCATGTGTCTCCGAAATGGAATCTGCCATACGACCTGCGTAATTAACCACTTACCATGATTACAGAGAGACTTACCAAGTGTGGCATTGTTCTGCAGTGCTGTGCTTGAGACACGGAAGCCCGCAAACAAGTTACTGATTGGTCCCATGTTACGTCCAGTGACCACAGTCTTGTTTCTTCCAGTGACAAGTGATATGCTTGATGTATCACTACTGTTGGTTGAGGTCCTGGTATAGGGGGCAGAGGCTGCACGTTGAGAAAGACGCAAAGTAGACAACAACGAGCGGTGAGAACTGTGGGATAGCTTGTCGTTGACTGATTGTTGACTGGGCTCAGGAAGCTTATATGAATTCTACAAAGGTCAGCGGTTTGTGCCCTGCTTGTGATACTTGCTATAATGACACACCTTATCATCCACGGTCAAGAGCAAGAATATGCGGATAAAACCAGTTTGCTCTGTATCCCTCTTCACAAGGTAAAGCCGATTGACCTTGCAGTATGTTGTATAGAGCTCATGCAGGCTGAGGGGAAGAAATTCCTTTGGAAGGGCAATTGGCTCGTTCTTGATATTGGGTAAAGCTGGACGGGGATTACACCAGTGTGTCGGCACTTAAAACCATGGTAGCAGTATTAACACTCACTGTTCGTAAGTACGCCCCGTCTCCTCTTCTCCCTTTCCATGTTCCCACATGGCTTGACCAAGATCTAGAGCCTTGTTCAGATTTGTGTCAAGAGTTTCTTTCCAAGTGCCGACAATCAAAGAGTCAAAGACGGCAGGATTCCACTCTTGAGCTTTGCCATCATGAACTGCACATCAGAGACATTGTCAGGGCAAAGATCACTGGAAAACTTACTTATCAGGGTTCGTACCTGCATGGCAGGACCCTTTGAGTTCAACCCTGCTTTCACAGCAGTTTTCCTTTGAGCACGCTCATCTAGTACCCAAGCACCAGGTGTGATCCCCTGCTGAGGCATGGGGAGACTCTGCCTAAAAGTAGCTCCCTGCAGTGCAGCTTGAGCAATTTGACGATTTGCTCCCAAAGTTTCGGTGTTATCCACATTGTCAGCCAGATTTCCTTGTGGAATTTATGATGAAAAAACATACTTTCATGTCTGCATTTATTGCAGATTTGAGGACCTGCCTTCTCCAGTAGAGGTGTCTTCAGAAAACACTGTGTACCAAATATCCCGCAGGTCAGACACTGTGGTCGTGACTGAAACTTTCAGCACAACTTCAACCAGCTGCACTGCTTACCTCGTAATATGTGATATCCTTTTTATCAGAATCTTTGGGGTTGGTGCTGACCTGTTCAATCTTTTGACATTTCGGGCATGTCTCAAGCTGGAGGCAATCCTTTACGAATGATTTCTGACAATCACGACAAATGTAGGGCATTTTCTAAGCTTTCTGTCCGTGCAAGTAAGTTCTTTAAGGTAATGTAAATTCTAGGTGGGTGATGTCAGTAGATGGAATGTGAGCAAAGGAGTACGTTCAGCCTGGGTATTTCATTGGTGGAATTATGTTCATCGGGGTTTGGAGATGTGGCAAACAACTGTGCATCATATCTCCATCCATAGCTTCTGTAGAGACTCACGTGCACCCGCTTCTACCTCCTTGAATAAGAGCCAGGCTGCTTCCCAGTTGTCGGGTGGATAAATCAGTCCTGATCCCTCCACAATACCCATGCAGATAGTGTGAACATCATTAGATACCCAGGCCATCTGTGCACGGGCATGAACTTCAGCTTGGAAGTCTTCAATTACACTTATTTGAGGAAAATGCTGTAGGCAGTCCCTGCCACCCCAGCGAGTTGGATTGAAATATATCTCATTCCTTGAAGCCCCGGAAGGGTTTGCTTTCTCTTTCTGATACCGGACTGGGTAGGAGTTGAAAACTTTGACGAAGTCGTCAAGTGTTGCGACCCGTCCTTGTGAGACCTGAAGAACAAAGACGGAGTGGAAGATAAAGGTCTTGGACCAAGACGAATGAAGATGGTCCGTGGTACTGTGAAGTGATCAGATGATAGTCAAGTCAAGAAAGTATAAGTCAAGAAGGATAGGATAGCTTGGAAGGATCGAGTGGTCAAGCTAGTATGTATCAAACAAGGATGACACTTCTGTAAGAAGTGCTCCCGAAGAGGTCTGATAAATATGAAATGCAAAAGATATTTTGATCCTTGGGAAAAAGGATCCATGGGGCCAACAGGGGGGGTTTATATATCCTGCAGAGCGAGGTTATCGTTGAAGAGATTCCCGTTGGGAATCTCACCTAAGTCTTCACCAGAAGTTCAGTTACGTCATTCTTGAACTAAAACGTGATATCTTGAATGAAATCGAGGCGTAAACCTCTATTCTCTTCTGCGAGACTTCTGTGAGACTTCACTGAAAACCTTTCTCTCTGAGGAATGGGCCGGACCCTTGGATGGGGAAGTCATGATGAGTAGGGTCATGACATCAAGATATTTCTGGACTAATGGAGGGACAATCCAGTTGATGAGTGTTCTGTTGTCCATCAGCATGACATCTTGTTGAAGAAAAGGTGTAGCTTACTGATGAACAGGATCACCGTCGTGAACAAGAGCTGAGCTATAGGCAGAATAAAGAGCAAGCTTGACTTGATCTACAACATTCTCTCGTACATTTCCCCAGGAACGCTCGATGGTGATGTTGTGAGTGCTCTTTAGCAATTTGTAAGGAAAGACCTCATCGGCAGGTACAGGTGAATATGTTGATCTGGGCGTCAGATCCAGTCTGTTGTCGATAAGATCAGGTGAAGACTCACCGAAAAGCAACTTGTGAGGCTACCACTTCCCCAATCTCTGACCCGCGGTCGCTTGCAATCTGAAGTGGAAATCCTACAATAAGTTATGTGAGAAATCTTGTGCAGAGGAGATATCACTTACCTATAACCTTCAACACAGTGTCCACAAATATGCAGTGTACGTCTTCACTTCGCCGATTAGATGGCATTGCTTGCAAGGCAAGAAGACATCCAGAATAGACATCTCTGATCCCGTAAATACCAATTCCGTATGAGGACAATTTGTCATGTCTATCAATAGACCATTGCTCATTTGGACCAACGGATATGATGGGGAATCGAGCGACTTTCTTGCTCCCAGGTCGACAAGACTGCAGGCCTTCAGGAGCGTATTCTTTCATGGCCTTGTACACCAGGTCACTATTGTGGCTCAGTTAAGTCAGATAAGCAAGTGAATAGACTCACCGAGGAACAAGAAGTCCACGAAGTGCTAAGCGGTGAGTCATTGCAGGTTTGCCAATGACCTGGCCAAGATCATCCTCCAGCTCTTCTTGCATTGCTTGAGCTACATCTTGAGTCGACATCTTGCTCTTGCGTGCAGTACCAAGCCCAAAGAACCGAGTAGCACGAAAAAAGCTTGCTCGGGATATATGATCAGCATCATCAAAGCGGAAAAGCAGACGGACAAGCAGACAAACACACCCAAAGTTGATGCCATGTTCTTGCTTCAGTCGTTCGTTGATTGCTTGCCATTGAGTCATTCCCTCAAGGTAATATCTCTTGATGGCACTGCCGAGCTCATCAGTGTACAGAGCTAGGGATTAGCATCCAGAGAGAGCTGCAAGAAAGTGTTGACACGCACGTGAAGCTGGCTTGCTGTTTTTACCAGTTGGATTAGGAGGTTTCACGTTGTTGATCAACAATAGAAGAGTTTCTACACATTGTGGGTAGGTCTCATCAAGGTGGATGTCTGTTTCGTCTAGTGGTAGTGTACTATATTCAAGACTCATGTCAAGGAAACAAAGATTGGGTGAAAGATCTGTCAATATAGTGAATGAAAGGTCATGAGTGTTTCCAGCGGGCGACGCCGGGAAACCTAACCTGAGACTTCCCGTCCACTGTAAGTGTGGCGGTGTGGCGATGTGGCGGTTTCGTGGATCCTGTAGGCGCCAGCACGCTGGACGTCTTTGTCCTTCATATTCGAACTCGAGACTCACGTCATGCCGCGCGCCATGGGTTACAAGTCGTCAATATTCTCAATGTAAGGCTTGCAAGTCATGACAGTCACCTTGCCATGCGATGTGCCACGGCGTCCTTGACGACGGGATGGCGTTGTGAAACTGTGATCGCATCACACCCCAAAGCTGGTATGAACCCCTTGATCTCAAAATCTTCCCACGGCCTTTCCCGACCATGTGGGATATTCTCGAAGCCAGCTACCGTCGTTAAGGAGAGTGGGGAATAATCGACGAATCAGGCAGACTCCAAGCTCGGGTACGAGGGGAAAACGACGTCATAGAAGTGACAGGGTAGCGGGAGCTCAATCACCTCTGCCCACCTTTCATTCGAAGGCAGTGCTTCTCACGCCACCCAGTATACTGTTTGTCATATACGCTGAGCCTATGAAGGAGGGGTTCTTAGATTTACATTTCACAGATCATAAACTCACTTACTACCATTATGTCAAGGACAATCGAGAGTAGATGTTTTGCCCAGACTTGGAAGGGAAGGGCTGTAAATCGTGAGATATGCGGTAGAACGACCCAATTTATCATGGTATCTCCTGTAATTGATATTGGGTGTGCGGAGCAGGCAGTATTCAAGTTTGAAGCTGCACTTAAGTCTTATGAACGTGAGAAAACTTCAAGCCGGTGGGATACAGTCATAAAATCAAGATATTCAGCAAGCCAGTTTGGGATTGCTATGTGTAGTGGCTGTGTGAGTTACTAAACTTGTTCAATTTGATCCTCACATTCTGAACACTGCAGAAGAAAACAAAAAGAGTATCGAATTGGGTGAAGCAAAACGTTGATCCTGCTGCAGGACCACTTCTTGATGACAACATTGCCAAGCTCAACCGCGGCACTGAGCAGAGAGATCAGCATAGTTATCCCAGAACGCAGACAAAGACATCCGAGACAGATGCGCCGGAATCATCTTTTCCCGTTGGTCCCAGCTCCTCTGTCTTCAGAGTACAGATGGATGTCCCACTGCCCCCACTGCCTACTCCACCTACCAGATGGAGGTCACAGGTGCCGGATCTACCCCCTTGGAAGCAACCACCTAGTCAACTCAGGGCACAAGATGGATCTACCTCCCAAATTGATCTCCCACCACACCATCCAGACAGGTTTTTGCCACGGACCCAGGAACAACCAGGAGAATGGAGTGAGTCTACACGACTCGACCTTCTTACCCAAGATGTATGGAACACAGGGGCTGTCATGCCTCCCACCTCATCACCGGAGGATGGCAATCAGGCTCACTCATCACTGTCTGCTTTTTGGGAGCCGGGCATGGGTGACTGGTACCCACATGGCCACACACAAGGAAACACTGCCTCTGATGACATGATCTCAATGGCTCAAAGTGCAGAGAGCTTGGGTGGCCCTTCCACCAATTGGGCTCAGCAGGACGTCCCTCATTCAAGTGTCGGCCAAGCAAGTGGAAATGTTTTTTGGCCGCTTCAAGAACGGGTTAACAATGCTACTTATGACTCTCTTTCTTGGGATTTATACAACACCGGAACCGATTGACTTTTGATTTGATCGTGACCGCCTCATTGTTGGTGTGCCAAGCTCGGGGAACGATTTCCCCCTCACATATAGTCATTTATTCTGTCTTGACATGCATGAGCTTCTTCTTTGTGCTTCCAATCCTCAGTGATGCCCCAAGTGACTTTACTTGTACAACATCTCGATCCAAGTCTAATGTCATGTTGGAAGCGCCCATGAGCATGTAGAGCGGATATGGACAAGGCACTCGGATACACCGCGCACGGACATTGACCCCTCCGTCTTCCCTGTCGCCAGGAGAGGGGCGAGTGTGGTAGTCCCGACGAGGCCGGACTCGATACGACCGTAGCGTCACCGTGAGAGGTAAGGCCCGTTCCCCGATCACCTCCATACCACCCTCAAACCAAAGGGGAAAGAAAACCGGGCGGATCTCATCACACCGCCCCTTCGGGAGAAAGGAGGCTAACCGGGGGATTGCACGTCCTTCGAATCTAGAACGATGACGTCGAGACCTTCGTAGAACCCCGCCCCTGCCCAATCTGGTAAGCGAATCCATTGTCATCTTCCTGGCAGTGTTGCAGAGCCACATTAGTTGATATGCTATAAAGTTGCTGAAAGGCCTAAGAGATCTTAACCCATTCCATCAAACATACCTTCCTCCTGCTACAACTTGCTGAGACCAATGTCACTTGCCTTACCCTGCCTAAGGTGGAAGACCTCAACTAAGCCCTGCATGGGCCTGGCTCAATATGAAGTTCCAATCTCTGATGAGGCAATAAACAGTGTGAAAACGGCAGACAAAGAGCAAAGCCAAAAGAGGGTTCGTTCTGATATCGAGACAATAAACACATATCGGCAGGTTCGTGACTGGGAACACTCAAACAATCTCTCCCTTCTGAAGAGCGTTCACCAGGAGTTATTGAAAAATTCCCTACTCTTTTGCCACAATTGTGTGAGTTATCAGAGTTAATAACTTGACAATGCTGAGGTGACACAGGCAATCTCCAACGACTTCTCAACTCTGAAGGATATGGCCAGCCCCAAGGTGGGAGAGGTCTTGGAAAGTATTGTCAGCGAGGGTATTTTCTCTGAACTGCAGAGACTTAAGGTCAGTGAAACACCCTTGAATCGTAAAGTGAGGTTTTTCCTCCTCTCCGAACAAAGGGTTGGGTCACGTTCATCCGACAAAAGAAATCGGTCGTCGAGTCCATCAACTGAAAGTAGTGCCAAGAAGGCTCCGCGACTCTCTGGAGTGAGTATCCCAACCCCCAATGACACTGAACGGGTAGCTTCTGACAGATAGACTTCCACTCCACGCTCTAGTAATCTTAGTCGGGCAAGCACATCCTCAAACCCCTCTCGGGGCACACCTTCAGGGTACCCTCTTGCAAGACCAGGACCAGAGTCTCCATCTAGCATACCACATAGACTACTAAGACGCCCCCAAAGTACCACAGCCTTGCCTTCTAGCTCCAAGACAGGAGGACGCCGGTATTTTGCCCCTCCTGATTCAGTGTTTCCATCTCAGGGTTCCTTTTCTGGGCCATTCTCATCTCCCAAAAAGGAGGAGGAACCTTCCTCTCTGCAGCCTCCACCTCCGATTGTTCGCCCTTGGAGCACTTCAGCTCTGGCAGGGACCCGGCAGGGGGGTAAGACTCTGGCATTGGTGCCTTCATGGGCCCTTTTGACTCGTTTTGATGGCGATAAGATGATCACATCTAATGAACAGCTCCAGACAGTGCTCCAGGAAGGCCGCCAGGTGACGGTGAACCCTGAGGACCCCTCTACTTCAGGCCCCACGATCAAGGTGCATCCAGCTTCACCCATCCCTCGTCGTACACAGCATTTTCATTGGACTGCTCCCTCAGATGCTCAGAGCCTCGGTGGTGTTATTTCCTCAAATCTTGGTCAGAGTACTAGATGATGACATTTACATGCATGATTGTAACTAAGATACTCTCTGTTGTTTATCCGGGTACCCCTCAAACTCCTCCCCTTGCCTCTTTGGAGGTCGTACCTGTGGTATAGGTAGATTTCTCCCGTTAGGGTTTAAACCTCCCCTGCCTCTAGGTCCAAACCCTCTCCCTCCTCTTCCACGTCCACCACCCATATTCCCTCCTCCCTGCATGGCCATTCCCATATTTCTCCCATTCATTCCCATTCCCATTCCGAAACCTTCCCCGTTTCCACCCATTCCCATTCCCATCGATCCGTTCATGTCCATCCCACCAGCACCGCTGAAGTTCGGTCCGGTCGACATCATATTCCCGCCGATAGGCATTCCCATCCCCCTGCCCATCATGTTGGTCGCTGCTAGCATTTGCATCTGCATCACACCGGTTTGTACCATTTGGACTTGTGCTTGCAAGAGCGCTCGTGCTTGAGGACCGACTTGAGGATTCTGCATCATTCTAGCAATCTGATAATTAGCCATCTACTCGGATGGATTGATGATCGGGATGAGCATGGAAAGAAACGTACTTGTGTCATATACACCTGCATGGTTTGGGGATTCAACATTTCTTGTAATTTGGCAGGGTCGAGTTTATGTGTCTGAGTTGGTGCGGTGATCGTTCCCGAAGTACCTTCTCCTAAAGTATCCACTACGCCTTCTTCCGCCTTGGCCGTTGCTGTCCCATCACCTCCACGCAACTTCGCCTCTGCCTCTTCTTGTTCCCTATCCTCTCGTTCCTCCCTGGCACTTCTCTCGACCTCTCCATCCACGTATACCTTGACACGTTGCCGTAAGTCTAGAGCCGGTTCGAGCTTGGATAAACTTGGTATTTTGCTTTCACATGAGGGACACTCAAAGTCTCGATCGAGGAGATGAATCTGGATACATTCTTCGCAATAAGACGTTTGACAACAAGGCGTACGGACAGCCTCCCAGACGAGTTTTTTGCAGATAGGACATGTCAATTCCGCCTCGGTGGGTTGTTGTTCGCGCACTTCAGCACCAGTCAAAGTCCGTGGTTTCGACGCAACATGCTTCTTGAACTGTCGTCTAATTCATCAGCTATTATCCACTGATGCACCTGATCCCTCTCGTTGAAGTCGACACGACTGTCTCGTCTCTCTCACACACCACTCCATTAGAGCGAGTGAACTACACTTATACCAAAGAGAGTTGGGACAATGACCTCTTCACTCACTGATCCGGAACAGCCATGACGAATCCTCCATCGGCCGTGAGCATAGCGCCCCCTGAAGAACCCTCAGCTCCTGCAGGTGTCTCCACCGTCTTCAAGAAACTTCGAGGGATACCCGTAACTCTAACGAATCGTTTCCGTTCTTGAGCATTAGGATCTTCGTTCGTAGGACAGTTCTGTATCCAATGTCCCTTTTGTCCACATCGGTAACAGATGTATCCCACAGGAGGTTCGGTGTCAGGAGCGGTGAATTCGAATTTTCCCGCGCCGGCAGGTGATCCTCCGGCGGGTGGGCGAGGTTTGTTGCGAAATTGTGTATTGGGTCGAGCTTGTCTGAAACATTCAGCTTGACTTTTTTATTGAGATGAAAAGGGAGGACTGACGTTGACATGTCTTCTAATGTCTGCTCCCATTGATTGGCTTCTTGACCCAACATGGCCTGAATCCTAGCATCTTCATCGGCGTCACCAGTGGTTATTTGAACTTCATCAGGCTGTGGGTCAGTCAAACTCTCGTATCGAAATCGTCGATACTGAGTGGACGGGTGATACTGACTCTCTTCTCCTCCTTCCCATCAAACCGCTTAGTCAAACTCCCATAAGCTCCTCCTGCTCCTCTAGCAGCACGAGCCATTTTCTCTTTCATAGCATCTTTCGCATGGGCTTCGATCCTATGATCATTCGCCAAAGCATCAGCAGCGGCCGTACCGATAATGTAATTTTGTGCATTGCCACGACCTCGAATCGTACTAGGCATCCGGCGAACGATGAGGGAGGACGATCTAGGGATTTGATGGTTGTCATCCTTCAATTCTGTCTTGTAAGCTTTAAGTTTCTCGACAGCTCCGGATTCTTGTAATGGAGGGATTTACCTTCACCGGTCACATTGTCATAGACCCCAATATCAAAATCCTTTCCGTTACCCATCTTATTGGCCAGAATAATCTCCCGCTTGAGGTCGAAGACGGAGATGTGGGTGCCATCGAAGGTTACTCGGGATTCATCGCGACCAGCGCCCCAGCGGTAAAATACGGTCGACATGTTGCAACCTTATATGTATCGTGAATATCTCTAAGAAAGGAAGAGAGAGGGTGCAGGCTGTTGAAGGGGACAGGCAGTGGCAGGTTTGTAAAAGCGAAGGATCAAGCGGACTAGTAAGGAAGGTACACTGTGTGCATACGAAGAATATTGGAAGGCAGGCACCCTTCATCCACTTGACGACAGATGGTGTAAACGAGAGAGAAGAGAGCAAGAAGGTGGCAAAGAGTCAGCTGTTCAACTTGAGGGGGGAAGGTGTTGAGACCACCGTGGGAAACTTATTTTCTCAAACCACCGTGGGAGAAAAAAGACGTTTGACTTGCATTCCTCCCTTGGCACCTCTGAAATTTCACTCCTTCTACGCAGACATTACCTCACTACCTTCTTACCAGTATGCCGCCTCTCTTGGTCCCGACAGTAAAGCTACCTCGTCTGAAACTCTCTATTTATCGAAGTTTCTCCTCCTCTGGTTCCTCTCGCACCGCTACTACTTCCCCCTCCAAACCCGCCATGTCGAAAGACCGTCACATCATCACGTATTCCCCCGAAGCATTCCCTTTAGGATTCTCCGTCTCCTCCGTTCATTCTGGTATCAAGAAAAAACCCGGCGCTTTAGATCTTGGTATTCTCATCTCCACCTCCGACTCCCCTTGCTCAGCCGCAGCTTGCTTAACTCAAAACGTATTCAAGGCGGCTCCTGTCACTGTCACCTCTTCTCTTTTACACCGACATCAAGGTCGAGCTAGGGGAATGATCATCAATTCAGGTTGCGCCAATGCTGTAACTGGTAAAAAAGGTCTAGAAGACGCTTGGGCCATGTCAGACGGTATAACACGATTACTTCCTCCTGGTGAAGGAGGAACTTTGGTCATGTCTACAGGTGTGATAGGTCAACATCTTCCATCTAAAAAAATCGCCAAATCTTTGCCTGAACTAGTACAGAATTTATCTGATTCACCGAAAGCTTGGCTTGATCTAGCTAAAGCTTCAATGACCACTGATGCGTTTCCTAAACTTCGAGCGAGGACTTTTATTCTGGGCGGAAGGAAAATACGTTTAGCTGGGATCGACAAAGGTGCGGGGATGATAGCTCCTAAGATGGGTCCACCTCAACCACCTCATGCGACTTTGTTAGGGATGATAGCTACCGATGCTGCTGTAGAACCAAAAGCTCTACAAAATGCTTTGAATTATGCGGTGGAAAGGAGTTTCAATAATATCACTGTGGATGGGGATATGTCAACCAACGATACGATTTTGTGTTTCGCCAATGGAGCTGCGGGGAAGTTGGAGGATGAAGGTCGACCGAGTGTGGGAAAGATGGAAGAGATCAACGAAAAGTCGGAGGGGTATGACCTGTTTAGGGAAGAGTTGAAGGGTTTGGCGGAAGAGTTAGCTCAGTTGATAGTGAGGGACGGTGAGGGAGCTACGAAGTTTGTCACAATACGTGTGAAAGTGAGTCAATTTCTTCCTTATCTTCATCTGAAAATCAGGTGTATCACATGAACCTCCACAACACAGACGTGCAGTTCCCAGACTCATGAACAGGGAGCGCAAACATATGATATCGCGAATGCCGTGGCTCGCTCAGTAGCCACTTCATCTCTAGTCAAAACTGCTCTTTACGGTGAAGATGCTAATTGGGGGCGTATACTAGCTGCGATGTAGGGTCCCCCTCTCTATCATTCTGACTCTCCTTCCGACATTCTACCACTTCTTCCCTTTCTTTCTCCTTCTCACGTCTTTCGTTCTGATTTTTGATTCGGAGCTTTGCCCATCATCTGGCCCTTGGCACGTCCTTCCTGGGTGATATCACCATCGTTCTTGTTTCATCTTCATCTGATTGAGAATCACATAGACCTTCTCGTTCTCGACAGCCTTGGTATACTAAAAAGCGAAAACGGTGGTGAGTAAGTACTGTATGTTTAGCTGACGGTTTAGCGGCTACTCTTCAGTCCCACCGAACACACTCCAACCTTCAAACATATCCGTCTCTTTCCTTCCACCTTCCACACTCTCAGTCCAACCACTCCGTGTCGTCTCCTTTGGCGAGCCTGAAAAAGTGGATGAAGCCCTAGCTAGTGTATTATTGGCAGAAGAAGATATTCACATAGAGATTGATCTTGGATCAGGAAAGGAAGAAGCTACATTATGGACGTGCGATCTATCACATGTGAGCTGGTCACTGATTTGACGTTGAGAGAGAGCTGATAGATTAGGAATATGTGACTATAAACGGTAGTGTGAGTCATGGTTACCTCTTGAAAATGTTAATGTTGATGTTTAGTATCGAACTTGACCCCTCCTCTGCTTTACCCATTTTGGGATCCTGATCTGAGTGTCATCTATTCGATCTTCCTTTGCATATCTATGTTTAAACCTTGGGGACCTCTTGTAAGACTCGTCATCGAACGGACATGTCGGGAAAAACTGTCTGAGCCATCCTCAATTGGACTCTAGGGAAAGGGCGTGAGATGTCTAACGATGTGAGATCAGTCAAGTACAAGTGGAAAGAAATGCATGGGACATGATGACTATGCAATACATGAGTTGCTATGGGTTGAAATTGAGACAATGTCCTTGGAACCTCTTTCACCTCTTCATGATTCTCTACCTTTACCCTCATTCCGCTGCGTACCGTCTACCTCATTGACCGATCTGTGATTACGAAGAAAGGTCAAGATAATCTACGGCGTCTCATCCGAATGACCCATGGATCGATCCTTGATTACCGAGAAACAAGATGTGATGTAACGGACCTTCCTCTTTCCTTCATATGATCGACCTTGATCTGATATCGCTACATGTCGTTGTATCCAACTTCTGACTTTCGAATGTTCAAACCTCCGGTCTTGAATAATGCAAGAGATGAAGAAAGACGGAGAAAGAAAACGTGTAGGATCACTCGAAATCAACTTCCATCCCTTCCCCAGAAACATCCTCAACCCAAGTATCTCTCCCTGGCAACTTTGAGAAATAATCTCCGAGTGATTTAGTTTGTCCTTTTGGTGATTGATGAGTGTGAGCGTTGGCAAGATCGTCCCATCCTATATTCCTTGGGATCGGGTATGTTGAGTCAGGAAGGGTAGAAGTGGATTTCAGAAGTTGTTCGGGTATAGGGGATATGTGCATATTTGAAAATTCAGGTAATTGTTGAGAAATGTGATGATTGTGATTGTTTTGTACAAATGAATGATGGAGTTGAACGGAGGAATGATTATTTTCAACAAGAGATTGATCAGGTTGAACGATAGACTGACGATTTTGAACATGAACAAATTGTTGATGATTTAAATCTTGTTGAAAAGGTATGGAAGAAATTTGATCTTGTTTTGGGAAAATCGAATCAGGACATAACATTCCTTCTGGTCGACCGATATGAGGTTCAGGACTACTAGGTGGTGGAGGTGGTAATGTTCTACATAGAGGAACGTAATTCCAAGCTCCGATTTGTTGTTTAATTTCTAATTTCAATTGAACATCTTGTCTTCTACCTGGTGAAGCTGAATGTTTTTTAGGTATTCTTGGTCTTCTTAAAGATCCACCTCTAGAAATAGGTTGGTTAGGTTGTTGTTGTTGTTGGAATTCTGAAGATAAAATTTTACCTTCTTCTAAATCTTCTAATAAACCATTCAATTGATTATTTCCTCCACCTCTTCCTCCTTCAACCATACCATTCACACCATTCATACCATTCATACCATTTATACCTAATGTATTCTGATCGTCATCTTTGAGATTAGGTAAGATCGCTTCTAACATGTTGGAAGTGATAACAGGGGAGATGGTTGGATCGTTTATATATCCTGGGATAAGATTTGAATCCGGTTGGAAGGTGATAAGACTAGCAGGTGCTGAGATGAATTTCGCGGCCGTAAATGATTGAGAATGTAGTTTGGGCAACGGGGTCGGTTGAGCTGAATTCGATTTTCTAACGTCCGTAAGAACGGGGTTTGGAATTACGTCCGAATCTCGGGCAAATGTAGGAGTTTGAATTTTCGAAGTAGACATATTTATGGGTGTTGGAGAAGGAGGTTTTGGTAGATCGGATGACCAAATGAATGGGGAATAAGGAGGTGTAGGTAAGATTGGAGTTGGTGAAAGTGGGAAATATGTCGGAGTGAGAGGAAGTAAATGTTTAGGTTGAGGTGGTGAAAAAGTTGACATGATACTATTAATGATCAGTTCAAATCGATATACTACTCTTATATTTGAGACTGATAGTTACTCACATCTCAATTACGCTGAGACAAAAGATCGTCAAGTGAGACTTTAGAGTGGGGGGTTGATCCGAGTCGGTATGAAAATATGATGGTAGGTGTAGGAAATTCGAGTGTGATATGTGTAAGAGTTCTTCTTGAGATGTTCAATCGAGGAAAGAGGAAGACTTTGAGAAGAAAGAAAAAAGAGAAGAAAGAGAAAAGTCGTATGTCTACGTCGTCATTCCATCAGAAACCGAAACATTCATCTCGGCATAGTCTCAGGAGGAGCGAAAAGATTTGATCCCGCTTTTATCGGCGATCGAGAGGAGAGCCATCGCTCACATGCACACTCCATGTATTGTATGTGTATATGTATGTATCATGATATCAAACAATCATGTATCAGAGGAAAGGGAGAAACACTTACTCCGATGGTATGGTTTGATACCTCACTAGTGAAAGTCACTTGGTTGCGAGTCGCGTTGGTTGCAAATGACTGAATGACCGACGAAGAAGAGTAGTTGAAATGTAACAATGAACCCAAGTTAGATATATATATAGAAGGCTTATTGACCCAAAAACGTCAAGAAGGAAAGAATCAATCGATGACCAATGATAGAAGACGTCAAAGAAGAAAGAAAGAAAGAAAAGACCATTAGTAAGAATCTCACCTCCACATCTTACCCCATCTTTCTCACTCCGCTTCACCCAAACAAACTCCGACCAACAACCGTCGGGGTCATGTACATGATCCATCATATCTTCCAACCAAACCCCGTCGTGAGTCTTCCATCTTCCGGCCTCTATCGGGCTCGAATCTGTATCTGAGATTCAACATCATCGAGTGTCAGAACGTCAAAGACATTGGCCAGACAAACGATCAAAGACATAAAGGATATCACCGATGGACGAAACTCCGATTTCCTCTCGTCCGACTCGGTCGAATGGTCAAAAGGTGAAACATGCAAGCGGGTTTGTTAAGCGGGTCAAGGTATCGCCTTCGATGACTAGCGAAGAAAGATCGAATGTACGTGCATGGTAAGATACATGCTTTTAAAGAACCATGAAAGAACGAGTCCGAACGACCGGTTGACAAGACCGAGGGCTTCGTACGTTGGGTCCAAAGCTTGCGTAGGATGGGTACGTGTGAAGATGAGAAGTTGAGATTTAGAAGACATGATACGGAAGGCAAGAAGGTAGGTCATGAGAATCTTTCGAATGTTAAAGAATGATCGATATATGATGGAGAGTCTAGACCTCGGAAGATTTCCAGTCTTGGAAGACATATCGGTCATACCCTTCCAGCTTGCCTTCGAGATTTACCAGGTCGATTTCCACCTCGTACCATACCTCCTCTCCCTCTTCCACTCCCACCACCACGACTTCCACCGCGGCCGCGCCTCGATCCGACACCGGACCCGGATCTTGACCCGCGGCCTCCACCGCCCCAACCACCAAAGTCCGCTGTGCTCTCTGACGTATTTTGCTTGCTTCGCCAATTGCCACCACCCGTTGAATACTTGGACTCACGCGCTGAACGGGGCATCTGAGGATTAGCTATGCTCCGTCAGAGTCGTGCACCCGTCTTTCACTTCGTAGGGTTACGTATCTCACTGAGGAGGATGACGTCTGTTGAAGGGGGGGGGTTCGGTGTTCGGTGTTCAGTGTCCAAAAGGGGCAGCAGAAACCCCAACAAGAAGCTCACTCTTGACTTGTCTCCTCGTCCACCTCTGCCACCCCTGCCTCCACGCTGTGACTTGCCTCTCCCGCCTGGACCATCGGCCGCATCATCGATCTCTATTCCAAACTCTTCGTCGCCACCTATGTCCATTCCGTCATTTCGCTCTGTGACGTCAGCTGAGCTCCACTTAGAGTGGGTCTGAAGAGATGGGTGACATGAACGGACGCCCCTTTACCCCATGAACGACAGAGTTCTGAAGTGAAGGGAGATGTAAAACTACGCCGACGACATAAAATGTGGTAGACGAATACGCACTCCTTTTCAAACCCTTGACCTTCTCCTGGAAACTCTTCTTCTCCATCTGGCGCTGCTTGAGCTTCTCCATTTGTATTTGCTTGCCATATTTCTTCAAGTCGCGTTGTTTTCTCGCTTCCTCAGACTTCTTGATTCCCTGGCTGAGCTGTCAGCACTAATCTTCAAGACTAGAGTATGACCGTGATACTACAGCGGCTGAGCACGCTGAGGGCAGACTGAATTCGTATGACTGGAAGGCGGGTGGAGGGAATCGCCGAAACGACTTACGACTCCTCGACCAACTTCGTTCGTACCCTCTCCATATGTTCGTCAGACTTGACCATCTCGGCGTAATAGTCGTTGGGTCTGTCGAACGGAATGTCGTACTTCGCCGCTGTCTTGCGCGCATTTCCCACCTGGTCCAAAGCAAGTTTGTAGCTAGTCGTCAGTTTGAGGGCTTGCATGACTGACACCCCTGCAACTCACAATGCCATTTCCCTCTGCAGGTCTGTCATGTCAGCTTACTTTTTCTGTCAGCTTTTCAAGTGAACATACCATCTTCCGGATCTACATCTAGTTTCTCCTTGCTGGACATGATCAAGTGCTCCGACCAAGGTAGGTGGGTCATTCGAATGCCTTCTCTCAGCGCACGCATGGCAGGCTGAGCGTCAGCGTCTGAGCGGTTTGGCAACTGACACAGATTGGAAGTACCAACTTTGTTGTAATGAGTGACTTTGCGTTTGGGAACGGCATCTTCATCGATGGAGACGTCAGAACCGAGGTCGTCCACGGCCACAGCGTCGGGGTCAACGGGTGAATCTTCAGCTGCAGAATCCTGAACGGTCAGTGCGCGTCCTGCTTCTCTTGGAGTTGCAGCTGACCTCGTCGTTGCTCTCTGGATAACTTTCATCTTCGTTCTCCTCCAGATCATCCTCATCCTCCTCATCGTCGTCCTCATCCATCTCGCCATCCTCATCTTCACCCGAGACATCTTCAAGACCGTCCTCCCCATTGAGCGAATCTTCATCCTCATCCTCCTCTTGATCCTTCTCCTCCTCTTGATCCTCCTCCTGCTCCCGTTCACCATCCTCACTGTCACCCTCACCTAGTTGAGCAAGCTCGTACTCATTGAGGTCCTCTGGGCCGACCAAAGCCATGAGTCTCTCCAACCCCTTCTCGCTCACGCCGCCATTATCTTCGTCCTCATCTTCGGTAGACCAGTCATCGTCATCCTCCTGGGGCACTTTCACAATCTTGAGACTGCTATCAGGGAATATCCTATCCTTGTCTTTTCCCTTGCTGGCTTTTGTAGGTACTTTACCGCTCATAGTGACCATGATGCGAGTAGTAAGAAGCAGAGAAGGTTGAAATTTTGTCAGTGATCGAGGACCGGGTGAAGTTGATGCCGGACGCCACGTCGGAAAAGTTGTCGGCGTTAGCATAACACCGTTCACAGCTGACTATTGACCGTTTGACCCAACGTAGATTGTGTCGTCCTCATCTTTGTCCATCCTTCTTCTACTTCCTACGGCAGGGGCGTACGTCGAGGCAACAGGTCTACTTCTTCTGCCAAAAGGAACTCCCTTTTCAAGAAGAAACTGTTGCGGGATCTTGGTGGATTGACCGTTGTCCGAAGCAAATTGACGGGCTTGCCACCCTGATCTTTTCTGCAGAAATCATGGACACAGGTGAATACCTTTTCTCTCATATGATCATGCATCAATTTGAACATCAGACTTTGGATATCATGTCGACGCCAAGGACGAGAGACAAATTGACGCGCCCGGTCACATGGGCTACGATAACGATGCCAAACCTGTCGAAGAGGAACAATTAGAGGGGGAAGATTATTGGACTATCATCTCTTCTTATTTTGAGGGAAAGGGTTTGGTACGACAACAATTGGAAAGTTTCAACGAATTTATCGAGAATACTTTACAGGAGATTGTGGATGAGAATCCATTGATAATATTGGATCAACATGCTCAGTTTACTGGCAAAGAGGGAGATGAACTAGTGAGATATTCCTGCGACATCCAAAACACCCCTTCCTCCTTCACAGAGAAATCAGCCTCCGTTGCCTCATGTCAGATCTGTTTATAGACTCTGTGTTGCTCTCGGACAAGGTGAGAACGATGAACTGATGACCAGCGTCGACATCAACTCAGATTTGGCCAAATTTACCTCGCTCGGCCAACGACCACTGAGAGTGATGGTATAGCCGCCCCCATGTTTCCCCAAGAAGCTCGTCTCAGAAATTTGACCTACTCCGCCCCTCTATACGTCGAGATCGAACGCAGAACTTTCGTCGCAGCTGGTGCCGATGAGGATCCACTGGATACGGAATGGCAACCCCTCTTGGATGCTTACGGCGAGCCAGTGGTGGAAAAGACAAAGGCGTTCATCGGCAAGGTGCCTGTAATGGTTCGATCTCATTTTTGTCATCTAGAAAATCTACCCGATGAATCTCTCTACCACCTCAAAGAGTGTCCATATGATTCGGGCGGTTATTTCGTCGTTAAAGGTTCGGAGAAAGTCCTCATTGCTCAAGAGAGAATGGCAGCGAATCAGGTGTACGTTTTCAGAAAACAATCGCCTTATACGTATTTCGCCACGGTCACGAGTCAAATGGAGAGGGGTGGGAAAATGCCTAGTGAAACTGAGGTTCGGATGTATCCCAGGTCATCTGGTGGTACGGTGAGTGCTCAGCGTCTAGCACTCCATTGTCACCTAAACCCCATCGTCACAGAGCCCCGCGTTCATAGCTTAGGTTTGGGCTGTTCAGAGCTATTGCGCAACGGTCGTAGAGAAGCTCACAATACAGACCGGCTCGGTCATACACGTACGCTTGCCCTATATCAAAGTCCCTATCCCTATCGTCATCGTCTTCAGAGCACTTGGTATCATCGCCGACTCGGACATTTTAGAGCATATCTGTTTCAACATGGGTGATACACAAATGCTTGAAATGCTTCGGCCTTGTGTCGAGGAAGCTTTCGCCATACAAAGTCGCGAGACCGCCCTCGATTTCATCGGTCGACGACATAACAAGGACATTGGTACACGTATGCAGCGACAACTTGTCGCTTTCGATATCCTGCAGAAGGAGTTCCTCCCTCACGTGTCGGTTTCCGAAGGTTTTGAATCGAAAAAAGCCTATTTCCTTGGTTACATGATCCATCGTCTGTGCTCCGCCGCCTTGAACAGAAGAGACCTTGACGATCGTGATCACTTTGGTAACAAGCGTATGGACTTGGCCGGTCCATTACTGGCCAACTTGTTCCGAGGATTATTCAAGAACCTCACCAAGCGTGTTCACCGTCATCTGACCACATGTATCGAAAAGAACCGACCTTTCGTCTTCAGCGAAGCTCTACAGCCAAGCATCATCACAGACGGGTTCCGGTATGCTATCGCCACTGGTAATTGGGGGACTGGAACGAACCGGAGAGTGGGAGTTTCGCAAGTGCTCAACCGATATACCTACGCATCTACCCTCTCCCATCTTCGGCGTACCAACACGCCTATCGATCGAGGTAGTAAAGCTACCAAACCGCGTCAACTTCACAATACCCACTGGGGTATGGTATGCCCTGCCGAGACACCCGAAGGTGCCGCTTGTGGACTGGTCAAGAACCTTGCTCTTCTGTCATACATCTCAGTCGGGTCCTATGCTGCGCCAGTGATGGAGTTTCTGGAGGAGTGGGGTCTTGAAGACCAATCGGAGTTCCAACACAACCCCGGTGCCACCAAAGTCTTCGTCAACGGTGTGTGGATGGGGGTACATCGAAATGCTGGAACCCTTTACGCCAACTTACTCCAGATGCGACGTGGTGGTCAACTGAAACATGAAGTATCGATTGTGCGGGACATTCGAGAGCGAGAGCTACGATTATGCACCGACGCCGGTCGTGTATGTCGACCATTACTCATTGTTGATCAACGGACCCAGAGTTTGAAAATTAAAAAATCACATATCGAACGTACGGAGATACTGCTGGAAGGTGGAGAGGACATCGCCACTGGTTCGGCATGGATCGAATTGCTCAACGATGGTGTGATCGAGTATGTGGATGCGGCTGAAGAAGAGACAATTCTCATCGCTATGACTTCGGAGGATTTGGTCAACGCACGAACGGCAAGTGGTAAAGATGAGCTAGTGCGACAACGAGCTGCCCATAATTTGGATCATTTCGATCCCGCCGCACGTGTAAAGAGTACCAATTGGTCTCAGAATTACACCCACATGGAGATTCATCCTAGTATGATCCTCGGAGTTTGTGGGAGTATCATTCCTTTCCCCGACCACAATCAATCCCCCCGAAACACGTATCAATCCGCTATGGGTAAACAAGCCATGGGAGTTCACTTGACAAATTATCAATTACGAATGGACACAATGGCAAATATCCTGTACTACCCTCAAAAACCCCTGGCGACCACACGATCCATGGAATACCTAAAATTCTCAGAATTGCCCGCGGGACAAAACGCCATCGTAGCTATCATGTGTTACTCGGGATATAATCAAGAAGATTCAGTCATCATGAATCAGTCATCTATTGACCGAGGATTGTTCAGATCGTTGTATTACCGATCATACACAGATGCGGAGAAGATGACGGGGATGGAGAAAGTGGAAACTATCGAGAAACCTGATCGAAAAGATACGTTGAGAATGAAGATGGGATCATCAGATCGATATGCCAAGCTTGACATTGATGGTCTTATCGCTCCTGCCACCAACGTCAATGGAGATGATATCATCATTGGTAAAACCGCTCCCATACCTGAAGAAAGCGAAGAATTAGGACAGAGAACATCTCTTCATACGAAAAGAGATGTCTCCACTCCTCTTAAAAGTACAGAACAAGGAGTGGTCGATCAAGTCATGCTATCAACAAATGGTGACGGTCATAAGTTTGTAAAAATCAGAATACGTTCAACTCGAGTACCTCAAATAGGTGATAAATTCGCCTCGCGACATGGTCAAAAAGGTACTATCGGTATCACCTACAGACAAGAAGATATGCCTTTTACAGCAGAAGGTATCACACCGGATATCATCATCAACCCTCATGCCATCCCTTCTCGAATGACTATAGGTCATTTAGTCGAATGTTTATTGTCAAAATTATCAACAATGACAGGATCGGAAGGTGATGCTACACCATTCACAGAGTTGACAGTGGAGAAAGTTTCCAAATTCCTCAGACAAAGAGGGTATCAGAGTAGAGGTTTAGAAGTGATGTATCATGGTCATACGGGTAGGAAATTACAGGCTCAGATATATTTTGGTCCAACTTATTATCAAAGGTTAAAACATATGGTGGATGATAAGATTCATGCGAGGGCTAGAGGACCTTTACAGATTCTGACTAGACAACCGGTGGAAGGTAGGAGTAGAGATGGTGGTTTGAGGTTTGGAGAGATGGAAAGGGATTGCATGATTTCACATGGGATAGCGGCGTTCCTCAAAGAGAGGATGTATGGTGAGTTGACAAATATCCATCTCCAAACACATCTCACTGTGGTCATATCGCTTTTATGACTCACATACATCTTTCCAATCATCCGTCCGTCCGTCCCGTCATATCCCACACTTTGACGTGGATATCAACAAGGTGGTGTTCGGGCATGGGCAATTGTTGCGGTACGAACGGGATCTAACCCACAGACTCTTCGGACGGATTCAGAGTCCACGTATGCGATCAATGTGGTCTTATGGCTATTGCCAATCTCAAAAAACAAGAATTCCATTGTTCGGTATGTAGGAATAGTACTCAAATCTCTCAAATTTATATCCCATACGCGGCCAAGTTATTATTCCAGGAACTTCAAGCGATGAATATAGCGTGGGTATTCTCGTCATTCTTCATTACATATCATCATCTCTTCCCTATTACCGCACATCAAACAAACCTACCCCTTTTCCCCCTCATGTCCCCGATGGAATGTATTTCTCATGTTCTGTTTGTAGACACGTCGGTGAAAACGTTCCTACGTCGCCTGACAAAATGCTGATGATCAGGGTGAGGATGTACGGTGAAGCGGAGTAATCTTTGGTTTCATGACTGAACTCGGGGATGAGGAGATACGAAGGGTGTTTGTATGCGTCATCAGAATTATTTAGCATTCATGCATTGCAGCATGCAGCATTGTATTCATCCCCGTCTTGATCCCTTGATCCGTTGACTCGATGCCCCCATCTCCGAGCACAGGAGTAGAAAGAGTATGAGTACGAGTACTCTACTTACTCACTCTAACGGGACTCGTATTCGGGCATTGGATTTCGGACATTGATAATCTCCGTTCGATCGACGTAGTCCCATTGTCACCTGTCTACTTCTATCTTACTTTCCGCTCTATCAACAATGACCAGCTCAAAAGGACAACCACTGAACACTTTGTCAAGTCCATCCCCGAACAACCATCCAACTCCATTGGACGATACCAAGGGACTGGTAGTAGACCAGGAAAGAAGGTATACGTGGTCATACCACTCCCCGACATGTCCCTCTTAACATATAACAACCACTCTTTCGACCCACCCATCTCATATTCCCCACTCTAAAATCTGGACACATACTCATCAATATGCACGCAGCATTTCTAGGCGCTTCAAGAGGATGTGGTCTTCTCATACTTGAACGATACCTGAAGCAAAATGATGCTCACACGGCGATTTTGTTAGTCCGTGACCCCGATACGATCTCGGACGGGAGAATTGGAGGCTTTGTGAATGAGGGAAGAGTTGAGTTTGTGAAGGGGTATGCTACCAAGGTGGAGGATGTGAGGAAGATATTCGAGAAGAAAGTGGATGTTGTGATAACTTCGATAGGTCAGTCTTTGTCTTATCGCAATGTCTCTGATGACTTCTTCGGGAGGTCATTCCTCTTACAACCTCCTTTGCAAAATACTGAGACGGTATATGAGTTTATCTTTTATATCATTGAACATGAACTACAGAGGGGACTGTTGACTGACTACCAGGCGGAGCATCCACAATGACTATCACTGGTGCCGTACTGGATCAACCACTCATCAACACGGATGCTACAGTAGCTCTTCTCATCGTCCTCGGGGCGTTAGACTACACTCCTAGGGTAATAGCTGTCAGCAGTATGGGTGCTGGTAAGAACCACTCGGTCATGCCTTTGTTTATGAGGGTAAGTTGTTCATTTCGGCTCCCTTTCTTTCCCTCCCTCAATACTCCGGTTCACTTCAACTCGGTGATTGTATCCCCGTTTTCTCACTACTCAAGACAGTGTTGTGACTTTACGGCGTAAATACGAATGGTCGTAGAAACGCTGATGGCGACCTCCGTATTTACGTCGTAAATCGTAAAAACCGCCTCGTAAAAACCTACCAGCTGGGACAAGTTTTGGAGAGTTCGGGCGGTTTCAACCCCTTTATCAACCCCAAAAAGGCAATAACTGGTGAATGTGGCGATCGTAAATACGACAGGTCCTCTGCAGCAGGCGTATTTACACCGTAAAATACGTCGTAAACGTATAAAGTATTTACGCCCGTAAAAAAAAAGTCCCAACACTGACTCAAGAGACCCGAAGCAACCGTTTCGAGGCACCGCAGTCTATCATTCCTGGCTTGGCAACCATCATTCACGAACCGGAAGTAATCTGAAACTGACGCACAGATGCTCTACCCTCTCATGCTTGGTAGACTCCTTCGTGATAAACAATCCCTCGAATACCTTCTCTTTCGAGCGTCCACCAACATGCCTACACCCAAGAAACTACCTCCACTACTCTCACATGACCGAGTCAATAATCTCCGCGAGTCTTTCCTGCCTGAAGTTATCATCGTTCGGGCTGCTGCATTCGACAAAGAGGATGAACCCGCCCGATCCAAGGACAATGTGGTCGCTCATGAGAAAGCGAGCGTGTATTTCGTTCGGAGGAGTGAGATCGCAAGGTTTATCGTTGAGGATTGTTTGACAGGAGACATATGGGTTAATAAAGCGCCAGTGGTGGGTTATAAAGATTGATACGGTATGTGTCGTACGTACGTGTTTCCATCAAATCTGCCCGTTGAACGTCTTTCTCACTGAAGAGTCGTCGCAAAATTTTTCCACGATAAGAGTTTATGCTAACCCATCCAGAAACTCATCCTATGTACCCAATTCACATTCTTTCAGTGGCGGTGCGCATGCAATTCATGACCAGCTCGAAACATTGACACACTCCCCTTTGTGACGCTTCCGTCATCTCAATCCCCTATCATACAACTATTCTGAACGAGCATTTGCGGTGCTTGATAGGACCATGCGACTCATCCACGCTCCGAGCTCCGAGGCCTGAGATTCGACTGGAGAAGTTGCTCGGAGATCTCCCCAATCACAATGATGCTCGGCGATCTGGTATCCCGGCAGTCCGGCAGCCCGGCAGTCGTAACGGCGCTTGAATATCTTAAATACGACATGTATGTTCGTGACCAGAGGGGTAATAGTCGATCGCGCACGGCCCTTCCCTCCCCTTCCTCCACCTTTCCATCTTTTGTCAACATATATGAAGGGATGAAGTCCTCCTCACACCATTTTCACTCTGATATATGAGCCCACAGGCTGATGGCAGAGATATAAGTTATCTCCACTTTTATGAGAAAGGCAAGTCAGGTCTTATAACAACTAACACACCTTAACTACCAACTCACTGCCACCTATCACGTTAGCATGGCAACAGCGTCGAGCTCGAGAGCTCTTATGGACGGAACCATTATGCGTCGGGAGGACGAATCGGCGGCAGAAGTGGATGGATTATTTGTTTTATCCAAACTTTTGAACGCAAATCTGCAAGCCAAAATTTTCACTGACCAAGTCATACACCAGCGAGACTCGGTGCTTGCTTTGCTAGGCGACATGGGCTTTGGCACAGCTGGGCAACCAACTTTGACTGACCCTGTTCTGGACACGGACCTCTGGCCCGAATCTCAGATCACGTTGATCTTGAAATGCCTGTCAGAAGCTGCATCATTTCTGTTACCCAGTCATCTGACCTGTCAGACACAGACGGAAGCAAGGAACAATTGCCTTCAGGATATTGGAACCCTTTTCCCTCCACAAGAATCTAAAGAAGGAATTGCAGACATTGCACACAGTAGATGTGCAGTGCTCTCTCGCTCGTTAACCTCTATGCTCGGTAAAGATGCAGAGTCCTGGGCTGCTGAAGACCTTCATCCAAAGCTGCCTAGTCACCCTACGCCAGTGCAATTGGAGGCAGAGCTTCACATGTTCAATGGCATATGCCGGATTATTGAAATAATCCGGAATGTCCTAGCTCAACCCAATATGACTAAGATTGTCAGTGCTGTTGCGGAAGAAGAGTTTATTGACAGGATCTCCCACTTCTCAAACATTGCACCGCAATATTTCCAATATAATTCTGGTATGTGGTGTTGTTGGTGTCACGTTCACTTGTTGACTGTCCAGTGCCAGCCAATTGGAGCAAAACAGACTA